AATTGGATTTTAACTTACTTGCCAGTTTCTAGCGAAATACGAACAAAATCATTGTAGGATGGTCAGGCTTACCAATATCAGGTCGACGAGACGGTGCGACATGAGAAGTACGACCTTGATCTTTGAAGAGCGCTAATCAGAAGATTCTCTACTTAATATTGCATGAGCGAAGCAAAAGTAAATATTCTCCTTTACGCCATAACTCACTAAGATGCCTCCACAGCGTGGCAGGTGGTCTTAATAAATACGAAAATGCTGTATAGTCGAGTTAGATAATAAATTCAAGAGGCAATCAACGCTACGGGATGGTAAAAATATTAATAGCCGAGAAATAATTACTTATTCATGAGTCCCGGATGACGAGAGCAAAGGGTTACTAAAGCTCAGATTTGCTTTCTATCCGCTTACATTTTTTATTCTTACTGATGAGATGAATTACCTAAGTCTATAGCATATAAACAAGATGCGATTTCGATATATTTTGGCTTTGGATATTCGGAAATCCACAGACTGACCGAAACATGATTAAACTTCGCGGCTTTTTCATCTGTGGACGGTGGTGTGTGACTCGGACGCACTTTCGATATTTATTATTAATTCGTATAATAGCTTAATACCTGTTTACAAATTGAGTCTTTCGTTGGCGCATGAAATAGCTGTAAAGCTGTAGCACAGGAACCGGGCGCTGGACCTGCGTGTGATAAGTGAATCTAATTACTATTAACATTTTTCATCAACATTTATAAGCTGTGTATGAGTGTGAGTGTGAGTGGGTGTTTGCGTGTGTGAGTATTTAATTTAAATACTTATTGGTAGACCCTCAAGACACTTTCGGTTTCTTCATAAGATTGTGACAGAAGCCATTTAGAAGCTAAAAGTATTTATTTTGTAGCTATTGATACATTCTTTAATATTGTATAAACCACTTTTGTACCATTCAAAGTTTCCACAGTATATGTGGCTAAAGATGTTTTATTTTTTACACTTTGAGTTACGTTACAAAAAGTCTAGTAAGGATCTAATTCTAATCTTTTCTAAGAATAAATATGGCTTCTATGACTCAGAGTGAACGTAGCTCGAACGTAGCTAGAATCCGTAAAGAATTTTTGACATCGGCTCATTTTAAATTTATTCCTTACAAACGTACACACATACAAAAATACAAATCCACTCACATAAGTGTAGAAATATAGTACGATATTAGATATATTATAAAAATGAAAAACCTATTTAGATTAAAAACAATTTAAGACACGGGCGGCGCTTGAACCAGCTTCTATAGCGTTGCGTGCTGCTACTCTAAGGAATTGAGCTACCGTATCCGTAGCTCAATTGAACCGTCGTCGTCGTATTTTTCCAACCCATACAAACATGCACCTCTCGCGCAAGATGTATCGTTATAACATGTAAAAAATACAAAAAGTGTAAGGTTGTATTAAGCTATATGTTGTCTTAAAAAAATACATTATCTATTTTACGAGACTGTGCCCTATTTAGCCTAACCTAACCAACAACGCTCAACCTTGCAGTGCCACCTGAACGCACGAAACAAGCGTCCAGCCGAAGTCATCAATCAATCGTTAATCCAACGATGCAATATCCATAAAATGAATCGTACGGGGCGGTACATTCGACTCGTAATAGGCAGACCGAGCCGGCGACAATGCCGCAATCGGCCCACCAATCTACATAATGGATTGCTCGGCCGAACGCGCTGGCTCATTCAATTGTCGCGGTCGCCGATGTGTCGCTCGGTTATTACGGAATGCGAAATTAATTTCAGAACGATCTAATATGCCTGGGGATTCTATCGGGTTGGCTGGATTTCTTTTTCCGGGACGGTCTCGCTGGGACAATTAGTGCTGTCATTGTGTGCCGATTTGATATTGGCACGTATTGATTTTGGAAACTTTCTTATTTTCACATGTTGTTTAGTATTGCATATGGTTATAGATATATTAAAAAAACTATTTAAATTAAAAAGGCAGGCGGGAGTCGAACCAACATACACAGTGGTCGATGCTACCGGTCTACCAGTTGAGCTACCGTGTCCTATCAATTAAAAATCCGAAAAGTCGGTTTATAGTTAATTTGTTTTAATTGAATATTATATGGGCGCGTTTTAAACATTTAAATTTGTTTTTCTCGTGTAAATTGCAGCCAATATTGAATCTTATTAATAAGTTAAACTAAATAAAAATCACTGTTTTATACCACACACAATACAGAGTAATTTTCTTCAACCGTGTATTAATTATAAAGTAAGATTTTAAGATTGGGCATTACAAATGATAAATCTTTAAGAATCTGCAATTTTAATTTAACAATTCTAATTTTGAAAACGACAAACAAGTTAGTACACTGTTGCTTTGATCTCATAAAAAAACTACTTTTTACGTACGATGACGCAAGTTATACAAAAAAAACTAATAATTATATGCGTTAACCACGAATTTTGTACTCACAAAAAAAGACGCTTTCGGCGATTAATTTTTATTTATATAAACCTATAAGTACTTGTCCATACAGATTAGTTGAACGCTAATATATTTTGTCTCAGAACATTCCAGAATATGAACGGAGGTATAAATTAATTGAAAACTTATGATATACGCTCAAGAACGAGCGGTCGACAAGACGTACAACTCAATAACGTCCTAAGCCCACGCTGGCTATACGAGATTTACTGCATCCTCTACGCGTAATGGCTTAGATAATGTTTTTCTATTGGATTTGTTTTCTTGTTCAAATATAGTACAGATTTTAGATCTAGTGGTATTACCTTTGACTGCACCACTAGGAACAGAGTTTGAATCTCGCTTAGGGAGAAATATTATTTGTCAATTTCTTAATTAAAATAACGATTTTAGATTGAAAACATTTTTACGACACGGGGAGGACTTTCGTGCTGTTGCTAGAACCAATTAAAATTCACCCTTTGCTTTGAACCAATTGACACGGCATTTCCGGACAATTTCTCTCAAAATGAGTAGTTGTTTGGAATAAAAAGTTATTACCCCATCACCATCGCTTTGAACGGTATATAAAGCCAAACTTGTACCAGCCTTGATTTGGAATACAGATTTGCTTCCCTGTTACCTCCAGCCATAAAGATCATATTAGGTTTTCCGTTAACCATCACTTATTTAGTGGTGTTTAAAATCCAACCAGCTGTGAAGCACTATAGTGGCCCTAAGTTCTTGGACTAAGCTATGAGAGAAAATAATCGTACTGAGCTCTGGGATAGAAATTCTAACATCCACTTTCTCTCTATGCCTCTGTTCTGCTAGTTATAGCTCAAGTCCCACTTTTCGTAAGCAACATAATTTTAACTATATAACTATTTGTGTATCAATAGACGTATCAATAAGTAAATGTACATCGGGGCGTTGGCAAAAGTGATTAGTAACGCGTTACATAACGAAGCAGTGTACACTGCCTTAAGTTAAGGTACCTGCTGTATAATAAGCAGGGGTGTAAACAAAATACTAACCGTCTCGTTCATAATTAAACTGAGGCTGCAGTTATTAGATATAAGCTTTTCATGCCGCGGAGCTCTACTTTACTCCTTATTAAAATATTATGCATTACGTTCTGCGTTTACTTGAAACATTATTTGCGGAACAGACAAACGGGTGTTAACAATTTTTCATTATTATAACTGCACGTAACTTAAACTACTCAGAAGAATAAGCAATTATAGATTTTATCTCTACTTGACAAAAACATTTTAATCTAATATAAAATCCCCCTAATAATCTAATAACAATTCATAAAATTCTTATATTACTCGTAATATCAACTAAGTATTGATTGAAATAAAACACTTTAACGGTTTAAACCCGCGATATATTAGTTAAACTTCCCCGTGACGTTCCCCGACCCGTGACGTTCCCCGACCCGTGACGTCCCCCGGCTGCTGCAAAGCAACCAAAACGTCCGAACGGGCCGAAGTTAAAAATCATTTTCAAAGAAGTTTAACGAATACATCGCGTTTTAAACCGTTAAAGTGTTTTATTTAAATGTGTACTACTCGCGTAAACTATAGACAGTATAAATACTAAAGTATCCACATTTTAAATCGTTAATTGTGTTTATTTAATGGATTTAATATCCTCAACAATCTGCAGGAACAAATGACACCCATATCCGTCCAGATGCTCTTCAACAATGAATCCATTTGGTCATGTAAAAATGAAGTTACCGTGATATGTAGTGAGGCTGTAAAATTTCCATTCGGCTGAAGGCATTTAAGACTAGAGAATGGAGCCATTGTTCAAGCTCCATTGTGTTTTTCTATTGAGTACGGACGCATATGGAAGAGTAGAAATAGCACTGTCCATTTCGAGTGCTCGAATTTAATCATCGGTTTTTAAACGTTATCTTAAGTTAAGTGAAATCGCTTTACTCACCTGGGAGGTGGAGCGAGCACAATTGAGGGTGTTCGACTGATGGTTTATTTACAGGAAATTGGCTGAAATGTACCTTGACTCACGTGCATAACGCAATTGAGTCATTTTAGGTAATCATGTGATTAAAAGAGAAAGAAGTAACATGATCGTTTATAACCATAGGGGGCATCAAACTTTTTTGAGATAGAGAAGGACAGAGAATCATACGGTTTATTTGATGGCAAGTGAAGTAATTCAGCCACATATCGAGTTCTAGTCTGAGGATTTTCAAACGAAATTCCCAGAAACCCAAACGCGTTTAAGCTTCACGGCTTTTTTCAAGTGCGGTCATTGGTTCGTGATCCGAGTGGAATCGACATTCCTACGACTCCATTTAATATCCAGATTTCGAAAAGACGTCCGACATGTTTGAGAAAAATTAGAAAAGTGTCGAACCTACGACCCATCGATTATTAGCCACACATTGGTCACACATCAACGAGCCCGTCAAACTAAGTACAACCATTGATTTAAATTATGTTTTTATAGAAAGGCAGACAAAAAACATATAACTTAAAACAAATTTATTCTTATAATGAATTGAACACATTAAAATGGCGGCAGCCACACTTCGAAGTGTGGTCCATACGCGAGCTTCTTACGCAGTGTGGCCTCGAAAAGTGCGTCACGCGTTGCGTCACGTGACTGTGCGTCGCGACCGCACTCGCGAGTCACCTCTCGTGCAGCACGCATGAGCTTCGACACGTGCGCGACGCTCTCTCTCACGTCCTCGAATGGTAACTGAGGAGGAATAAAGCATACTTCTTATTCTAGCACTCCCATCATTGCAAGCAAGTAGTCCATAAAAGGACGGATACGGAACCTTTATTTATCTGAATCTCCAAACCCAGAAAAGGACAACGGCGCATCTAGTTTCGATAATATATGGGGGGGGGGGGGGGCTGGGGTGTTTCACCTTCCATCAAGTGGACACCATGCTTAGCTGTCCTTCTCTATCATGAAAAATGAAAGATCTTATGTACGTTAATACAATTTAAAACTCTAAATTTACACTTAATACCAGTTCTTGAATCAAGGAGACAACATAAATGAGAAGAATTGGCATGAAACTCGCCGCCACTGCTTTTATCGCCAAGTTTTAGTTACAAAGTCCTCACGTACATTAAGTGAACTACGTTTTTTTGTTAGAGTAATCTAAAATACAAGCAATCGTTTACATATTACGGTACCTTTCAACTAATTTTTGTTTTACATACGACACAAAGTTATTTCTTAATTCTCTAACAACTAAAATCACCGAAAAAAAAAAACTAAAAATACCTGATCGTCATTGGGCAGAGTGTGTGGATATATTCGGACCCACTGCCCCACGCGGTTCACACCTTTATCCCATCTGACCCCGTTGCCCCACATACAAGCGTTCATCATGCGACGTCGGGACGCAGCTGTTGCATATCCACCTCGCCATGTTTCATCTACTGGTTCTGATGCTAAGCTTGTTGCTGACTTAAAACATAAAAATAACATTTAGTTTCTCTTTTTAGTTTTTTACATACGTCATAATTATAGCACTAACCTGACTTTCTAATCTATCAGTAACAATATCGGTTGATGATTTGTATGTGTGCAGTTGACTCAGAGAAACGGCGGAAACATCCTGTAATATTCATATATTTTTGAGTGTTACATTTTTCCTTAAAACGTTTTCTTTTGAATATTAAAACTTGTACATGTATTGCTAAAGTTATAAATGGAAGTACGTTGTACAGCAGTTATCGTCTACGTAGCTGAAGATAAAGGCGCGTTGCCTAGCACTACGTTAAGCACGAGAGGTCCTGGGTTCAAATACTGGGGAAATGAAATCGTTTCGCTCATCCATGGCAGAGAAGTTTGATCAACGACTTGCCTGTTAATTAAATTGGTCTGTTACATCGACATAAAGATGTTCTTTTCTTCATAACACACAGGGGAAAATTTCACATACGTTGTATTTATCGGCCATAGGTGGTTGCAGTGTAACGCAATGCAGAGGCATGGCCCTCCGACGTCGCTGATGTTTCCCGCCGCGTTTGTGGCCCGACATTGAACGGTTACCCACGGTCGATGTACCGCTTTCATCTTCTGAACTGCAACTTAAAAGTTAAAGGTATTTTTATATAATCTCGTATTTTTTAACGCATGAAAGTATTAGACATTCGACGCATGTATAATAAACAAATAATAAGTTCGAATAAAACTTACACAGGCTAGTGAAAGCGTTACAAGAGATCTATGTCATGCCGACCCGCTCATCTTTGTCAATAATATTATAGAATTATTAAAATACTTATAACTTTATGCAGTTATTCTTAACATTGCCAAGTTTGTTGTTTTATAAAATCGCAGAACAACAGTCGGGTTCAAATCCCAACCAGGTCGCAGGTTTTACTCTTTAAATCCTTATGAAGGTATAACATTTATGAAATTAATTCATAATAATAATTAATTAATTAATTAATTCAATTTGGTGAGACATACGTTAAAACGAACATACCTTATAATGTTTGGTGTCAGCGGTCTCTGCAGATAAGACAAGCCAGTGTGCCGCATAGGTAGACCCAACAAGTCAAACAACTCGTGCAGCATCGGCTGCTTTACTGTGACATCAGCTTCGCAGTCTGCTGCTAGAGCTGGCGATAGATTCACCTAAAACAAACTTCAATTCAAAACAAAACTTTTGGCTGTTGAATAAAACAAACTATTTAAAACTTATATTGTTTAGATTTGTGTGGGGTCCGTTTCGGATATATAATGGCAAACATACATATCTAATAGCGTTTTGAATCAAGAAGGTTTATTAAATTATTAAATTGCTCAGCGATGCAAATAAAAAAAGTTGTGTCACATGTACGTGGTGTACCTATAATCAGATATTTTTTTGTGCCCGTTTAAGCCGTTATATGATATACGATGTTATTTTAAATATTTCAATATTCATACAAGCACTATATGTAGTCTTCGTTAAAAATAATTACAAGGATATATTTGAGAATTAAATATTTTTCACATGTCGCACATGATGGCATTATATAAATTTAAAATCGATTTTATCACTTGTGTAAGTGGTGCTGTTGCTCAGAACGGTGTGGATGCTGATTCATTCCCGCGTGTGTCGTAGATATTTTTTAATCTAATATCGGTTTTAATCAAATATTTGACAACATTATATAGAGACAACAATAGACACTTGCCTCTATTAACCAAGGCTTCAAAGAGTCATCAAGTAAAACATCAAATCCGTAGAATTCGAAGCAGTTTCTAGTCGGCGGCGTGCCAGCAGCTTGCGCCAGTAGGGTTAACGTTACGAGAGCTCTTATTTTTTGCCACACCAGCCACTCGACAGCACCCCATCTGCCGATTAAAGCTCGACGGACTTGCTTCAACGTCCATTTACAGCCTGAAATAAAGCTCTTTAATAGTTTCGTTCGACACTAGGTGGCGTTATCTTAAACCCTTAACACGGTAGCAAAATATAAACAAATTATCATATTCTTTAGTTCAATTGCAGGATTAAGTTATTTTAAGAAATGTTATAACTCATTATCGTTTCCTCTAAATGAAAACTTTCTATACATTTTTAATTTCAGTACAAAACTAAAATAACACGAATAGCTTTCACAAAAAGCATAACATTTAACACTTTTATGTTGTATATAAATACCTATCAAATTTAATAATAAACTAGGTGACCTGGCAAACGTTGTTTTGTCATAATATGTAGTATTTCGACCACAATTAGATTACCACAAAAACGGTTCTCAGTTAAGTTTTCAAAGATTTCAAAGAATTTCCCCGTTTTTTAACATTTCTCTTTATTCCTTTGGTCTTATTAGACGCAGCCTAATGTTTTACTTTAAGCGTTTCTCGATAAACGCTCGAATCACCACAAAATTATTTTCAATTCGAACTAGCCCCTGAGATAAGCGCTTTCAAACTCTTCAGCTTTATAACAGTAGTATAAATGTAATGTTAGGAACATTCTAGGAAAAATATAAACTATTGCCCGACGTGCCTGTGCATTAGGCATTCACACCATGAATTAAAAAAAAAAGGAATATTATAAACTTACCGCTTCCAATTCGATCCTTGCATTCAGCGTATCTTGGTCCAGTCTTATTTAAAGACGAATTCGTTAAATGTCTGTACGGGTTGTGTATATCTGACAGTGTATACTTGTCGGTACCTAAAGAAATAATGAAATCACTTATTTATATAAAAATAGAAAGAGAGAGAGAGGCTCTCTGCTATGAAACCACTATTTTTGCTCGACGGTTCATTAGTAGCATTGTATGACTGAAAACAATTGAATTCAGATTTTTTGATTATGTTATATATATCTCTGATTTTTTACATACATTTTCACTAAGTATATAATTGAACTAGACAGTAAATGAGTGGTAGGAATATTGAAACGCCGTGAAAGATAATTTCACATTTTAGTTGCGTTTTATAGACTTTCTAACATCCACAGCTAACGGGTCGCCAGCTCTTTTTAGATGCAGCGTTAATTAGACAGATTATAGGATTGACCAATTTCTCTTGTGTCTCCTCTGTCATATTAGACGCTACTTACCAAATCTAGCTAAACCCTCAGCGTACATATAGGCTGTCAGCGGCCTGTAACCGGGAACACAGACATACAATCTAAGATCAAACTTGTAACCCGCAATGAGAAGTGGCCGCTCTATATAACGCTGCACTACAGCTGGTGTACCACATCGAAGTTCGCATATGCTCTAAAAATCAAAAGATCAAACTATTAATTCATAAATAGTTAAAGCACGTGAAGTGCTGGCACTCTAAATAAATAAGTTCAAATCGTACGTAAAACAAAAACTGCTAGAGTTATCATGACGTTAATCAATATTTAAATGGTGAAAATGCTTGGAGTGTGGAGGAACCCGCTCCTACAAGGAAAAATATGTAGTGCACTAAAAGTACTTAAAGAATGTAAAATGATTGCCAGTTCTTCTCGTTCTGAGAACTGGTAGTAAATGTAAAGTTAGATTACTAGAATAAATAATTTTTGATTTTAACAATCTAAAATACGACGTCCATTATTGGCTAGTAAAAGAACAAAAATTTAATTGTCCAGTATAGGAATATGCAATTAACGAGTTTTGAATCTGGTTTTGCAAGTTGTTCTATCAAGGTGAAACGAAAAGAAACGCTTGTCCCTAAAGTTTTGTGTATGAAAGCTTTTTCTGTATGAAAAGGGAGAAGTGTGGAGTTTACATAATATGGACCTCCGGATAGCTAAAGCCAAAACTGGTCGCCAGAGCATCTTGTGGAGGTGGTATATGGTAAGGTATTTCACTTTCATCCAGTGAACCGCATGCATGTCTGTCTTCTTCTATTAAAAAAAACCTACTATTACTACTTCCGCGATTAAGTTTAAACCTTTCACAAGAGACTCTTAGTACGAATCTCAGAACCATATAACAATGTGGTCAATAGTTGTCACAGAAATTCGATTACCTAAAAATAAAATCGATACGCGTTACATACTGAGAAATACACAGTTCATTTCCGAGTGTCAATGTTTGTTTTACGTACCTTAGTAACTATAATTATTTATTTCATTACTATTATTATATTATTACGTACCTCGATTAGAGTATAAACTGGTGATATTTTAATTCGAGACCTGTCTATCCAGAACTTAAATTTCCCTGTAAGGAAGTAGCCCAAATGTTTCCTAATAGTAATTAAAAACATATTATAATTAGGCTACGTACATTCTATTATTTTCCATAGATCTGACTTTTGTATTTATAAAACGATCAATCTATTTGAATGATTCTCTATTCGTTAACGTGGATATATTATGACCTGCCTCAATCGCGTGATTACGAATACTTAGCTTAAACAACTGTAACTTACTAAACCCATAAATGACGTACGATGTGGAACGAGATTTAGTTATCAAAATTATTCGGGTATTAGCCTCGTAGCGCATGCCAAAACGAGCTGATAAAAATAGATCTATTCCACCTACTGTTAATAACACCTCAAACGAAAGTAAATTTCCACATATTGCTAATATTATCCAAATTAATAATAATCAGAATACCAGTTAATGCCATCGGATTTTCCACCGCATTTATGTCTTAATAAAAGGTCTTAGTTCAAGTTTCGATTTCGCAAAGCATAGTAGTCTAATCAGGACACATGTCCCTCGGTCGCGGATAGACACAGAAATATGTCCTACCAACCTCTCACCGGGATAAAACACACAGTTCTTAGTCATAGACAAGTCTGTTTTTAAATAAAACACTTTAACGGTTTAAAACGCGATATATTGGTTAAACTTATTTGAAAATATATATCGCGTTTTAAACCGTTAAAGTGTTTTATTTAAATGTGTACTACTCGCGTAAACTATAGACAGTATTCAAGTCTGTTTTATTTAGATTTACCCTATACCCCATGCCACACCATGGTATGTACCATACAGCATCTAACCTAGATACCAACCTCGTCAGCCTATTTTGGCTTTGGATATTCGGAATACTTGGTTATTAGCTGTTACCATTAGACCAATGACCACGTCGAAAACTACATAAAATTTGTATGTTTTGAGACTTCTTCTATCTTTACTTACTCTGAACAAGAATATCCCCCGGCCCTGACTTTGCGCGACTGGCTTATGTATCCAAACGACATTGGCGCCTTCATCACTGCGTCTCAGTCTGGAGCACTCTGACACCAGCTTGGCATATTCTAACGGGAGATGGAAGCAAGGCGGGCTGAAATAGTTAACAGCGTATTACCTATACATGTGAAAGAATGCATTTTTTTGTACATCGGATAAACCTAATAACAACAGTATTTAAAAAAAATATTATCTTTATGGGATTTTTTTATGATAATAGTAAATCGGTGATAATTGCAATGTTGCAGTAATTAATTAATATAATACAGGGTCTTATACGTTTTACTTTAATTACAAAAAACGAACGCTGACTACATCAATAATCCTAGAATTAGCATCGTCTGCTGTACATTATTAAAATTGGTGCAATATTTTTCCTTTCGTGTTCACCCTTCTCATGAAAAGCCATGAAGTGTAAAGCGACAAAATCGTAAACTAAAAGTAAACTACATCACTGTCTAAAATGTTTTTATTTGCTTTACTTAAAACTGTTTATTCCTAAACGAGCACAATACTTTGTCTAATGTAGGGTGATAAGGCTACGAATTTATAATAGGGATGGAATAGAATATAATAGTTTGTAATGTGATAGATTCGATTATACATAAAAAAAACAATAAACACTATAAGCATTTGTTAAACTACGACTATATAAAAATACTAATAATAAAAATGTATTCTGAAATTAGATGAGAAAAAAAAGCAAGAACTCCTCCCCTCTTTGTTCTTATTGTTATTATATTATAATAAATACTAATATGGATTTTTTAGTTATAAAGTAGTTGCATAACATCATCCTTACTAATATTATAAAAGAGTAACAGACAGACAGACAGAGTGTCTGTCTGTCTGTTACTCTTTCAGGCCGAAACTACTGAACGAGTTTGAATGAAATTTGGTACACAGATGGTTTAGACCCTGAAAAAGAACATAGGCTTTTTATTGCGAAAAGGGGGTTGTAAGGGGTTAAAAGGGGGGTGAAAGTTTGTATGAAAATTCGTGGTTTTTGAAGCTAGAACAATAAAATTTCTTCTCTGGCTTTATGGGAATAGGTTAGAGTAAATAGGTTAGGTAGTAGTTAGAGTAGGAGTAATGTGAGCTTACAACATAGATTGGCTGCGATAAATGCGCAATTACACAAATTAATAAACAGCCTAAATAATTAAAAATTCTACCCCAAGTCACTATTTCACGCGAACGAAGTCGCGGGCACAGCGGTAATAAACCGAAAACGTTAGGTGTAAATGTCAAACGTATCACCCTACATTGCACTAAGTATAGTTTGCATGCAATCTGGTGCATAGAGTATTATTTATAGACAATCACGTTAATTCTATTGCACATAGCGAGTGACATTGACTTTTTCTTGGGATCACGCGAATGTCGGTACCACTTGGGGTAATTGCTATAAAAGCACGGCTCATTAATATTCCCAACTATAATTTAATATTGCCTCGAACTTTCGCCTTCGTCCCGCGGCAGGAGTTCTTATATTGACCTTTGAAAGCGAATTTAAACTTGGCCAATTTCATTTTGCAGTATTAGTTCCTATAGGGGGAGAGTTCTATTGTCTGGTGCTTCCTGCCTCTTCATCGGTCATAATGCATCAGTTGTTTATAGTTACCCCAAGCATTACTACTAGCAAGAAACATTACAACTTATGATTGTTTATAACTCCCAATTCCTCCTAAAATAATTTTCTTCCACATTTCCCACTGTCTCTTCGTTAGGTTACAGCGTGATGTTTTATATCCTTAAGTCTTCCTCTATAAACGCTCTAACCAACAAATAAATAATGTTTTCAATTCGAACCAGTAGTTCTTGAGATTAGCGCGTTAAAATGAACTTTACATCTGTATATATTAGTACGGATAGTTTGAGCCGCCAGAACGTTTGTCCAGCCATGCAAATCCTTGCAAGACACTATTGGCCAAAATAGACCGCAGATATTCGGCAAGTGTTAGTTTTAAAAGGTTTTTAGCGGCTTCGTCAGGCATTTGAGCCGCTGTAATTATTGCATACAGTGCAACTATCATGACCTATATAATAATAATGTTAGGCACAAATAAATAACATTGTACAAGGATTGGAAATTACGGTATTTTTCCATGTTCTTAGTGCCGTGAGACACGCTAGCGTACGCGTGATTTCATTCAAATCGTCAATGACGTCGAGCAATTGACTCGTGCCCTGAGGAATACGACGATATGATTGACATTTCTTTACTTAGACTGCGTCCACGTTGGAGGAAAAGTAAACAGAATACGGATGGTAGCGTAGTAGATGGCGCTAGTACGTAGACACTGCGCCCGCGCCTTAGTTACTAGGTGCTTTTTTGTATTTACCTGTCAAATGTTTCGTATGAGAATAACCTACTTACACAATCCATATGACGAAGTTGATAGATTATGAACAATAAAGGAAATAAAGTTATAGAAAGTCCTATTCACCTGGGAACACAGCCTTATTTTTCAGCGTTACACAGATACTGATGTATAAAGCACATTTTAGATGCATACTTTTTGAAGGAAATTTGACATAAAATTGGATCCTAGACATCATTAATCCGTGTGCACTTACCCTTATGTATATTTAACAACTTTGAACTTTAGTAGAGCGGAAAAAAGTTAGTTTTCGTTACTTTAGTTACTTCGTTGATATGGGATTAGAATAAATTATTTCGGTCGGGCTGGGCACAGTAGTGTGCTTTAATTTTAACTATGAATTAAACTGATCATAATATCACCCCATTTCCCAAAGAATTTTACTTTTATAAAACTCAAGACGTAATTATATTTTTAAATCTGACTAAGCAATAATATGATTGGATCCCAAAGAATAAATGGATCATGTATAAACATAAAGCTGGATGACTATATACTATAATTTCATACACAAATAACGTAGGCATTTAATTACAACATTGATAAAGAGGTATTCGAACCTAGAATCGAACCATTGATAGACTGGTAGACTGGTAAATTGATAACGAAAGAACTTGATGAATTTTTATCGCCGGCGTAAAAAAAAATGCACGATCTATTTACTTTATTTCGATCTACTAGTTCGTTTCAATATTTTAAATTCGCGTTATTTGTTAAACCTTTCGGCTAGAGGGAGTAGACAGAAAAACAGCGCTGTACGTGTATTCGTCAGCATTCAGCTGAGTCTGATTCTCGAGGTGCCACAAAAGCATTAAATCTTCTGAATGTATTATTTAGTATCGTGCCAGTAATCAAAATATCCTGTCTTTCTTTCCTTGATTACTGTTTACCGTAACAGTCGTCCCTAATTTCTCTGCTCATAACATCCGTTATTTCAGTATTAAATCATTTTACAGCCTTATTGTACATTCATGGGATCGCGTGCCGTTTTTTTACGACTTTAAATTAACAGAGGCGAATTTTATTTATCGGTTTCATTCAGGTTGCGTCTAATTCTGATTCAATTCCGATATTAAGAACATCTGGTTATCGTAATTTTTGATGTCATTGTCGTAAAATATAAATTAAAGCTAATTAAATCTTAAACGTTAACTTCTTCCGCGAGCCATGAATTTGGAGTCACGAAACAAATTCACGTCAGCTGATGCTTTCTTTACAATAAATGAATAAGTACATACTTAGTTAATAGACAAAATTATTCAAGAGCTTTTTTCTACCTAAGATTTATGTACTAGCCGATATAAGTAGCCAAAGGAAAAAGTTGTGAAATAATATAAAAAATATAAAAGAGAATTATTAGTTAATCTTTACATTAGTGTGATGCACATACAATAGGTTAACGGTTATATAGGAATCGCACAATATATTTTAATATTTATTTCAATTTTTTTACTGTTTTCATTTTTAACCGTTAAATGTGTATTATTGAATCTTAATTTTATTAAAACAAATTTCCATTTGTGAATATATCTCAATAAAGTCTTAAATTTAAAATCATATATTTATTCATTTTAATAAGAAAGGTTAGTTAAGAATTATGTATTCTAAACGAACTAATATCAGAAGCAGCGTAAATAAACACAGTGTTATTGAAAGTATCTTCCAAGTAACATAAGCTATTTCGACACTATTTTTTTTCACTAATGCCGTAAAAGTCAGTTGTTACTTTTAAAGTTTTTTGACGGTTGTTAAAACTTCTACTGCATACAGAAGAATTTCCATTACTATTATTTTACATAAATGAAAATCAAATTGCAAACCTTATGTTCTCAGAGATAATTTTAACGCGTCAATTCCCACCGCGTCAACTTCAAGAGAGGCTTGAGTTTGAATCACGTAAAAACGTAAACTAATTTCCGTTAGGTTGGACACAGAAAAGTGTTATTCAAACGCATAAAAATGTCAATTTTGTGCATCCAGACACAATGTCCTTCCTCCTTGAGGAATCACAGGTATATTCACATTGTTTGTTGCTATTGTAATATTGTTGAACTTACCTAAAATCGTAAATAGGGCCGTATATTCTACGCATACATCTCAACAACCTTGACAGGCTGTCTTTGCGACAAATAGATCCTCCTTTCGGTATGTGATTCATAAACTGAAATTTTTGGGAAGATTGTCAGTACATTATAGCTAAAATCAAAAGTATCCTGTGAATATAATGATAACAAATTGTATTATTACATAGTCAATTAAAACAATATAAATATTACAACACATAGTTCACTAAGTTTTTATGAAAGTAGATACATAATTGTGTATTGTAAATTAACTGTACCCTCAAAATAGATTGCATGATTTTTTTGATTAAGGAGGACAGAGAAACATAGCTTCAATTGATGGTAGGTGAATTTTTCGATATGCTTTCGATATTCTCTAAATGCACAGACAGCTTTTTCATCTGTCGACGTTGGTTCGTGACCCGGGCGAAATTTTGATATTTGTACCACCCCTTTTGATATCGAGATGAGAACATCAATCTATTAGAAAAATGATGGAACCGGTGGGGACCGAACCCACGACCTATTGATTATTAGCCATACATTGCTACCATTACAAGAAATGTTTTAAATTTAAACAGATGAAATGAAGATCGATATTTAAAATTGATATTCCAGACGGGAGACACAAAACGAACTGTCAATACAAAACATTTTTTACTCATCAAATGGAAATAGACATGCAAAATGGTAAATTGTGCATTCATAGATCAAAATCGACGGAACGGAACCTATTGAGAAGGCTCGTCGTAAACATGAATAAAAAATATTGCCAAACACGAGCTACGATCATAAAACTATAGATGTTCACAGCGCATCGTCATAACTTTGGATTAGGCCGGAGCACGAGAAAATTCCATCGAGAGCCTTCAATGAACCATCGTATAAAAACGTTTTATTGCGTTCGCTTACTTTTACTTTATCACCTACATTTTTGCTCTGTAAACATTTTTCCCTTTATCGTCATCACCGTTACTTTTATTTTTGCCTTTTATTTAAATTACATCGTGTTTATTACCTTCGCAAAATTATCTGACATTATGACGAGCATTTGTACTTAACAAATTAAAAAACCTTTTCCTTCTGGATTAATTAAATTATTTAGTGACATATTCTTCTTTTTAAGTCTCAGAATCTTCTCTGAGATGCATGCTGCTACGCTACGCTTGAATGGCAATAGTTACTTATATGCATGGTTTACAAATATAGCCACAAAAACAACTTTAAGAACATTCTTAGCATTGTATAAACTTATTATAGCTCTATTGTTACCATTATTATCAAGTACTATTGTAATTCTCCATCTTCAAGGTCGCCTGGAAGAAATCGCTTAAATAAGGCCGCTGTTTCTCGCTTTATTTTTTAAAATGTCTTTTATTTGTAATTATTGTGGTAACAATAAAGTATTTTCTGCTTGTTTTGTTCGTTTGTTTGTCGAGTTAACGTTCAAAACACCATACAGTTTTGTTCTATTTAATGTTTTTGTAAATGAAATAAATAAATAATCATTACTTTACGATTATCCATCTTCAAATCAAATAAACGAAGCAATTAAAACAACATTGTTGTTTTTATAAAAAGTACAAATGCACCCTAATTTTGTTGCTCGCCAATTTTGCAGTCGTAACTTTTTGAAACAACTTTTTACCTGCCAGTCATCCAGAGCCTTATAGCAGGTTGCTGGAAAGGCACTGCTACGCCACCACAAGTTCCATTTCTCATCGCCAGAAGTATGGCTTTGATATATACGCCAGCCGCGTTCAGCGCAGACCTTTGAGTGTAAGTAAAAAACGAAATCAACACTAAATGTTAAAAAAAAAACAGTATTTAAATTTAACTTAAACCTAATCTTATTATCGTAATTAAGCAAAAACTGCAACTTATTTAATCATAAGTACAGTTTATATAGATTTAAAAATAGAAGATGCTTATTTTTGTGTTTAAAATTAAATATATATGACTTAAGTACATTTTTTAATTCTAAATTGGCACAATTTTATGAAAAAAACAGACATCTAGAGAACGAACACGAAGAAACCATATGTACTACCACATTACACATTATACATATCATAAAATGAACCCAACATTAAAATTACTGCATTGCATTACCTTCACCAGCAAACTAGGCCCCGTTCCATTATCATTAAGTCTATAAATAAAAGGCTCGTCGCTATCCATTTGTTTTGCCATAGTCTCTACCTATAAATAATCGCAGATAATAAATAATCATTAATGAAATAATCTAATAAGAGTAATTTTTGTTCTGAAGATGATGGAGGTTATCTATGATGGCCTCAATCACCCACCGAATTACACTTAACGTATTTAAGGCTATACAATTTTAGTTTGAAAAAGATATTCCACAAACGGAGATCTACTAACAGATATAATCGCGAGGGTTCACCTACGAATGGTAATGAAAATAATTCTAATAAAAAAATGTGTTGAAGCGGCACGTCTTGCTGTGGTTGTGGGTTCCCGTGGGCTAAAATATTTTAAATGTATCGAAAGCTATCATGTGTAGCATGTAAAAATTATAAAGATTTGCCGTGTTTATTATATATTTACAAAATAAGTAACTATAAATATTCTAAATACGAAATAATCAGTGTTACTCACATATCAAGAAAAAGATATAACCGAAATGTCGATTAGTTCAATGCGAAAACTTTTTCGTATTTCGAATACGGAGGGAGCGGTGTGCGACTTCACCCCTCGGTAGCTCTAGGGGCACTATTCCTTACATCAAAACTGAGGAAAATAATTTATAGCGTGGCATGCCAGGATTCGTGACAACGCCGCTTGAGGAACAAAATGCGCGCGTAAGTAACGACGTGGTGGTCCTCACTCGAATTAAAAGTTTTTCCAGTATCTCCAAAGGGAGATGGGGCAGACACATATTTGTGTCTATTAATCGAATTCGTTTATTCTGAGAAATAGTTAATAGGGACTAAATCTAAAGTGGTTACAGTACAGTTGATATATTGTGAAATTTTAGTGGAAAATTCTGCATTCAGTTATGGAAACAATTCGAACCCACGACGACCATACGTGCTGCTTTATCGTGGAAGTATTTTTATTAGAATTAGTATTATTTTCATAGGTTTACAGAACCCTATTACTATACTGATTATATTTGTCAGTGGACCCCCGTTCGTGAACTCAATATTTTTTACTTTATTTACATGGATTATTTTTTTTTCCGGGGATTTTTTTTTATCAGCATTTACAATTGGGATTCAAAATCTTGGATTAACACAAGGCTAGACTACTAACTTTTATACGTTTAGCTACAAAATCAGGCGAAAACCTCTAATGGGTACTGACAGCTAATCTATCCTAATTTACCCGTCTAAAACTTTCCAAGTAGCAGCATAAAAAATAGGTATGTAATGGAATGAAAAAGACGATGGTCTCTCTCAATGTATTCGTTACTTAAAAACCCAAAAATAAAAAGCTTACCCTAGCATGTTATTTCCAAAATGTTGATTTTTTCTCTTCCCTACCTTATATTTTCTTGATATCTTGCAATATTTTTTTAGCGTCATGTAAGTCACATACTTCATTATCATTGTAATTTACGTGACACATAGAAAAATAAATTAAAATATTTGTATTTTGCATAATCTATATATAATAAAATGTTTCTAATTTTGTACTAACCATACAAAAGATAAGGTTGCTTCTTAAGATGTAGGGATAGCGACTTTTTACAAAGCTTAGTCTAAGTAGCTATAAAAATATACCGATTAATTCAAAGTATACATTGTTGTCTGAGAATATTTTAATTGAATTAATCTCCGACGTTTTCATGTTTTAATTAATGTTTAAAAATATATAAATACAGTATATTATCATTGTAAATCAATAATGTACTTTAGTTTATTTGCTTTCGCTAATAAGCCAAGAAGTGCTGTGTTTTAAATATTTACAACGGGGAGTAGGAGAGTGTTTGCTTATTATTCGTGGTTCGTTTTAATTTCATTTTAAACATGATTCTCTGGTCGATCATTATTTTGTGCGTCGTTTTGTACAGTCTTTTTCGTTTGAAAAGGCTTGGTTTATACGCAATGGCCAAAAAAATAAGCCGGACAGAGGACGATGTTCCAATCTTGGGAATGTCTTTATCTTTATTAGGAACTTCAGAGGGTAAGTATAAAGCAAACTGCTTTTTAGACTTTATGACACATAAATTTAAATAATTATATCACGTAAGGCAAAAATATATATGTATTTAATAATACGGAAACATCAGTAACATATCGTAGGGAATGGGAAGTAAAAAATAAAGAATAGATGTTTCCTTAAATAGTTTCTCAAATAAATTCGAAGTTTAAGAATGAACGACGGAATTGAAATTACAAAATTATTTAAGCATACTTACATTATATTTACTGTTTATACACAGAGGTTAGACTATTAAATCCAATTCGTTTGGGACCAAAAAAAAAAAAGTTGGGAAGCAAATTTGTTTTGGTTCCTTTGTGCTCACACAGGTTCCCACTACTTTTGCGAACCATCCTAATCATCTTTGTCAAAAATATAATACCTATCGAATTTTAAACAGTTAAAAGTGTTTTATTTTAACTAAACGGTCGATCAACCATTTACTAATATGTCTAATGCTTTACTTTATCATCCAGCCATAATGAAAAAACTGCAAGACCACTCTTGTACTACAACAGGCTTAGGGGGTTTTAGTAAGGCGTGGCTAGGTCCATTTCTCTATTACAGTAAGTGTTCAAACTTTTTAGTTTTTAATACTTATTATTTGTGTAGACTTCTTTTATGATACAAAAAAGCTTACAAAAATAAGAAAAAAATGTGTGAAGTCATTGCTTATTTTCAGTGGTAACTGACGCTCGCAAAATAGAGGTTATACTAAAAAATCATTTGGAAAAAGATAAGATAGTGAGATTCCTACGATACGTTGTTGGTAATGCATCAATTTTTGCACCAGGTATGTACACTAAAATCAGTTGGATGTTCTAACGTTTTGTGTTATCTGTTAAGAATCAAATATTTTCAAATTAAAATGTATGATACATGGTAGACAAGCCTTCACAATAAATAGAAGGGGAAATGTCCGTACCATTTTTCAATAATACCAACACTGAAATTCGTGAAACATCTAGAATAACAAAAATTAGAACAAGATTTTTTTAAAAGATCACGAGCCGTTAAGTAAATTTTTTTTTATCAATAAGGAGTACAGACTAGCTTGGGGTTTACTTGATGGAAGCTGAAATACCCAAGCCTTATAACACCTCAATAATATGTGCTGTCATCCTATAGCCTTGAATAGGAACACAGACTGAAACCGAAACGCGGTTACAATTTACAGCTTTTTCATCTGTGGACGGTGGTTTGTGACTCGGAGGGAATTCCGATTTACCTACCAGTAAACCCATAATTTCATTCCAGTGCATATATGGAGACCGCGTCGCAAAATCGTTATGTCAGCATTCACTCCAAAAATATTATCCGGCTTCGTTGACATTTTTTCGATACAAAGCGAAAAATTAGTAGGAAAATTGAAGCCATTTGCTGGCAAAGGCCAATTTAAAATTTGGTCATACATCAACGCATACAGCCTGGATGCAGTTATGGGTAAGAAATATGCGTTTAGTTCTTTTAAACACTTTTTACTCACTTGCTTACTTACTTACTCCGCTGGCGCAGCGACCCAAAGTAAGTCTTGGCCTCCGAAACTTTCCGAAACCGAGACCTTTGTGACAAAAGCAGGTTGGAAAAAGTTCAAAAACTATTTATAAAGAAGCTAATTTTTTTAACTCAATACAAACCTAATAATTATAACGAAGCTTGTGCACATCATAATATTAACACTCTAAAAGACAGAAGAGATCTAACAGACATGATGATTTTTTACGACATTCTCCATAATAAACTTGAGTGCCCGAACATATTCCGTAATATTTTCTTTCAAGTGCCAAGCCTTCGCACTAGACATACAAATCTTTTTTACGTTCCGTACACCTCCACTTCTTACTTAAAACATTCCCCTCTTTATCGCCCGATATTTACAATAAAATATAATTGTCATCCATACACATTTTTAATCATTCACGCCCCGTCTTTAAAAAAGACCTAATTAGCATAAATAACATACTCACATTCACATACAAAAAACACACCCCCATCCCTGGATACGTCAATTCAGTTCTTGTTTTATGCACCTATAATATAGAACCTTGTCACTTGGGTAATCTCATTAATTTATTATTTGTAAATCCTTTTAATTGGCGTAATTGATTGCCCAATTATGAGAAAAAAATTACTTTTAGCTGTAAGGATTTCTGTAAATAAAGCTTACTGTTCTAAATACCTAAAATATTAAAGTTATGTTATATTTTCATCTATATGTGTGTAGTATTAAATTTTATATATATCTTTAGTGGTGTTGTAAATACTGCAACTCATTTGTTTTTTTTTAGAGACTGCAATGGGTGTTAAAATAAATGCCCAAGATAACCCCGGAAAAAGCCCAATTTTGTCAGCAACTAATAGTGTCTTATATTACATCTGCGCAAGGATTTTTCGAGTGTGGATGCATCCTGACTGGGTGTACAGGTGGTTCCCTCAACGTGCAAAACTAGAGCATTATACGAAGATATTACACAAATTCACAGATGAGGTAATAAAGTCAAATTAAGTATTGTCTGTAGTTTATGTGAACTACAAATCAAATAAACATTGTTGACGGTTTAGTTTAATGTATAGAGCGTTGAAAGTGTTTTATATTGAATCATTGGAAATAGTTAGACATTTTTATATGAGTTCTTAAGATTTTTTAAGTAGCTTTTATGTATTAAACTGTAGAAAATTTGAATCATATTTTAATAAGATTATAAGGGCATTGAAGATGTCATCAGAGGCTCTAACCAACCGGAATTAGGCAAAAATCCCTAGAGAACACAAATTCATTATTTGAGACAACGACGGAACTAGATCATCGATTTTAAATACTGTCTATAGTTTAAGCGAGTAGTACACATTTAAATAAAACACTTTAACGGTTTAAAACGCGATATATTAGTTAAACTGATTTAAAAATGATTTTTAACTTCGGTCCGACGTTTCGGATGCTTTGCAGCAGCCGTGTTCACGGGGAGACTTATATATTTAAATAATCAATTTTTGTGAAAAAGAGGGTCAGAAGTGTATATGCCATCTCCTACGTCCTACAGATGAAACTCCTACCTACATCCCTATTGTAAAAAAAGACTTAAAATAGTTAGAAAGAAAGTTAGAAAACAGATAAGTAATTACGAAGGTAGAGGGTAAATACGGATTAAAATTCTAAATCTTCATTAAAAAATAACAATTATTTATTATTTTATATTAATTTTAAGGCACTGCTTATATGTTCTAACTTTAACTTAATTGTTTTTTACTTTATATTATTTAGTAATTAATTAAATATTTATTTATTTATTTAGATTATAGAAAAGAAAAAGGCGCTTATTACAGAACAAGACAAACTCCGGATGGATGGCGAAGGTGGGGTTTTTTAAATTTGTGGTTGATCAGATTTCTATGCTCTTGCCCTACAGAAAAGTAATATCGTTTTCTCGGTATTCGAATGTCCCAACTGTCAAATACTAATAGTTGTCTTTCGTTGTATAGTATGCACAGATAAGATAAAAAATAATTTTATGTTTTTGTTTCAAACCAATATATATTTTTTTAATTTTGATGACTATACCGTTCATATCACCGACACTCCGTATTTTTTTAGATATCAGTGAGACAACTACTTTTCTGGATATACTAATAAGGCAATCTGGAGGTGAAAGGGGTTACAGTGTCAAAGAATTACGCGAAGAGGTTTTGACCTTCCTCGTGGCAGCAATGGACACATCTGCAGTTACAATGGGATACACTCTGAAACTACTGGGCAAATATCCCGCGGTGCAACAAAAAGTCTTTGACGAGTACGTGATGCTTAAAGCTTATTGGGGTTTGCGCACTCGACAGTTGTGATTATCATCATCGTCAGTCGTCACTTAGAGAAAATAATGCTCAATATGCAGGACATTATCCATTTGTGACGACGAAAAGTCGACAATAAATTTTTCAATTCCGACGGCCGAACACGTTGAAATCCCGAAAAGCCAATTTTTTTTTTTTTTTTTTTTTAAACTCATTGCTATAATTTTTGGGGTGTTAATAAGAAATAGAAAATCATATCGATAGACTTGTTGTAAACGTTCAAAATACAAGGATTACAAAATAGAGTTATTAAAACTCTAATATTCAAAGCTTCTCCAAAAATTTGTTACGTAATTTATACTTTATTCTAACATAATAAATGTAAAGTGAGCTTTTTTATCCATTTTCCTCCCTGTTTGATTTTGGTATATAATTAGGTAGTTGCAGGGCGGATGTGGCGGTATTTTAAACATTTACAAAAAATTTAGTAATACGAACACTAGCACTACAATATAGCGACTGCTAACATCTTATTCTCCGAGGGTGATTCACGAAAATAAGATTTTGTCTTAATGGCACAATATTTAAATTCTTAACTTTACAAGAGCGGAGCCGTACATAAAAGCAAGTTAAATGTTTGTAGGCTGGATGTAGTATTTGGTGATTCAGACCGGTTGGTGACGAGAGAAGATTTGCCTAAGCTTCAATGTCTGGAAAGAGTTATAAAGGAGGCATTGAGACTATTCCCTCCTACTCCATTAATCATTCGAGAAGCTTCTGAAAATACGGTAATTGGTAAGTTTCACTATTGTATATCCAAATTAAACTGGTGACGAAAGGTAAAGGAAATCACTGGATAATAAAAACGTTAATAATTAATAGGTTAAAATTTAAAGATTTGCGTTTACTGTCTGTAGTGATACGGACTAAGGAAAGATAAATCATTAAATTGTCATTATTGACAATTATAAAATAAAACTATTAACTAATAAGAATTATAAAATATAACTATTGCGAATGCTTCTATCTTTGCTACACGTTTTACACTATTGGTTTGTGACCTAGTAGTAAATTTAAATTAAAGCGATGTCATTTCAAATAATATTTAACCATGTAAATTATATAAATCAACATAAGAATTTGTATTGAGAACTTTATTAATTTTTACATGTTATTGCACATCAAGGCACTACATAATTTAAAAATCCAAAAAAAAATTTCGAGCTCGGGCAGGACTTGAACCGGCATCGTCAGCGTTCCGTGCTGTTGCCACCAATTGAGCTACCGAGTCCTACAACGTGGGACTCAGTAGCTCAATTGTCGACTTTTAAATTATATGAATTTGTACTCATTTAATTTCGAACATTTATCATTTTACAACGAATTATGATATTATAAAGACATTTTGATTCCCTTTGCAAAATGATTTAATTCCCTCTCAAAATATTTATGAATAATACTTCTTAACGACAACTGTACCTTATATAAGTCAAAGGATAAAAACGACTTTATAAAAACCATTTTTAACTCAAACATAACCTCCAAAATATTCCTCTTCATTTATACGCAGTTACAAAAACTGTTTAAAAAATAATCGATATTTATATATCATGTGTTTCAGATGGCATCACAATTCCTAAAGGATCGGGTCTGATAATAAGCCTATATGGTGTGCACAGAAACCCTAAATATTGGGGTCCAGATCCTCACTGCTTCGATCCAGATAGGTTCCTTCCAGAGAGATCCCAAGATCGCCACCCTTGTGCATACATTCCGTTTAGTCATGGACCTCGAGGATGTCTAGGTTGGTTTTAAGTGAATCAAATAATCACACGACATTCATTGTTTAGGGCAGACATATTTCTGCGCCTGTTTTACAGAAGGATTCTATTCTATCTTTGTATAATTGGGATTCGATCCTGTCTGTAGTTTACGCGAGTAGTGCACATTTAAATAAGACACTTTTACGTGGTCACCACGATGACCACGGGTGCTGCAAAGCATCTGAAACGTCGGGTCGTAGATAAAATGAATTCTAAATTAAGTTTAACTTATATAGTATATCGCGTTTTAAACCGTTAAATTGTTTTATTTTGAAATAAGCCCCATTTATGTCTTTGTGCAGGTTATCAATACGCGTTAATGTCGATGAAGACTTTGCTGTCCTCTGTATTACGTCGCTACCGTGTTGTTGGTGAACCCGAAAATGGACCTATTCCTAACATTCGGGTTAAGTTGGAGATCATGATGAAGGCTGTGGATGGCTTTGAAGTTGCTTTAGAAGAGAGAGTATAAATTAAAAGAGGTTTTTAAAAAAATTTTGTTGTTACTCACAAAACATTTACCTATTCATTTACCAATAAAAACAAACAGATATATTTTAATTCTATCTATAGTTTATCCAAGTAGTACACATTTAAATTACATTATAACGGTTTAAAAGGCAAAATATATTAGGTAAACTTATTTGATATCAGTTAAAATTATATTGACACCCTCAATCTTTAGTCAGCCCGTAACCAATGCTGCTGCAAAGCAACCAGCCATAGTTAAAATATTTTCCAAATAAGTTTCACTAATATATTTCGCGCTCCAAACCGTTGTTTTATTTAAAACATATATTTAAATACTTGGTTTTAATGACAAAGTATTTTCGTAACGTAAAAAATTATAGAAGGCATCGCAAAAAATGCACATAAAAGACATGTCTTATTGAGTTTCAGTCTTGTGTCATTTTATGTTTCATGATGTTCGCGTCAATATTCTTTGTTTTGTGTCTCCTGTCGTATTGTGTGTTTCGTTTTAATAGACGGCATATATACACAATGGCTAACAAAGTGAGTGGGAGCGAAGACGATGGGCCACTGTTTGGTATTGCTATACACTGTTTAGGAGATACTGAACGTAAGTAATATACATATTACTTATACATACACAGACGACAAAAATGAGGTGACGAATAATTTTATCCAATTTCACCAAGAAATATTCACTGTGTTTAAAATTGACTGCAAGTTGAACTGGAATTACTCTAATGAAGTACACAAAGGTACAAAATAAAACAACTGAAGATCATCTTAACTAAATTTTATTTTCCTTCCAAAGAAACATCTCTTAGAATTCGTTGAGACTTACATAACTACTTACATCTATGAAATAGATAATGGAATCCATTTTAATATTAAGCACAGAAATAATACGTTTATTAAAAAACAATCAACAAACGACAGTTTAACATTTACAATTAAAATTGATTCTACAAACATACAAATTTAATTGAATTTAAAATAAATACACCAATATCGTTTATTTATTTTATTTAAAAAAAAACATAACAGAAATACCAAAAGAATACAATTTTATAATAAGAATAAATTATAAGTAATATAATGTAAAGGTGGATCCTAAAATTTTACAGTTTTCAGTTGCCTCTGCAAAGGAAGCCACGTTAGGATTAATGTTCCCACACTGATGTTCTATGATTTAGTTTCATGATAATGTAATGATAAAATTCAATTTTAAGCATTAATAACAATATTTTTATTCAATTTTTAGATATAATGAATAAACTTCAAGAATATTCGTGTGTCACAACGAGTCTGAATGGTTTCGCAAAAGCTTGGTTAGGCCCACTTCTTTACTACAGTAAGTTTATATTACCAGGAATATTTTAGTTTATATTCATACAATATAAGTTCAAGATAAATTTACTACCAACTTTCTCTACGCGAGGTATCCAAACAATAATTCCGTTGTCCGTGGTAATTTTGTCCGTAAGTGTTTTATATAGCTATAATGGCATAGCTCCATTATTTATCCTTAAAAGAGTTCTCTCAATACCTTCTCTAAATAGTACCCCATGGGCAAGACATGTATTTAATTATAATGATGCATTTTGCAGTGATAACAGATCCCGAAAAGATAGAATACGTACTAAAACATCATTTGGAAAAGGACAATTTGCATCGATTTATTCGATATATCGTTGGCTATGCATCCATTTTCGCACCAGGTAAATTATATATGTAGGTTTAAATTAATGGGATATAATTTATTTCCTTCGATTTCATAGATTTTCAGACACGAATTTTAACATTTTGATAAATCAAGAAAGAAAATTGACATGTAATAAGACATGCCCGTAAAGTTTATAGGGCTGTTTAGAACCTTTAAATGAAATTTTTGTTTTGGTATAACAGAGGAAACACCTGTATTTACAATTTCTCGAACGCCTGTACTCTGTCGACTATGAGCAAAATAAAAAACAAATTGATCTATCAATCTTATAATATGATAAATTATATTTCCAGTGTCTATTTGGAGGCCGCGCAGAAAAATTTCAGTTCCAGTATTCAGCCCCAAAATTATATCCAGCTTCGTAGATGTATTTTCAGTACAGAGCGATAAACTTTCTAGAAAACTCAAGGTATTGGCTGGTACAGGCAACTTTAAAATATGGTCTTACATCAACGCGTATAGTCTCGATGCTGTCTTAGGTAAGATATAAAGATAAGTTGTTTAGTAAAGATACGTATTGAATTAATTTATTTGAAAAAATGTGTTTGACGCCATCGAAACTAAAGACTTCTCATTTAAATACTCTTTTGAATTATGTATGCAAAAAATTAAGATAAAGATTTCTTAAGGCCATCGATAACGTAACGTTTAGTATCACAATTTTAATTCGAAAGTTTTTTTATATTTATGAGACTTTACGATTGGGAAAAATCTTATTAAACATTAAGTTTTTTCCAGTCACAAAGTTATGTATGAGTAATATCAAAAATATAATACCTTTTTTTGTTTTGAATTATCCTGTTTGTAAAGTTTATTAGCGACTTTAATTTGCTTCTTTTTTACGAAAACTGAGCTTGAATCATTCAAAAACATTCATGACAAATTTCTTACAGATAGAGTTAAACAAATTTTTGGAACACTGAGATTCGTATGAGAACTTTTACATCTGTAAGGCATTTAACACGTTAAGTCTTTATAATGGTACGAATAAATAGTTATTTATGTAAGAATAAATAAAGAAACATCACAGAAACAATAAAATAATACAATTTAATAGTAAAAATAAAGTGTATAACTTAAAGGTCCATCCTAAAAAACTTTCACCGATAATTTATGCATACAAGTAAGTTACAACATAAGATATCTTTAAATTATTAATAATCAGTAAACACAATAAAATTCCCCAAACAAGCCATTAAGTTAAAGCTTGTACCTGAATAAAGAATGTAATAATAATAATTCTTTATTCAGGTACAACCCACTTTATACAAATATATCATAAAATAATTAAAATTAAAATAATAATAATTGTACTAAGTTAATATTACTGTTTATTTGCGGTTGCTGTCAGCGTGCACGTTTGCCCAGTTACTTAAAATGGGATTGTTTAGGTACTCGGAGAAAGTTTGCACTATATACGATTCGATGATGTGTTAACGCGACTCCAAAATGATGCGACCCTCGATCTTATGATCGCGTAAAAGTCCGATACCCTTGCCTCAGATAACGCTGTTGCGTGCTGGATGCACTGAAAACCCTTGTAAGCCCCATGAATGCGTAAGGCATCATTGTGCTGTACCCAAACGCAAGTTAGTTCTATAACATTGTTTTTTTTTATTATGTGACAACTTGCGCCTGCACTACGGAGGGGGGCACGTAAATATGTCAACACGGTCTCCCCGTGACCACGGCTGCTGCAAAGAGTCCGAAACGTCGGGCCGAAGTTAAAAATCATTTTCAAATAATTTTAACTAATATATTGCGTTTTAAACCGTTAAAGTGTTTTATTTAAATATCAACACTGTTAGATCTTATATTGTACGATTTACACATTCTACGTAAAGGCATTCGAAACCCATATCAGTGCAATTGAAACCAGTATCCGATTACAAGTACATTCTGGTTTCCAGAGACGGCGATGGGTGTGCAAATAAACGCCCAAGATAACCATGAAAACTCAATTCTCACAGCGACAAATCACGCTTTATATTACGCGTGCGAGAGAATCTTCCAACTGTGGCTGCAGCCTGACTGGTTATACAAATTCTTTCCTCAACATGCGAAATTAAAGAGCGCTACTAAAGTAATTCACGAATTTACAGATGGGGTAAGTATAACTTGGAGCACTGCGTGGAATTCATTACCAACAGGTTCGGTAGCTATCAATAGTTTGGTCGCTCAATTGGTTAGACTATTAGAGAAACAGCACGGATCGCTGTGGATGCCCGTTCAAGTCCTGGTGTCGTAATTTTTTCAAAATTCAATTAGTTTTTTAATTTGTATTTACTTGGTTTCTTACAATTTTTCTGTAAGCAGGCTTAAAGTTGAGTAGATTTATAGTCCCTACTAGATTAAAAATATACACTTTTTTACCATAAAACTCGAGTACCCAGGATTACGACAGGTTTCGCATGATTGATGATAAAATATAATATATAGTTAACGGTAATTGTATAATTGAACTCAAAGTTCAATTTAATTTATATTCAAGTATTTTACGACCTAATAACATGTAATTAAATCCAGTAATTGAATGGTTATTAACAACAATTGTCGCATATTCGAGCTTAGTCTGTGTCATAGTATCCTCTAACTATTAAAAAGTATAAAAAATAGTAGCATTTATAATTATTACAGATTATTCAAAAGAAAAGAGAGCAGATTGAAGAAGAAAAAAAACAGGGAGAAGTTAAAGGAGGTGGTGAGTATTAAATAAAATAAAACAACTTACGTTATTGCCCTATCAAGAATCGAACCACCAACGCAACGAATGACTAGACCAACACTGTTACACTTCTATAGCTATGGAAGAATTTCAGATGCCAAACGAAACAAGGATCTCACTTTCCTAGACCAGTTAGTGACACAATCTGGTGGAGCCAATGGTTACAGTGACGTGGAGTTGCGTGAAGAAGTTTTGACCTTTATCGTAGCCGCGATGGACACCTCCGCTGTGACCATGGGTTTCACTCTTAAACTACTATCGAAATATCCTGAAGTGCAGCAGAAAGTTTTTGATGAGTATGATATTTTTATCTTAATAATGTTTCTTATTTAATATTAATCAGGCATAGATAAATGTTATGTAATTATTCACTTGACATATAACATTTACATATTTCAATACTGTATTTTTATATTCAACTTCTAATAGTTTGTGTCTAGACTCTTAAGTTAATTGTTATTCAAGATCAATAAAGGCATAAATTAGCACGTATTAACTTACTTTGATGCTTTTACACAGATAACATTTTCCCGCCATATTGTGGATAGTGCACAGATAATAACAAACTTATTATTTCGGAAGACAGATTGGCAAAGAATATAACGCTTAATACATTTTTAAATATTATCTTTCTAATTCGCAGACTCGATGCTTTATTTGGAGATTCAGACCGATTATTGGTGAAGGAAGATTTACCTAAACTGCCATATTTAGAAAGAGTTATAAAGGAGACATTAAGATTATTCCCGTCCGTTCCTTTTATTATTCGAGAAGCTTCTGAACATTTTATCACAAGTAAGTAAAAGATCATTCGTTACCAATAAATTTGAATCTAGAGAAACAATATATTGTCTATTCGTGTACACAGATGTGAGTGAAACTGAGGTTTTCACTCTTATTATATGATTTTTATATTCACAGATGACGGTATTCCGGTTCCTAAAGGGTCAGGCTTGATAACTAGTATATGGGGCGTGCATAGAAACCCCAAATATTGGGGATCAGATGCACATTGCTTCGATCCTGATCGATTCCTGCCAGAAAGGTGTAAGAACCTCCACCCTTGCGCGTTCATTCCATTCAGCCATGGCCCTCGGAATTGTTTAGGTATGTAGCTGAAGTGTTACCTTCAGGTTTTAACCCTGTAACACTTTTATGCCAACGGCAGTACTAAGCTACAAGTGGAAATTAACGTGGAATAATTTTAGTTAATTTTCCGTTTGTGCAAAATTGTTCCTCCGCTCCTATATATGCCACACAAGAAGCGACGTTGTGACTAACATTATTTTTGTGTTTCTAATTCTGCGAGCAATCGAGGAGCTAACATCTCCTGATAATGACGTCCGCTCGTGATGGGGAAAGTCGAGAACCTCTTCTCAATCACGTCAAGCAAACATCCCGAAAAACAATAATATGCTGAACGATGGTCGAGAAATCCTTACACAATTTATTTTTGTGTTGGTTAGACTTTTTAATGTTTTATGCTATTTAACAAAATTAATTTGGATGCAATTTGAAGGTACTATTATACGCGGACGAAGACGTTGTCAGCGGTGCTTCTGCGCTAGGATTTGGCTCGTACGCGTCTCTATTACGAATTTAAAGTTATTATTTAAGGATGTTTATTTCAATTATGCTTAGCATATATGTGATATTGTAATGTTGGGTTATATAACATTAATTTTCTCTCTAGGGAATACCACATTCAACCTAATTCTTGACTTTTATAATAATATAATCCCTCGTTTCTTTGTCCAGGTTATCAATACGCAATGATGTCTATGAAGACCGCGCTGTCCTCTATACTTCGTCGCTACCGTGTCGTTGGGGTGCCAGAAAAGGGACCAGTACCTCACATTAGAGTTAAGCTGGAGATCATGATGAAAGCTGTAGATGGCTTCGAAGTGGCCTTGGAAGAGCGATAGTCTTATATATTCATATACAAAATGTTATTAATTATGTGTTGTTTGTTAATTTATACGAAACCCTTTATTTAAAATTAGCTGTGTCAGCGACTTTGCGCAGAATAGTTATTTTGGACATACAAATTTGCTTTTGCAAACCTCCTCCTTATCTTTATGAGTTTAAGGTGTTACTCGCGCCCCGTCGTCCTTGCAGGTTAATCTTAAAAGATAGACTAGAGAGATATTGTATAGCAAACATAAAATATTTTAAAGAAGAATAATCTTTCATAAATATTTTCTGGGTATCTTGAACCGTTATCGCAGCTTATGGATAGGGAAACCTCTAAGATAAATATTTTTCGCCATTTTTTTCCACATTTCTCGCTGTTTCTTCGTTCCTACTAGCGTCGTGATGTGTTTATAGCCTTCCTCGATAAATGCTTTAACCAACACAATTTTTTAATACGAACCAGTATATACAAACAAACAATCAAACTCTTCAGCTATAGAATCTTTCTAACCGGTTAAAAATGGAGGTATGCAGTAGAAGTTTTTAAACGTTATGGATGATTCTAATAAAACGAGTAAAAAGGGTAAATTGAATCGTCAATTTTTAATAATCAGCTTTATATATGAAATAAATGAGTTTATTTCTTTACTGTTCACTACAATTATTCGGCTGATGACAAATAACTTATCAATGGTAAATAGAACCCAGAAATAAACAACCAACTAAATGAAGTATACAGAACCAGTTTGTAATGTAACTTTTATTTAACTTACTTTTGTTATTTTTAAGAAATAATCAATTGTTAATTTTATTAATAATTCAATAATAACATTTAAAATACAAAGGATAATGGCATTTTATCGATTTTGCCGTTCGGTGTCCACTGCTGGACATAGGCCTCCCCCACAGACTATCAGTACGGTCGTTCGCTAGTTGAATCCAGCGTTTCCCTGCTACCTTGACCAGGTCGTCGGTCTACCTGGTGGGAGGTCATCCAGGTATTCGACGTCCGGTACGTGGTCTCCACTCCAGAACCTTTTTGCCCCAACGGCCGTCAGTTCTACGAGCGATGTGCCCAGCCCACTGCCACTTCAGCTTGCAAATTCGACGGGCTATGTCAGTGACTTTAGTTCTTCTACGGATCTCCTCATTTCTGATTCGATCACGCAGGGTAACTCCGAACATAGCCCTTTCCATAGTCTGTGCATTATGCTCGCAGTAGGAGACCATGTTTCAGTACCGTACGTCAACACTGGTAACACACACTGCTGGAACACTTTAGTTTTAAGGCACTGAGGTATACGGGATGAGAAGACTTTGTCTAGCTTCACCCGCACGCTGTCCAGCCGAGTCGGATTCGACGATTGACCTCTTTCTCGAAGTTGGATCTACCTAATTGTATAACATGATCCAGGTAGACGTATTCGTCAACAACACCGAGTACAGTGCTTCCAATAGATACAGAGATAGGCACGACATGGCCGTTCGATATTATTTTTGTCTTGTCGAAGTTCATAGTCTGGCCTAGGTGCTTGGAAGCACTGATGAGGTCTTCGAGCATTTTGTTTACATCCTCCAAAGACTGTGCCATATCGATAGCCGATGCGACACCTCTGGAAAGATTTGAACACGGCCTAGGTCTCGATTGAATCAAAGGCCTTTTCATAGTCCACAAACGCTAAGCATAGTGGCATGTTATACTCTTCAGTTTTCTGTATCTCCTGCCGCAGCGTGTGTATGTGGTCCATGGTGCTGTAGCCTTTTCGGAAACCGGCTTGTTCGGGTGGCTAGATCAATTCATCGAGCCTTATTCGAGACGAATCGTGATGACCCTAGAAAACAGCTTGTAGACATGGCTCAGAAGAGAGATCGGTCTGTAGTTCTTCAGGAGGGATTTGTCTGTCCGTCCGTCCTCATTTTCTCCTCCTCAGTTTCATTTACACATATCATAAATAATAAATATAAGAGAAAACACTTCGACTCTAACTTACAAATATAGGGCGGCCTTATTGCTTAACAGCGATCTCTTCCAAGCAAACTAAAGTAAGTAGAAAAGGAATGAAAAAAGTGTTATTTAGTGGGTAGAAGTAAGCAATCCAATATAGACAATTAAATTGTTATTAAAAAATAACAAAATTGTTATGTACGTTGTATAGTGTGTGGGTGTGTGTGAGTGAGTGAGTGTGTGAGTGGATCGATATTTAGATATGAAGAGACACTATAGTGTGCCTATCTACAACATAAGAAGTAAAGTTGCTAAGCTTTTGAAAATTACCTGTCCAAGTCCAATTGAAATAAAATATCCAAGACAATGTTTGAACACTGAACAATTAAAGATATTTTTATTAAATTTAGTTAGACTTAGAAACAAAGGGCCCTTCGTGCGTACGCTGTAAAAACTGATCAAGATACCAAAAAAAAATATGTATTTAAAAGAATGATTCCTTTTTAAATGTTCAAAAAAATGTCCCCGACACTTTATGTCTATCTTTGAAGAGTAAGTTGCAAGATCGACGGGAGGCGTCCGATGTCGATGTCGGATAGCAGTTTAAATTTATAAAGATGAAGAGGAGGTTTGCAAAAACAAATTTGGATGCCCAAAATTAATAATTCTACGCGGACGAAGTCGCTAACACAGCTAGTAAGAAATAATCGTGCGAAACGAGTAATCTGTCTTTATTTACCCGTCTGAAACTTTTAAATTGAATTGAATAATTCTATTTTGTATAATCTATAAATAATAAAATGTTTTTAATTTTCTACTTGTCTGCTTCTTAACTTGTAAGGATAGCGACTTTTTACAAAGCTTAGTCTAAGATATTTTTCGAATAATAATTTAATTTAATTAATCTCCGACGTTTCCATGTTTTAATTAATGTTTATAAAAATATAAACACAGTATATTATCATTGTAAATCAATAATGTAGTCAGTTTATTTGCTTTCGCTTATAAGCTAAGAAGTGTTGTGTTTTAAATATTTACAACGGGGATTAAAAAACGTCAACCTCCAAAATAGTGTTTGCTTATTGTTCGTGGTTCATTTTCATTTAATTTTAAACATGATTCCCTGGTTGGTCATTATTGTGTGCGTCGTTTTGTACAGTATTTTTTGTTGGAAAAGGCTTGGTTTACACGCCATGGCTAAAAAAGTAAGCGGGACAGAGGACGATCTTCCAGTCTTCGGAATGTTTTTATCTTTATTAGGAACTTCAGAGGGTAAGTATAAAGTGAAGGTTGCGGGCAGCTTTTTAGATTTGTGTGTCTTTAAATAATTATATCACGTATGGAAAACATATATATGTATTCAATAACACAGAAACATCAGTAACATATCGTAAGGAATGGAAAGTAAGAAATAAAGATACAGATATTTCCTTAAATAGTTTCTCAGATAGACTCGAAGTTTAAGAATTGCTTACACAACTGGACCGCGAAAAAGAATGACATGAATTAAAATTACAATATTATTTATGCATACTTACATTATATTGATTGTTTATACACAGAGTTTAGACTATTAAATCCAATTTGTATAGAACCAAAAAAGATGGCAAACATGCGACGCGAATTTGTTTTGGTTCCTTTGTGCCCACCCAGGTTTCTCACTACTCTTGCAAACCACCTTAATTATCGTTGTCAAAAATATGTTACCTATAGTATTTTAAAAAGTTAAAAGTCTAATTTTTTACTTTATCACTCAGCCCTAATGAAAAAACTGCAGGACCACTCTTGCTCCACAACAAGCTTAGGAGGTTGTATTAAGGTGTGGCTAGGTCCACTTCTCTATTACAGTAAGTGTTCAAAGTTTTTGGTTTTTAATACGTATTATTTGTGTAGAGTTCTTTTATGATATAAGAAAGCTTACAAGAACAAGAAAAAAATGTGTGAAGTTATTTCTTATTTCCAGTGGTAACTGACGCTCGCAAAATAGAGTTTATACTAAAAAATCACTTGGAGAAAGACAGGATAGTGAGATTCCTACGATTCGTTCTTGGTAATGCATCAATTTTTGCACCAGGTATGTAGTTCTTGATTTATGCAATGCTACTCATTTGACAGATTCAAATAACTACTGGCACCAACTAAAATCAATAGAATTAATCTAAGGTTGATGTACGTTGATTTCTAAAAAAAAAATCTCTTCAAAAACAGTGGGAGTACGAATTTGTATAATGCCAATTCATTGGCACATGTCATCAATTCTTGAGTATTTTTTATGAACGATGTGAGACAAGCATTCAGAAAAATTCATTGAAGTAGAAGCGTAAATATGTGTAACATTTTTTCAATAACACCAACATTGTAATTCGTGAAACATCTAAAGGAACAAAAATTTCAAAAACGCGGCTATAGTTTACAGCTTTATCATCTGTGGACGGTGGTTTGTGATGTGCTATCGGAAGGAATTTTGATTTAGCTAACAGTAAACCCATAATTTCATTCCAGTGCATATATGGAGACCGCGTCGCAAAATCGTTATGTCAGCATTCACTCCAAAAATATTATCCAGCTTCGTCGACATTTTTTCGATACAAAGCGATAAATTAGTAGGAAAATTAAAGCCATTTGCTGGCAAAGGCCAATTTAAAATTTGGTCATACCTCAACGCATACAGCCTGGATGCAGTTATGGGTAAGAAATATGCGTTTAGTTCTTTTAACCAAAACACTTTTGACGGTGTTAAACGGGAAATGTATTTGTTAACTTTACACTGCATTTATTTTACCTGCGGAAAACACGGTGGTCACAGGGAGACTGACAGGACCACGACTGCAAAGCATCCGAATCGTTGGGCCGTAGTTGAAATACATTGTAAATAAGTTAACGTAGACACTTTCCGTTCTAAAAACCAATAAAGGCGTTTTTTTTTTCAATATGTACATATAGTTATTTTTAAAATATTAGAACTAAAATCATTATCACTATTATAATGCTGCATAGGTATTATTTTTTCATTCTTTATTCTTATTTAATCAGTAAGAACGTTATTACTCTTTGAACTATGATATATGTACATTATATGCTATTACGGCTTAAAATATACTTCAACTCGACATAAAGCATACTGCTACCTAAAATATTAAAGTTATATTGAATACTAGTTGTGTCAGCTATAGACTTTGGGGATCCAAATATATTTTTGCAAATAGACTAGATTTAACGAGGAATGATTCTTTCCTACATATTTCTTTGGGTATCTTGAACTGTTTTGGCGTACGTATGGGAAACCTACAGAGTTGAATAATTTTCCCCATTTTTTTCCACATTTTCCGTTGTTTCTTCGCTCCTATTGGTCACAGCACGATGTATTATGGCCTTCCTCGATAAATGCTCTAACACAAATTTTTCAATTCGAAGCAGTAGTTCCTGAGATTAGGGCATTCAAACATACAAACTAACAAACAAACTCTTTAGCTTTATATATTATTATATATTTTTGTCTGTATGTATGTATTAATTAGTGTGTAGTATTAAATTTTATATAGGATTTTCGGATCCATAAAAACTGACAGTGCCTCAATGAAATCTTTAGTTATGTTGTAAATACTAAACATAATAGGTACTTTTTTAGAGACTGCAATGGGAGTTAAAATAAATGCCCAAGATAACCCCGAGGAAAGCCCAATTTTGTCAGCAACTAATAATGTCTTATATTACATCTGCGAAAGAATTTTTCGAGTGTGGAAGCATCCTGACTGGCTGTACAGGTGGTTCCCTCAACATGCAAAATTAGAGCATTACACGAAGATATTACACAAATTCACAGATGAGGTAATAAAGTCAAATTATGTATCGTCTGTAGTTTATGCGAATGCCTAAAAATCGAATAAAACATTGTCGACGGTTCGTTAAATGTTAAAGATTTGGCTTTGATGTTGTAAACTGTAGGTAAAATTTATCATATTTCCTAAAACTATAGGGGCTTTGAAGATGTCATCAGAGTCTCCAACCAACCTCAACAGGAACTAAGATCCTTAGTAAACACTATTTAATAGGTTGGGACAAAAACGGCACACTAGTCAATTGATTATTACCGTGACTGATAAAAAAAATTTGTGAAGTCATCTCTTACATCCTACCAATTAACGTGCTTCTATTATAAAAAAATACTAAATGTAGTTAGAAAGAAAGTTACAAAAACAGCTAGGTAAATAAGGATTAAAGTATAAGCCGTCAATAAAAAAATATAAATAATTAATTCGTTATTATGTATTAATTTCAAGGCACTGTTTACATGTGCTTACTTTAACTTAATTGTTTTTTACTTTATATTATTTAGTAACTAATTAAATATGTATAATTTATTCAGATCATAGAAAAGAAAAAGGCGCTTATCACAGAACAAAACAAACTCCGGATGGATGGCGAAGGTGGGGTTTTTTACAATTTATTATTTTTGTACACGTTATGGGCAAATAGTTGACCAGATTTCTATGTTATACTTGTACTACCGAAAAAAAAATTTTTTTTCCTGGTATTCAAACGACCCAACGGTTTTGTTGCATAGTCTACACAGATAAGATAAAAAGGAATTTTATGTTTTTGTTTCAAACCAATATATATTTTTTTAATTTTGATGACTACACCGTTTATAACACCGAAGCCCCGTATTTTTTTAGATATCAGTGAGACAACAACTTTTCTGGATATACTAATTAGCCAATCTGGAGGTGAAAGGGGTTACAGTGTCAAAGAATTACGCGAAGAGGTTTTGACCTTCCTCGTGGCAGCAATGGACACATCTGCAGTTACAATGGGATACACTCTGAAACTGCTGGGCAAATATCCCGCGGTGCAACAAAAAGTCTTTGACGAGTACGTAATGCTTACAGCTTATTGGGTTTTGCGCACTCGACAGTTGTGATTATCATCATCGTCAGTCGTCACTTAGAGAAAATAATGCTCAATATGCAGGACATTATCCATTTGTGACGACGAAAAGTCGACAATAAATTTTTCAATTCCGACGGCCGAACACGTTGAAATCCCGAAAAGCCAATTTTTTTCATTTTTTTTTTCTTTTTAAACTCATTGCTATAATTTTTGGGGCGTTAATAAGAAATAGAAAATCATATCGATAGACTTGTTGTAAACGTTCAAAATACAAGGATTACAAAATAGAGTTATTAAAACTCTAATATTCAAAGCTTCTCCAAAAATTTGTTACGTAATTTATACTTAATTCTAACATAATAAATGTAAAGTGAGCTTTTTTATCCATTTTCCTCCCTGTTTGTTTTTGGTATATAATTAGGTAGTTGCAGGGTGGATGTGGCGGTATTTTAAACATTTACAAAAAATTTAGTAACACGAACGCTAGCACTACAATATAGCGACTGCTATCATCTTATTCTCGAGGGTGATTCACGAAAAGATTTTGTCTTAATGGCACAATATTTAAATTCTTAACTTTACAAGAGCGGAGCCGTACATAAAACCAAGTTAAATGTTTGTAGGCTGGATGTAGTATTTGGTGATTCAGACCGGTTGGTGACGAGAGAAGATTTGCCTAAGCTTCAATGTCTGGAGAGAGTTATAAAGGAGGCGATGAGACTATTCCCGCCTTCTCCGTTCATTCTTCGAGAAACCTCTGAAAATTCGGTCATTGGTAAGTTCCATTATAGTAGATTCAAATGACATTTCGAATTAATTGACAAAAGGAGAAAAAGACAATAATAATTAAAACGATAATAATTGATAGATTAAATTTTTTATGAATTTTGTAATTAATTACTGCCTGGCGTTAAACACGGATCTAATGGTTCGAAGGTCGAATTTTCGAAAAACATTCAACTTGCGCCAGGTCGTAGTTGAAACGTTAACTAATAATATAATAATACATTTCGCGTTTTAAATGGTTATATATGTTTCAATTTTCGATTATTATAAAATAACACTTTTGCGCACTATTTACGCAATTGGTTTATAAGTTAAATTTAAAGTCTAAAAAGTTAAAAACATTCATTCACTTAGGTAACTGAGTACTCCTATGAACGTCACATCAGTTAAAACTTACTACTTAAATTTAAGCCTTGTCAGTTCAAATTAGCATTGATATAATATATGTTAGGTATATACCTATAATAAGTAGCAATCCATATTTTAATATATATAATCACTTTTAGTTTGATAATAAACGCCGATAAAGTTTTGCACCATGTAGGAAACTAAACTAACAATTTGATTTCTTTTAGGATTGCTTGGGATTTAATTATCTGTCAACAAACAAGACAATAGTGGCTCATATAAACAGGATAAAACCTATGTAATATAAATATAATTTTAAATACTTAAACCTCCACAAATATTCATCTCTTTATTAATACGCAGTTACAAAAAATTGTTTTAAAAATATATCGAAATTTATTGTATATCATATGTTTCAGATGGCATCACATTTCCTAAAGGGTCAGGTCTGATAATAAGCGTATATGGTGTGCACAGAAACCCTAAATATTGGGGTCCAGATCCTCACTGTTATGATCCAGATAGATTCCTTCCGGAGAGATCCCAAGATCGTCACCCTTGTGCATTCATTCCGTTTAGTCATGGACCTCGAGGATGTCTAGGTTGGTTTTAAGTCAAGCGACATTCATTGTTTAGTGCAGACATATTTCTGCGCCTGTTTTACAGGATTCTATTCTATCTCTGTATAATTAGGATTCGATCCTGTCTGTAGTTTACGCGAGTAATACACATTTAAATAAGACACTTTTACGTGGTCACTCCGATGACCATTGGTTTTGCAAAGCTTCTGAAACGTCGGGCCGTAGATAAAATGAATTCTTAATTAAGTTTAACTTATATATATCGCGTTTTAAACCGTTAAATTGTTTTATTTTGAAGGGGGCTTCATTTATGTCTTTGTGCAGGTTATCAATACGCGTTAATGTCGATGAAGACTTTGCTGTCCTCTGTGTTACGTCGCTACCGTGTTGTTGGTGAACCCGAAAATGGACCTATTCCTAACATTCGTGTGAAGTTGGAGATCATGATGAAGGCTGTGGATGGCTTTGAAGTTGCTTTAGAAGAGAGAGTATAAATTAAAAGAGGTTTTTAAAGAAATTTTGTTGTTACTCACAAAACATTTACCTATTCATTTACCAATAAAAACAAACAGATATATTTTAATTCTATCTATAGTTCACGCGAGTAGTAGACATTTAAATAAAACACTTTAACGGTTTCAAACGGAAAATACAATATATTATTTTTGACACCCTCGATTTTTAGTCTCCCCGTAACCTAGGCTACTAAAGTACAGTACAAAGCATCCGAAACATCGGGCCATAGTTAAAGTATTTGAAAAGTAACTAGTCAACGGTGCCTCCACGGTACTTGGGCTTTCAAATTCAAATTACGTTTAGCATATATGTGTTATTGTAATGTAGGGTTTTAAACAATTAATATTCTGTCTTGGAATTACCAAATTCAACCTAAGTCTTGATCTTTATAATATTAATAGACTTTTACCCCCGTTTCTTTGTCCAGGTTACCAATTTGCAATTATGTCTATAAAGACCGCGCTTTCCTTTATACTTCGTCGCTACTGTGTCGTTGGGAAGCCAGAAAAGGGACAAGTGCCACACATTGGAGTTAAGCCGGAGATCATGATGAAATATGTAGATGGCTTCGAAGTGGCTTTAGAAAATTTTATTAATTATGTTATTAGCCCTTTACTAAAAAATAGCTGTGTCAGCGACTTCGTCCGCGTAGAGTAGTTATTTTGGAAATTCAAATTTGTTTTTGCAAACCTCCTCCTTATCTACGTTAATCTTAAAGGATAGACATATTTTAAATTTTTAAAGATAATTATTTAATAAATATTTTCTGGGTATCTTGAACCGTTTTTGCAGCGTACGGATTGGAAATACTCTAATTTACACCGTTTTTTTTTCACATTTCCCACTGTTTCTTCTTTGCCATTAGTCACATCGCGAAGTGTATCCTGCGTGCCTATAGCCTTCCTCCATAAATGCTCTACCAACACAACTTTTCAATTCGAAAGTTATTTTCAGCAATTCCCGAGATTAGCGCATGCAAACATACAAACAAACACATCCTTCAGCTATATATTAGTATAAATATCAAATATTGCTTGGTTTTTAATATTCCATGGTAACGGCCTTCAATAGAATCTTTCAAACCGGTTAAAAATGGAGGTAAGCAGTAGAAGTCTTTAAACGGTATGGATAATTCTAATAAAACAGACAATTTTTATCAGCAGGTTCGAATTCCGTCTCAGTTTCAGCTTTATGTAAGAAATAGATGTGTTTATTTCTTTTCTGTTCATTACAATTGTACGGTTGATGACAAATAACCTGTATTAGTGGTGAATAGAACCCAGAAATAAACAATCAACTAAAGTAAGTGTTTACTATACAAAACCGATTTTTAATGTATCTTTTGTTTTTATATTACTTACTACAAATATATTTATTATTTTTTAGAAATAAGTAATTGTTAATAATTAAACAATAATATTTAAAATACAAGCGATAATGTGCATTTTATATCGCTAGAAAAACTTGTTTATGCAAATAACTATTTTACTTAACAATAATAAATACTGGGCCTAAGGTTAACGTTATTACGAACCTAAGTAATAATTTTCTCCACTTAAATAACCTTTAACTGAGATCCTGCTATTATAACATAAACTTAACGTGTTATTTATTTATGTATCAAAGTAATCTTCTAATACTTTATAACTAACGTCTTAAACTAAATTAAAGCGATTTTATTTAATACAACAACATAACAGTAGTTTCATTTATACATATTTATTTACACATACCATAAAACAATACATATAAGAAAAATAACTTAGGTTCCAACTCTTCCAAGCAAACTGAAGTAAAGGAGAAAAGGAATGAAAAAAGGTTTATTTAGTGGGTAGAAGTAAGCAATGCAATAAAAATAACAAAATTGTTATATATACGTACACACAAGAAAAGAATTACTTGTCCAAGTCGTAAATCTTTTCAATATATAATCGATTTTGTATTTGCTAAGCGGTGCGTGTTACGTTCTGATCTCGGGGGGAAACAAACCTATCGGTTGGGCTTAAAAATCTAATCAACTACTTGAAAGCAAACTCTGAAATATAACTACTAATGTAACTACTTAAAGGAAAGCTTAATCACATTCAAACGAATTGAAACAAAATACCCAAGACAATGTTTGAACACTGAACAATGCAAGATATTTATTAAATATAATTAGTCTTAGAAACAAAGGGCCCTCGTGTGAATTTCTCGTCTAAATTAGGCGTTTTTGTCTCGAGTTTACGACTAATTAAAACGATATAACTTTATGATAATACTGTTTTTTGGTTATTTTCAATGTCTTTTCATATTTATTGTAGAATATTACGCACAATTCTACATTACGTGATAATTATATTTAATATTGTATTATTTTAAAAACTATTGCGTCTCGCTAAAATGTTACGCTTACTAGTAATTTTCAGAGCGTATTTGAGTTTTAGATAGAATAGAAAAATACCTACAGTTTGGAAAGCTTAATGTTAAATGGGCGGTAAAAACTACCGTCCACAGATGAAAAAACCGCGACGCTTAATTGCGTTTCAGTTCCAGTCAGTGGATTTCCGAATCTCCAAAGCCAAAATAGGCCGACAGCGCATCTTGTTAAGGCGCTATAGGCTGGGGTACATCAGCTGCCATCAAGAGAACCCCGTGTCACGTCTGTCCTTCTCTATCATAAAAAAAAAGGTTGACATCTTGTTTATGATTTTATATGGCTGGTGTATTTCATATCCATCAAGCGAACCCGATCTTATCTGTTAATTATAAGTAAAAAATGGTTAATTGAAAACATTAATATTTTTCACATGTTATTGCACATGAAGGGACTATATAATTTAAAGATCGAAAATAAATTAAAAAAAACTTCGCGTCGGCCAGAGCAACAGCACGGAACGCTGATGCCGGTTCAAGTCCTGCCCGAGTCGAAATTTTTTGAATTTATTTTCGATCTTAAAATTAAATAAATTAATTTATAATTTATATGATGGCCTCATGGTCAGACTTAATTTGTCTTCATAAAATAACTACGTACACTACGATTTACGGCATAATAATAGTTTAATAGCATGTGCTACTTTACGCAACAATGTCGGGTCTTAAACATAATTGTTTAGTGTTTTATTGTTTATCATATCATGGTCATATAAAACTTAGTTTTCTCCATAGCTAAAATTATCACGTTTCCCGGTGATTCTGTTACCATGGCTTGTGTAAAACATCGGAAATATATTTTTAGCGTTTTAAACATTACAAATATTTTATTCAATGGCGAATTTAATAGCAATTCTTTCACTTCATAGATGACGTATTTCTGTGCCCTCTTTTACATAGTTTAGATATCAAAATAAAACGGATATATGTGTTCTATAAAATAAATTATGCCACGGAACCCTTTGTGCGCAATTCCGACTCGCACGTTCGTCTTTTAAATTTTAATTATGCCGCCGAGAGGTTAGGAGGAATAAACCGGAAAAATTCCAAAGATTTTGTCAAGTACAAACTTATCAGTAAGAAAAACTTAAAATATGATCCAATTATTATGGGCAATCAATGATTTATATATATATGGGGCTGCTAGAGACAGAATGGCTTATAAAAAAATCTATAAGGAGGAAAATAAAAATGCACAATTAATTTAAGCGAAAATAATTTAACTGTTATTTGTCTTAAACATTATGTTTACAATTTTCGTTCACTGTGCTCTTGTAAATTAACATTTTTAGACTATGAAAATATAAATGGATCAAGTCATAAAAATATCAATGTAAGAATTATGCGAGAACTACCTTGACGTCCGATTCCTTTTACACGTGTATACATTTTAATACAGATCGCATAGATCTATAGTTTATATGTTTAAAAAGATATAAGCACACACAAGAGGTGCCTGTATAGTAAAGTCCATTTTCATGTAATTATTTCTAAGCTTATATTTAATCTGTCCTCTTCAAAAATTCAAGTAACCTTTCTGTTTTCGGTAATTCCAAGGCCAAGCCAAGTTTAATCGCTTTGAAGTGGATTGAATCAGAGAAGTATTTATGACCACACAATAAAAATACAGTCTTCTTTATACAATGATTTTTTTGTGAATTCACGGGATATAATTACAAAATTTCAATGTAATTTGATAATATTTTTTATCAACCAATGCCTTACTCAAATCACAAAATAAATCAATCACCTCAACTAAATTATACGTCATTTAATAACTCAGGTACTAACCCCAACTGACAAAGGTTTAAGTATATATTGTTACTAAGAGCACTAAAATAAATAATTCTGAAAATTATGAGATACCAGTTTTACAAATATAATTTTTTTTATGCCTACTCCATTCCGTAAGTTAATTAAAAAGCGGCCAAATCCGAGCCGGGCTCTCGCCTGAAGAGTTCCGTATCACTGATGAGATATATATTCCATATTATAACTTTTTCCTTTAATATAAGTGTCATTTATTAAAAAAAAACTTTAGTGTTTGTTGTTGTTGTATTGGCAATACACTTTTTTTTGAGAAACAACTCGGTTAAATAAAAAATTTTAACCGATTACAACGCGATAAATATTTTAAAACTTATTCGAACTACACCCCTGAGGTGCAAATTAACTGATATGTTTCGCGTTCCAAACCGTCTAAAAGTGCTTTTAATTAATTGTGTACTACTCGCGGTAACTACTGACAATATAAAGCTTGGTGATAAATAGGAGGCGAAGTATTATGTTCCGCTATAGGCTTCCGATTTCATCCTTTCGTAAGGGAACCCTAACAAGAGGCTAAGGTACTTTGTTACTGCCCATGGTGTGAAGTAAAACGAGGGCATTTAAATGTGAGCAAAATCAATTCAAAGTTCAGTTTCCATTTGATTTTGTCCTCGTTCGAACAGCGCTAAGATGTATGTGTGGGGTTTTTGTTTTGTTGCGTCGATAATGTTATGGTATTGCCTTTTTCGTCTTAAGAGGCAAAGAATGTACGCATTGGCTAACAAAATCAAGAGCCCTGATGAACACCATCCCGTTTTTGGAATTGCCCTGAACGTTTTAGGAAGCACTGAAGGTATAACAATTGTAATACAAGTATTTTTTATTTATTTTGTCGATAGTATTTTAACACGACACGACGACGGGGTCTCCTCTTCCTCGATGAGAAATGTAATAATGAAACAATTCAACGGTTTTAATTCGGTGTTCAAAATTATATCATAAAACTATTTATGAAATAAGTGCCATTTAACTATATCAAAGTAATAGTACTTTGTGCGAAGTAAATTAATATTTTTTTCCTTTTAGTTTACTTTTTAAAGTGATATTTTGGCGGAAAATATTTTATTTTACGATTTTAGAAGACATATCTAAACAATATGAAAGAATTAAGTTCAAGCACAATATTGCTCTACTCCATCCAGTCCATCATCAGATCTTCAAACCCTTATTTAATTTTATTGTAAGGTTTTCCTTCAGTTCAGTACTGCTTCGTCCCTAACGATTTGAAAAAGTTTCTCTTAATTTCTTATCGATGATCACAGACCAAAGAAATCAACGTATCTACTTAAAATGGGACTTTAGAAGTACTCTTCTACTTTTCTTCTTTCCAACAAAAAATAATCATCAATATTGGTTCTTGAACGACGAAGTAATGAACGAACGAACAAACATAACTAAAAGATTAGGTATACAAATCGAATTGAGAAGCTTTGTTTTTTTGAAGTCGACTTAAAGAGTGAGTTGGCAAGACACGTAGGAAACTTTATTAGCACACTAGCTGTCCGCGAGCATATAGCATCGCGTACTTTTTTTTAGATCATTTAAAGAGGAATCATTCTTTCATACATATTGTTTGGGTATCTTAAACCGTTTTTGCAGCGTACGCCTCGGAAACCAATAATCATACTAATATATAAATCTGAAGAGTTCGTTTTTTTTGTTGTTTTGTTAATAATTTTCCCAATGTTTTTCACATTTCTCGCTATAACTTCGCTTGTATTAGTCACAGGGCGATGTTTTATAGCCTATAGTCTTCCTCGATAAATGATCTAGCGAATACAATTTCAAATTACACATTGTAATAGAATTGTAAATTTTTTTCATTTCGAATCCGTAGTTCCTGAGATTAGCCCGTTAAAACAAACAAAAAAAACGAACTCTTCAGCTTTATGTATTAGTATAGATAAGTTTTGAAGCTGCATTAGGGACATCCCTGTCAGGACTTCATGTATGTTAAGCAAAAAATAAAAAAGATAAGAACCTGTATAGTTTAGAAGGCCTTAAACGTAATGTTCAAACGTAAATGTATTGCTAAAAGCAATGCAGGTCCCACATTCGAATCCCTGGGAAACGATAAATGGCTTCGATTAGCTCTGGCTAGAGTGTAGAAGTCAGATCTACTATTTGCCTGTAATAAATTACATATCAATGAAACCAGCACAGAAATATGTTCGCCGTTCGTATTATTGTTGTTGCTTATTTTAATAATACTTACAATTTATATAAAAACCTTAATAGGTTATTGGTTTTTAACTTCTTCAGTTATTCGTTTTTCTTATTATATAAATTATTTAGATATATACGTATATAAATTTCAGATATAATGAATAAAATGAAAACATACAGTGAATTCACCACTGAATCCAACGGTATTGCTAAAGCTTGGCTTGGACCCTTGTTATATTGCAGTAAGTATATACATACAGATATGTCGTACATTTTAGTAATTTTAGTAATTTTAATATTATGTATGTTTTTAATGTTCGTTTTTTTGAATAAAGTTTTCACATATGGAGCTGAAAAATTCCCGACTCTCTTCATGTGCAAATGCATTTCTACATATTATGCTTAACGTAAGATCAGCCTCCAATCAATATAAGTACATTTACATATCCGACAACGAAAAGCCGAAATACGTAGACAGAGCACCATCATATATTGTTATAGACTGTTCACCTTCTATCGTGTAAAATTTAAACTTGTCTTTAGAAAAATGCTTATTTTTGATGACAGATAATAGAAAATTGATTTAAGAAACATGTTTGTTAATTAGGCATACATTGATATTATTGAACCACCAAGCCCGTGACATGACTCCACATTGCGCATACGTCATTGCGTTTACTCAAAACCATTTGTAATATATCGATTATTAATATATAACTGTAGTGACCTAGTGATTTTAGGCACTCAAATTTGTTTCTGCAAATCTCCGTTTCATCTTTATAAATTTATGCTATTACCCACGACGAATCTTAAAAGATAATAAATAAATATAAATAGAATAAGATATTAATATAGCATCGCGGATAGCCTTTTTTAGATAATTTAAAGAGGAATCATTCTTTTGTAGGTACATATTTTTTAGGTATCTTGAATTATTTTCGAAGCGTGCGCAACGAACCCCCCCCCCGTCTTAAATATTTTCCCCCCGTTTTTTCCTCATTTCCCGCTGTTTCTTCGCTATTATTAGCCACAACGCACAACGCAAACACAAAAAGATTTTCTTAACTCGAAGCAGTAGTTCCTGAGATTAGTGCGTTGCAACAAACAAACGAACAAACTCTTCAGCTTCATATATTAGTATAGATTAAAATGTCTTATTACGTTTTCAGTGATCACTGATCCAAATATGCTGGAAGTATTATTAAAGAAACATTTAGAAAAAGACGAGTTACATCGCTTTATACGCGCCCTGGTGGGTAACGCTTCTATATTTGCACCAGGTAAAACATTTATGTATGTAGACATATTACTTTTTAAACTTACTTAATTAGATAAATTGGTATTTTGCTATAAAATAATTAAATACCTCCATCATCTAGTCGTCTGATTTACCAGTCTAGCGTGTCTCTGTATAGAAAAATTTAAAATGTTATAAATAAATAAGGTATATGGTGTCTCTCATGATCGATTTAATTATGTTATTACTTTTCAGTCTCAGTGTGGAGGCCGCGACGAAAAATTGCTGTTCCTGCGTTTAGTCCGAGAATTTTGGCAAGTTTCGTTGATGTTTTTGCTGCGAGAGCTGACGAATTGTCAAAACTACTAACGCCTAAGGCTGGAACTGGAAATTTCAAAATTTGGTCATATGTTAACGCGTATAGTTTAGATGCTATTATGGGTAAATATATTTCATGAATTATTTTTATTAAATTTTCGCATTGGTTTTAATTGGTTGAATTTTCATATGAAAACTTAAATTTAATGTTAAAACATTCAAACTAGACGACACTCACTCATTGCAGTGTTGGTCGTAGATTCCGCCTTCACCTGAGATTTTTCCTATGTAAAGCAACTTTAAAGATTTTTTGGTAATCCGTCAAAAAAACTGCCTTTCAGTAAAATAATGAAGATATTCATTTTCATATCTGCTTATTACAATCGTTTCCTGATTGTGATGAAACTAAAAAAATGGTCGTAATTATACAATGGATTTTGACAACAAACATTGCCAAGTATTTGAAACATTATTTTGCTGAACATATATCACACACGGTAGTAAGTGTGTATGTAGGTAGCATGCGGTAGACCTACGCTTTTAAAACTAGACCCTAGACTGTTTAAACCAATTTCTCTTTGTTTAAAAATGCCTTAATTTTTTAGAAGTAGAAATCGTGTATCTAACCAGAAATTAAATTTTATAGAAACAGCTATGGGTACACAAATAAAAGCACAACAGAATCAGGACAATGTAATACTAAAGGCTGTGAACGAATCCCTTCGACTGTCGTGTGAGAGAATATTTCATCTATGGCTGCAACCTGCCTGGTTATACTGGTTCTTCCCACAACACGCCAAATTGATGTACTACACGAAAATAGTACACGACTTTACAGATAAGGTACCAAGGTCTAATCTCATCAAAGTTTTAATCGATCTGAGTTTATTTCTATTACCTATTTTAACTTTTGCTAATTTTATTTTCAGATCATTGCTGAAAAAAAGATGCAACTAAGCTCACCAAACACTGAATTTCAGACAGATGAAAAGCCTGGTATGTATTTTAATTATGATAAAAAAAATAGAAGGTTAAACAGTAGTTTTACTTTGAGAACTTAAAATAGACGATACGACTTAGTTGTAAATATAAATAAGGCACAATACATTAATTAAGAGAGTATTTTATATCAAAACTAAATCTTTCATTAATATTGTTTATTTAGGTAAATGACTTAACTGAGAACGCATCTAAAAGAAATTATGTGTTTCTTAATAGAAATAATGGCGTTGTATATATATATTATCGTTATTTTGGGCATCCAAATTTGTTAAATTCATCTTTATAAACTTAAGCTGGTACCCACGACGTCGGTCGCGTCCCTTCCCGTCGTTCTTGCAAGTTAATCTTAAAAGATATAGCGTCGCGGGCTTTTTTAGATCATTTAAAGAGGAATCATTCTTTCATGCGTATTTTTTGAGTATCATGAACCGTTTTTTCTGCGTACGCCTCGGAAACCCATAATGATGAATAATTTTCCCGATTTTGGTTACATTTCTCGCTAAATCTTCGCTTGTATTAGTCACAGGGCGATGTTTTTCAATTCGAACCCGTCGGTCCTGAAATTAGCGCGTTCAAATATACAAACAAAGAAATAAACTCTTCAGCTTTATACATATATTAGAATAGATACTATGAAAAGAGGCATGAGAGTGCTTGAATTATTGCTTTTAATTTAATATTTTTTAAATGTATATAAACTTTGGTAGGCAAATAATAAGTTGATCAGAATTAAATTAAATTCATTTACTCCACATATAGTTTAAAACAAACAAAATAACAATAATAATAGAAGCATCTAGATGACATTCCTTATTATATTAAAATTACAATGGCTTTATATAGATAATTTTATGTTTCAGATGTAGTGAAAAGTTGTATTGAAACGACATTTCTCGATCTCTTGATAACGCAGTCAGGGGGCTACAACGATTTAGAGCTGCGTGAAGAAGTGTTGACATTCATTGTCGCAGCGATGGACACTTCAGCTGTAACTATCAGCTTCACTCTGAAAGTCCTGGGCAAATATCCGAAAGTTCAAGAGAAAGTGTTTGAAGAGTGAGTTATTCTACCAGCTCTTTCACATCTTACATATATATGTATAGACAAGCTTCGATTAAGATAAGATCCCTATTGAATACTTAAGCATCATAAATTTGAACTTCTACAGAAGAATCTCCGAAAAACGCTATGTTTAAACAAAATACGTTACGGTTTAAAACGCGATATATTAGTTTAACTTATTTGAAAATTATAAATAATAAAGATCGCGTTTTAAACCGTTAAAGTGTTTTTTTTTTTAATGTGTACTACTCGCGAAAAATACAGACGGTATTTAGCGTTATATTTATTTTCCTAGTCACAGATAAATTACGCGAAACTGTAAATTCTGTTTTTTAAATAAACACATTAACGGTTCAAAACGCGATATATTAGTTGAACTTATTTGAAAATGATTCAGTCTCCCCGTGACCACGGCTGCTGCAAAGCATCCGAAACGTCAGGCCAAAGTTAAAAATCATTTTCAAATAAGTGTAACTAATATATCGCGTTTTAAACCGTTAGAGTGTTTTATTTAAATGTGTACTACTCGCGTAAACTATAGACAGTATGTATTTTTTTTTGTTTTTGACACTAAGCGCAACTCATCTCCCTTTCTTTAAAGTTTTAAGAATAGTATTTATATATTTAGATTAATTTTAAAACAGAAAACTTATTTGAAAATACATTCTTTTAGGTTAGAAGCAGTGTTTGGAGATTCTGATCGCCTATTACATAGAAACGATTTGCCAAAATTACAATATTTAGAACGAGTTATTAAGGAGACACTTAGACTCTTTCCCTCTGTGCCTTTCATTATACGAACAGCTGAAGAGGATACATATATTGGTAATTATGATTTTAGTGGCCATTTACAAACGTACTATGGTACACCGATTGCTATGAAATTTTACTAGTAGATAAGCAGATACCAGGCATATAACACTTAAACAAGATAAAACCAAAACGCGATGAAACTTGCTAGGTTTTTCATATGTGAACAGTTGTTTGTGACCCGGACGGAATTTCAATATTCCTACCACCTATTTAATATCCACATTTCCAGACGAAGTCCAATTTGTTTCGGAAAAATAATAAATTGATTCGAAAAATGTTGGACCAGGTGGGGATCGAATTCATGACCCGACAACTAAACGTTTTTTGCCTTACATTGCTACCACTAGACCAATGAGCCCTGTGAAAAGCTGTGGCTACTTTTTTTTAATTTTAAAGGTTTAGTGATGTCTAAAAGGATAACTTAAAAAATTGGATGGAAATGTTAAAATAAGTTTTCTAATTTAACTGTCTTTCGAAATTTTAATTCATTTGCAGATGAAGACATAACTATACCCAAAGGATCTGGAATAATAGTCTCTATATGGGGAGTCCATAGAAACCCAAAGATTTGGGGACCAGACGCTCTTTCCTTTGATCCCGACCGATTCCTGCCAGAAAGATGCAAAAATCTCCATCCTTGCTCTTACATACCGTTCAGCTATGGACCCCGAAATTGTCTTGGTAAGGATGTTATCTATACTAATAAAGCTGAATAATCTCAGAAACTACTGGTTCGAAATGAAAAAATATTTTTGTGTTGATAAGAGCATTTATTGAGGAGGCTATAGAACGCGACGCGACTTATAGGAACGAAGAAACAGCGGGAAATGTGGAAAAGCGGAGAAATTTGACGCATTTTCGTTTCCACAGGGATGAATAATATCCCTGTGGGAACGAAAATGATTCACGATATCCAAAAAATATGTATCAAAGAATGATTCAAAATGTCCGCGACAGTATACATCTATCTTTTAAGATTAATTTGCAAGAACGACGGGATGCGATGGACGTCGTTGGTAACAGCTATAATTTATAAAGATACGGTTTGCATAAACAAATGTTGATGCCCAATTTAACTTTTCAACGCGGACGATACTATGAAAATGAGAAATGTGCCTCTTTTTATATTTAAACAATACCAGCAGTAACGTAGATAAACAATGAATTAAAAAATTAAACCGTATGTCACTAGAACAGGTTCTAATGATAGAAGTTAGAATTATCTATGTATCTTTAGATGTAAAGTAGTTTCTGATGATTTGAGATAAGATTATTTTAATTACCATGCTATGCAATTACCTGCATTTTATTTATACAACTGTAATAGGTTGAAGAGATACTTTAATTATATCATCACCGTTCTCATGTTCATACCTCCGAACCGGATAGATTGGATAGATTTTTATAAAAATTTTGAGTCTATTTTAGGGAACCAGTGTTCGGTGGATATAGTTGTTCTTAAAGGTTTTGTTCCATTCATATTTCTACTAAATTTGGCTGTAACACCTCAAATCAGAGGCTCTTGACTCGTCGCCGTTAAAAAAGTGGTTTTATTCAGTGTTTGTAGTTTATGCGAGCAATACAAATTAAAAATAAACACTTTTAACGATTTAAAACGCGAAATGTATTATTAAAACTTATTTACATTTTATTTAAGTTTCCGGATGCTTTGTAGCAGCCCGGAGTTACGGGAGATTATAATCTGTAAATACATTTAAGCATATCGTTTTCCTTTATTTTTAGGTTATCAATACGCAATGATGTCTATGAAGACTGCGCTGTCCTCTATACTACGTCGCTACCGTGTTGTCGGCGAGCCAGAAAAGGGACCGGTACCACACATTCCAGTTAAGCTGGAAGTCATGTTGAAAGCAGTGGATGGCTATGAAGTCGCCCTGGAGTTAAGATGACGTAAAAAATAATCTCGCATATTAGTATAACATGATTTAGTAGATAAAACCTGAGATTAATTTTTAAACTAACGTAAAAATACTAAATAGGCCAGTTTTGAACCTGTGCCATATCGGGATGTTGGTCTACATGAGTTCCCTTTGATGAATTCCTTCTTTGTCAAACTAAGTTTTATAAATATCGTTAATTTGAAGCTAGGAGAATTTTATACTTTCCGAGTTTTTACACATTTATTGTAACTAGTTCAAATGTCGCTTCTGTAAGTATATTATTGTTCTTTTCTTATACATATTGTATAGTGTCCTATCATGGGTTACGCTGTAATTTAAAAACATGAAGCCTACTAAATATCCGGTAATCTCTTAAATATGCATATTATTTGCTATGAAAAAAGTTGTATTACTAGTTTAATTAATTAATTACTATACCTACTTACAGTACTGCACACCTCACTCAATTAAGTTAATTTATCGATTTTTAATATGCCAATTTATATAAAAAAGGTTGTGAGGTCATTTCGTAGTCCTGTATACCATAACAAACTATAATTATTGCTACCACTAGTTCACCTTGTTCTACCTCGTACTTAATAGGTGTAGTATTATAATGGTTATTTATTTAAAAATTATTATTAAAATAAGTTAACTACCAATGTTGTTTCAACGAAGGAGGGTTTGAAGAGCGCGATGAACCAAGCTGCAATACGTTGGCGGGCTTGTAACGGCTTTTACCAGAAAAATATTTATGATAATCGCGCTCCCAAGACACGACAGAGGTGATGACACTTTCAACTTTTCCGTACTTCAAGAAAAATGCAAGAAATTAATCATGAACCTATAGTTAAGACGATCGTGAACCTTGACTCTGCTACCTGCAGTCAAATGTACTATCCACTAGGCAAAAGAGGTGGTAAGTACGTGACGTCAGTGCTTCTGGGTTCGAACGCATAGCATTCCCACAAAAGACTTAAATCTCAAATTTAATTAAAACGTGTGATAAAAGTTTGTTGGTTTTTGAATTTAAATCGATTTTTAATTTATAAACCATCACGTAAAAAATATTAAAGTCTACAGAAGACTTATTCCCTTACTTAACATGTCCGTTATGCAGGGAACGAGACTTTACTATATATATATTGTAGACTATTTAAGTTTTTGGATCAAAAATAGTAAGTTATTACTACATTTATAAAGGTGTCAGCACTTTTTAAACACCTAAAATGTGTTGTTTAATACATATTTCTTACATCATACAAATTCATAAGTATTTAATTTTAACTTTTGTTGCCATGTCTTATTAACTTACAAATTTTGTGCCAAGTTTAAATTAAATTCAGACCCATTTATATAGTAAACTCAACCAATTACACCGTTAGAACTCTTAAGGTACGTCTCATAAGCATTTTACACCTAGGAAAGCGGTAGTCGTCTGAGATTATAGAAATTATTTTTATCATAAATATACCACTTGATAATCGGACTAAATAAAACCATTAATATTATTTATTTTATGTAACAATGCGATGCTAGATAAGAACGCTAAGTACAGATTGATTTTTTCAGTCAGAGCATTTAACCACAGAATGGTGATCTTCTTCTATTTCTTTGATTAGATCGAGCTATTGTACCAGGTTCTTACGCTTTTCTAGTGCGACCTGATACCCATCTACCGCCTTCATCATGATGTCCAGTTTTACCCGCATATGTGGTGTTGGAGTCTTCTCCTCTTCACCTATCACTCTGTAATTCCTTACCACGCCAGTTACGGCTGTTTTTATTGACATCAATGCGTACTGATAACCTGTGAAGTTCATTATTGAATGATATTACAATACATACATAATAACGTTAATCTACAGATTACGCTAGCACACTTTTAATTTCAATGAACCAATTATGAAATAAATGTAATTGATTAAAACGCGGTATATTTAAGTAAAAATATTTTAGCTTCGACCCAATGTTTTCTGGCTATTTTCACCCAAAAATAATTAAAGTTTAACATTTTCCCGTTTTTATCCCCCTAGTAGTAAGTAACAACAAAAAATATATCTACTTCACCCTGACAAGCAACTTGTTTTGTTTAAATACTTTGTATTAATGATAAAACAGAAATTTTAAAAGCACTTACCTAAACAATTTCTGGGTCCATTACTAAAAGGCATAAAACTACAAGAATTAGCTATGTTATATCTCTCTGGCAAGAATCTATCGGGATCGAAATTTTCAGCATCGGGTCCCCAATATTTGGGGTCTCTGTGTACTCCCCAAATTGATACCACTACTCCTGAACCCGCAGGAAGGATGTAGCCTGAAGCTGTAGAATGTAATAGAGTCGTTGATGACTTTTGAAACGCATTGATAAAATAAGCTCTTGAGCATCTTATTATGTGAAAATTATTTAAGATATAAAACTGTAATTTTATTTACAATACATTTACCCTACAATGCATAGGACATTGCCTCCCTATTAGTGTCACTAAGAGCGAAAAAAAAATCAGTTACTGAAATTATTGTTGTGATATTTTAAACCAGTATCTCTTGCATACAAGGAATCTGGTAATTACATAAGATAATAATTAGGCTATGGAGACAGACAATACATAGTATATACATGACATAAGATATATAACAACTGGGTCACTTACGTAGCTTTGTATCGGTTAGGACTTTTCTTATTACGAACGGAACAGGTGGAAACAATCTAAGTGTTTCCTTAACGACTCGGTCTAAAAACTTTAAGTTATTAAGATCCTCTTTTACTAATGGTCGATCGGAATCACCGAATACTTCTTGAATCCTGTAAAAGGTAAAATTGTGGAGACTATGTTACAACAAAGAGTATATAAGCGAAAGTTGCTATTACAAAGCTTAAGGATTTTGATAACTGAGGCAGATTTCGTCCCGCCCGTCAGTTTTCAATACTTGAAATTTTAATATTTTTACATTTTATTGCACTTGACGGCACTATGTAAACTCGGTACAAATGGACTCGGTAGAACAAATGGTTAGAGCACCAGCTAGGAACGCTATGGATGACGATTGAAGCCTGCCCGATTCGTAAATTTTTTTAAATTTATCAATTTTTAATACTTTTTTAAAGGATTGTTCTAATATATAAAGTTGTTTAGCACAGGCTTATTTAGTGTCACAAATAGTCGCTCAAGAGCGTAGCAAAAAGAAGTGCCAGAAAATGGCAAGCAAAATGTAAATTAAAATTAAAAAAGAGTTTGCAAACGATAACGCAGACTTACTCAGCGAACAATCTCTCCTGGAATTTGGGATATTTGGCTAAGAGTTTCAGCGTGTTGCCAATTGCGACTGCCGATGTATCAGTACCGGCTACCGTCAATGTTAAGACTTCTTCTCTTAATTCCACATCTGTGTAACCTCTCTCACCACCGGAGAATGATATTAATAAGTCTAAGAAACTCTTTCTTCTGTAGTTTTCTAGATCTACAAAAAATTGTAATTATATTATTTAAATCTAAGCTATAACGATTTGTAACGTAATAATAGTTAATTAGGCTAGTAATAACTACTTCTAATTTCCCAAAATTGAAAAAAACTTAATAAGAAAAATTACTAACCAAAATTTTTATCAGCCTCTGGTTGACATTGCTTCTCATTTTTCAATTCCGTTCTCTTCCTTTTTATTACCTGCGATTATAAAGATATTCAATTAAACAATCTATTATTTTCTCATGATATCACCGTGTCTTACTCAAACGTTTAATTAAAAGTTGTTCTTACATCGTCAGTAAATCCGTGTAAAACATCAATACAGTGTTTCTGGACACTGTACTGGGGAAACACCCTAAAGGCCCATTCTGGCTGCAACCACAGTTTGAATATCCGTTCACACACGACGTTCAACAATGTATTCATGCGAGTTAAGAAGGGCAAGTCTGAATTTTCTTGGGCTCCCATTTTGACGCCCATTGCCGTTTCTGTAAAATTTAAAAGTAGATACTGTCCATAGTTTACGCGAGTAGTACACATTTAAATAAAACACTTTAACGGTTTAAAACGCGATATATTAGTGAAACTTATTTGAAAATGATTTATCATCATCAAATAAGTTCAACTTCATCAAATCATTTTCAAATAAGTTTAACTAATATATCGCGTTTTAAACCGTTAAAGTGTTTTATTTAAATTCAAAAGTAGTTAACCAATTTGACTTCAAATTATACTGTAATTGTACAGCTGTTGCTAATAATTTATTCCCTCTTTTCTTTTTTTGTGACATATAGTACAAGTCACATATTTTTTATGATAGAGGACAGACGAGTATGTGGTTCACTTGATAGAAGGTGAAGTACCACAGCCATGTAACACCTAAACAAGATATGCTGTTTACCTATTTTGGCTTTGGATTTCTCATTCGACTGATATTTGAATAATAATATACAGTTCTGAAAATTTGTTCTCGAACTACAATCTATATAACTTTGATGTAAAAAATTAAAAAATACGTCACCACTGGTCGTAAAATCTTACCGCAAACCGAATCAAGAGTATAAGATGATAAAAACGGCCACAGGCTGAACTGTCCACTATCGGCTGCCACATTAAGCTTCTTCGCCATTTTTTCAGATTGTTCAGAGAAAACCTCAACAAATGTTTCCACAATCTTTGGACTGAATGCGGGAAGCAATATCTTTCGTCTCCTTCTCCAAATTGACACTGTTCAGAAGGAAAAGATATACATTAAAAATCGATCTTAGATTGAAAACATTTTCCAACACGGGCGGGACCTGAACGTGCGTCTTTCGAATATAATCATATGTCTTTCTTTTGAGATAACCTCACAAATGCATATATGGCAAAAGAACGTTTGCCAGGTCAGCTAATAGTATATATGCATCTATACTAATATTATAAAGCTGAAGTTTATTTGAAAGGACTAATCTCAGGAACTACAAGTTCTAGTCTAAAATTCCAAAAGGAAGAAATAGTGGGTAGTGTGGAAAACCAATGAAAATTTCATCTTGGAGTGTTTCCATTGTGTTCGCTGCAAAAACGATTCAAGGTACCCAAAAAATATGTACAATATAATTATTCTTCTTCTACTAATCTAAAAAATGTCCACGACAATATTTGAGTCTATCTTTTAAGATTTACTCACAAGAACCGTTTTTATGGCAATCAAATTTGGATGAAGTACTTCATATGAAAAAAATAATAATTCTAATGGCAAATGGAAAATATATAAGAGATATGAGATAACAAATCTACTCGTAGTAATACTAGAAAAAATAAACATAACTAATGCACTTTTTGCTGCACAAAACACCTAGTAATAATTATATGTACGTACTATCATTGTACAATCTGACCTAATCTTGAATTTAAATTACACACATTAAAACAACGATTACATAAGGTTAGGTCAAGTAATAATACATAAAAAGATATATACTAAAGTGCATATTGCCAGCAAATATCGTATATAAAACTTTATTTTACCAGAATCATTAGTTATGCTTAGTGTCTTATATCGTAATTGATATATTGTATAAGTTATTTCATTTTAATAGCACTTAATTACACATGTTCTAGTCGAGTAATTTGTATGCCGTTTGTTTCCCTGACCAGGTACCGTTTGCAAGGACACGATATATAAGGATCGTCAATACAAACATTAAAAGCTAAAGAGTTTGTTTGAACGCTCTTATCTCAAGAATGACTGGTTCGAATTGAGAATTGTTTTGGATAGATCATTTATCGAAAAGACTTCAGGCTATATAAGATCACACTGCAACCAATAGGATAAGAAACAATGGAAAATGCGGAAAAGACAGGAAGAAAATAACTCATCTTTGCAGGCCTTCGTTGCGTGCACTGCAAAATCGATTTAATAAACCAAAAAATATGTATAAGAATTATTCCTCTTTAAATAATTAAAGAAAATGTCCGTGTTATATTGTGTTATAGGGCGATGTTGCGAGGAACTATAATTTATAACTAGAAATTTATACAATTCCAAAGTTATTTAGGAAATTTAAATACATTTGAAAACATTGCACATGAAGGCACTGTATATTTTAAAAACTGAAAAAAATTTCGACTCGGGCTTGAACCGGCATCGTCAGCGTCCGGTGCTGTTGCTCTACCAATTGAGCTACCGATTCCTACAATTGAAAAAAAAAACGATTCGGACAGGACTTGAACCGGCATCGTCAGTCGAAAATTTTTTCAATTTATTTTCGATTTTTAAATAATATTTAAACATTCAAAAACTATTTAATACTTAGCTTAGCTCCTAGGAAATGTGTAAAGTTCCTAGTCATTGTATATAATTTGTAAATTGTATTAAGAAATGTATTAAAAAATCTTTCTGCAATAAACCTGCCACTATAGCTCAGTAGTAGCGTAGTGCATAGATATTAAAATACTTACCAGGAGCAAAAATTCCGCCGTTGCCAATTACATGTCTTATAAATCTATGCAAGTCGTCTTTCTCCATGCAGGTTTTCAAGACCATTTCCAGGTCCACTGGATCCACCACCACTGAAAGTTAAGATAAGAAAGCATTTTCGATTAATTAATATTCATTAAAAACGTGTCTTTAAAATAATGGTACAATTTTCAATTCGTCGTCAGTTGCTACAAACAACGAGTAAGGTTTTAGAAATAAAATTACATCTTCGTCAAACACAAATTAAAGAAAAGTATACACAAATTTTACTAAAACACGAATTTAAATAAAAATATACAAAATATGTTAAATAAAATACAAATAATAAGGTTTTAACTTCATTTTAAAAATAGTAGATAGTTTAGTAGCTAATCATATTGTGATTAATAAATGTGTTTGTGTATTGATTGTACTTGTAAAACACAAATATGTGTGTTCCATACAAGTGAAATGGAGATTGTAGTTATTTTGTTAATAATGCACTACTTACAGAAATACAATATATGCCCAAGCCAACCTCGGATGATCCCACCAGATTTTATACTGGCGTAGCTCAACTGTTGTAAAGACTTCATTATTCCTGAAGATATATTAAGTATAGATAATATATATTAACAATATATTAAGTGTTATATTTTAAGTTTTAGCTTAAGATCTCGTAGATTTGGTCGGTCAATGAATTACATATCTATATCTATAGTAATGTATAAACGAAATGAAGAGTTTGTTTTTTTAGAACGCGCTAAACTCAAAACTACTGGTTCAAATTAAACAATTCTTATTATTTTGTATTGCTTAGAGGACATTTGATTTTTATCGAGGAAGGGTATAAAACATTGCGTTGTGACTAATAGGAGCGAAAAAACAGCGGGAAATGTGGAAAAACCGACAAAGTTTTTCATCTTTGTGGGTCTCCGGCGCGTACGCCGCGAAAACGGCTCAATATACCCGAATAAGTTTATAAAATAATTATTTCTCTCTCTTTTATAATATTCTATAAAAATGTCCGTCAACGTGTAAAACGATTTACAAACTAGCTACATTTTGTGGCCCGGGACACGGTGTTTATTAGAGTGGCTAATGAACACCGTGTTAAACCTACTAGCCCGGATTATTTTTTATTAGAAACTTCCGCAAATTGTCAAAATATCATTGAATATAAAAAACACTTTTTATTCATATAATTTATATTTTTCATTCTAATTCTTAAAGTACCATATAGGCATTAAACATAAATATCACTTAATCGTTTACTGCCTTAAGACATTTTTCTATAATCACCTACAATGCGGAAATAATCATATTAAAATGCTTATTTACTTTGTATGGAAGAGAAGGGCAGACGTAGATAGTAAAATGTTTCTACTCTATAACATCTAAGATGCGTGATCGTCCTATTTTGAATTCTGGGCATTAAATAAAAATGTTATGTACAACGTGTAGTTGTGTGTACTCGTGAAGTACACATTTAAATAAAACACTTCAAACGGTTTAAAACGCGAAATATTTTAATTGAAATTATTTCCAAATCATTACTGCGTTTTTAACCGTTTTTGTTCTTTACGAAAAAGTATTTTTTCAACTTAGCGATTATTTAAATTTCTCCTTTTTGGACATCAAACTAAAATAGGTGGTGCCCTTAAGATTATATTTACCTCTTTATATATAATGTTTCTTAAATCTATTGTTTTTTTCACTGAAATTTATATTAAAGCGTTATGCCAATGTTCCTGTGTGTAAAGTTCTCTTCAACTTACCCTCTGTGTCTCCAAGAAAGTGGTGAGCGAGACCGATGAGCGGCAACTCACCCTCAGGCCGAGGAGCCTGGTTCGCCAGCTCGTACAGCCGCTGCCTCCGCAAACGGAACAGCACGAACCACAGCAAACCCACCGCGACGAACAAATAAAGAATCATCTTTCTATCTCATAGGCACGACGATGAATGACCATAACATGTGAACAGGCGTGTAGCAGCTTTGAAAATGCGCTGTTTTATATAGATTTTCCTGCATGCACGGTTCGTGCACTGATTCTAATGTACTAATGTGGGGTCGGCAAGTTCATGGTACGTAGCCCAACCTTCAGTAACTCATTATCTAGCTAGATCGTGCAGGAAAGCATCTGTCGGTTATTTACGCCATATTCTGTCTATACTCAATGAGCACAGCGTTCAGCGACGGTCCTGAGTTCGAATTCCGGTTCGAATCGTACATTTTTTTTAATATTTAAAGAGGAATTATTCTTTTATACAAAGTTTTTGAAGCCATTAATGATAAAACTTTTTAATGAGTTTTCTACATATATAGGCTTCCTCTAACATTGTTATAGAGGATAGAAGATAAGAGCTTTCAATTTCCTGAGATACATGATTGGGTGACCATTAAGCCAAAACAAAAAGGTCGACAGCGCATTTTATGTAGTGACTCCGTGCTTTTCTGTACTTCATGCTTTTCTGTAAGCCCCTCTCTTCGAAATTGACACACATATCGCTCGATTATTTCAAACGGAACAGTAAAAAATTAATTATTAGTTATATCATTGTCGTAATAGCAGAGGTTTAAAGGCTCTGTTCTTAGGCAGTATTAAGATTAGCACTTCCAAAAAAGTCCTATAAAGATGAATCATACAGCTTTTTAATAAAATTAAAATTAATTGAACATTGACATCAATTCCTATATTGTTTACCTATACCGCTGGCAGGATGTCATGTGGAAAGACGGGTTTTCCCCTAATGGCACGAACGTTACTTGTAAGTTTTCTTAAACCAGGTATATGTTTTACAACATGATTTCAACGATTTAATTAGATAGCTATCGTTCAGCCAAGGATTCGAAGTCAGGTCCTGTAAACTAACCGCTAATCTACTAAGGGAACAGTGAAGCTGATTTATCGTAGATGGCATTCAAATTCTGAAAAATAAATTAATTATTTAATACGTTTAACATATGATATTTAGACGAATACAAGGTATATATACATTTCTGTCTTATTATATTTAAGACTATTTCTACCACAATTTAAGATACAATAAGAGACAAGTCATATTTGCTTCAGCATGGCTAAAGTTTAATAGGGTGAAGCGTACATAAAAACAGTTTATATAAAAGAACATTTTACAAAAAAATATATATTTTATATCAGAATACGTACAGACATTTTCAAAGGAAATGAACCAATTGCTTGTTTCTTCACCTTACACTATTTAAACTATAAATAAATTATTATATTTAACCGTTTTAACAATTATATATAAAATTTGAGAAGTGGACTTCATGTTTTTTCGGTTACAAACTGAAGCAAAATTACAAGAAAGGTGAGAACCGAACGCGCTCCCTGAAAATCAAAATTCCAACATTATTCATCTACCTACACATTTTATAACGTGTGTTATAAAACTCTAAGGGAGGGTAATAACAAAGGATTCGTGGGTATGGGATTCGAGACGTCTATGGGGTCATATTTGCAGATTATTTTCGGATTTTCCTAAAAACATTGGAGCCAACGTCTGGAAATCTGGTCACAAAACATCCAGATGTAGATCCAGCAGTGCAGAGCTAACTCCCGTTTCGTGTATGAATTTCTCAATGTTCAAAGCACTTCACTCCTCTGTTACGAAAGAGGCACTTTCCGTAACATTGAAATAGTATAACTCGGTGAATACTTTATTGTATATTATGGTCAAAAACAATTTGTATTCCTACTCCGTTGCGTTCACAAAACAACACCGTCTAAAAATTCTAACACAACTCAAGGAAACAACAGGAAAAATGACATTATCATACATTAATCGCATACAGATTGTTTTTAAATGGTTCAAGTGAAATTAAATTATTACGGCCCGTTGCGGTATGCAGATCGTTTCCTGTTTCTACAACAAAGACCTGCCTAGGTTAATACTAGGTATATTAAATAATTCTTATCTTGTTCATGCTGTTATTCATACTGACATAACTCAATCTGATTTATTTACTACATAAGTTATGTATATATAAAGATATTTCTAACTACATGAGTAAATCTCGTAGCATTTTTATGTCGTAATAGAAAAGGCTTCCCATTATATATTATACTTTTATTGCGCAATGCACATAAATAAAAACAAAACAAAAAAGGAAATTTAACCTATAAAGTGGTGGTTTAGTCGCTTTCTAGCGATCGCTTCCAGGCAACCCTTGTTTGTTAAGAATAGACCGTAGTTACGAAAACAAAGAGAAACTGGTATACTTGTTTTTAAATACATTTAATTAAGCATCATCAAGTAACCTTTTAATATATAGATTATTTTTTGTGTAAAAGGTCCTTTTTTTAAGGAGCGTTTCACTGACCAATTTTAAGAAGTCTTTGATTCAACTGTGCTTTGCCAAACTCAAACTTCTCATATTTAACTTAATAAATTTGTGGGTATACTATTCGCACTCAAATATATGCAATATAACAAAGCGTTTTTGGTCATAGCAAAATAATCCTATATATAAAAAGTCTTGACGTCTGTCTGTCGAAGGATAAGCCTGTACTGACGTAAATATGCAGTGAAATACACTTATAGTTTATTATTTTTGGAGAACATCTTCTATAACGGTAGGGGCTCTGGTGTCTAGGACTTTAAGAAATGTGTAGTCATATATTAATTAAACCTTTACCTCCAACAATAAGACGTATTCAACCGGAAATAATCCCCGCGCAGTGAACTTCGGAGTCTGGTGGACTATTTGCATCGAGAGATTGAGTGCCTATAATAAATATTAATGTGATAATAAAAGAACACTTTGGAAGTCTTAAAATGCGAAATTAAGCTGCGTGAGGCATGTTGGTAAGACCCTCCTAAGGCCACCAGTAAAAAGCATCTCAAACGTCGGAAAGCAGTTAAACAGAATATCTTCTAAGCGTTTTAATTTTTGTGTACCAATTGCGTAAACTACAAGCTACTCAATAAAAACTTTAATAGAAATAAAAACATTGGACGTGTAGTGCAACTTACAGAGTTGAAATGATTCAAACATTTTGTAAAATAATTGATGTTGAATAAAAAAATACTATCACAGTATATATTGCCTAAAATCATTACCGCTTCTTTAACAGCGTAAACATCCGAATTATAATTTATTATCGTGTGCACCACGTACGACGTGAACTTTGCCTAAAAAAAAAAGACCTGTTCTTATTCATCGTAGAAAAACACACTACAATTTTAAAACTCATCCACCCTCCTACCTCCTTAACAATCTTTTCACAGCAGTAAATGGCCGAAGATATGATCCCCACAGAGAATATAACCTGCCACGAGATATACATCAACAAGTTAATATACCTCTGCACATCGTGGAACAAACCACCAGCAGTGGCTTCCATGAAGTAATACAAATACAGAACAATTAATACGAGCCACACAAACATGGTCAGAAGCAATGCCAAACCGAATTTATCGTTTACAGTCTCTGTAGCCTTGAAGAGCATGCTGTATAGTTTTCCACATGAATTGATTCTTGCGCACGCGTCTCTATCTTGCGTTCTAGGTGCAAGGCTGAGACATTTCTTGCTGCGAACAAAACAATCTCGAAAAGTGCTAGATTGCAACTTAATTAGTACAGTGTTGAGACGTCGGTATCGGTGGTATAAAGCGTAAAGATATATACAAAAATGATTCATCACGGTGAATGATAGAGAATCAGAGAAAACGATCTGAAAGAGTTTGCTGTACGGAATCGATTCTATTCTACCACTCGTTGAAATCCATACGATCAATATCCGAACGGAACAAACGCCGATTTGGAATATTGGAATAAGCAACGTCATGACTGCGCTCCGGGAATAGTCGACCGTCTCTCCCAGTCTTTCGAGGGCCACATCAATTTCCATGATCTGCTGAACGTGTTGCGTAGAACCGCTCAGGTCGAAAGAAATCTTCCACATCGTGTACAAAACATAGAAGGTAATGGCCGTGTTTTCCACCAAATCTCCATATTGGCATATCTTAGTTTCATAAAGCAAACGCAGTAATGTTTGGTCGCCCAGAAAAACATTATACATCGACCAAAAGTATAGAGAATGCCAAAAAAAGAAGAATAGGAAGCCGAGGTAACTTAGTTTAACGCTTATGTTGTTGCTAGATGTACTTTGTATGGAAAAGAACGATGCACCAAGTATTTTTCTTAGAAAAAGCACGTAAGTTAGTGCCTCAAGTGTATTCCTATAGGTCTTCTTCATTTTAAGAAATCTTTTCATTTTTATTAACATTATCAAGTTTTAGTAACACATTATTATTGTTTGTATTTTATAAAAGACCGGCTGAGACTCAGCACTGAGTAAAATAAGCACAAAGTTTATTTAAATAAAACACTTCAACGGTTTAAAACGCGATATATATCAGTTAAACTTATTTGAATTTTTAACCACACCGAAACGTCGAGCCGTAGTAAAAATATTTTTTGAATAACTTCAACTAATATATATATCGCTTTATAACCGTTAGTGTTTTATTTGAATGTGCACTACTCGCGTAAACTACAGACAGTACAATGTTTATTGTTAAAAAATAGATGATTTATAACAGACTTCATATAGAACCGAGTTCCTTCGAAACAATACCAAGTGTGGGATAATAAAATAAAACAATTTTTTGGTATTCGCAATCATCCTTAGACGATTAGATATTTATTTCTTCAAATTGTTCATTCAGCGTAATAACCCTACATAATGAACTATATTGTCCATTTGCATTAGTTATATTGTATCGAACAAAATTAGGCGTATTATTATATACAGAGGGTTAAAAAAATCGTTACTTATCATTAAGCACTATACAACTTTACATAGTGTGAAAATACAAGCATATTTATATAATATAGTACTATGGATATCTCACTGCCAAAAATATAATTATTGCAATGCAACGGAAATCGGTGCGTTATTATCTCAACAATGTTTGCTACACACGCTATTTATTACAGATCAAAAGATATTGTGTAATTCGAAAGACCTGGGGGGGGGGCAACATATAAGTCCAAACGTGGTCTTCATCGATTTAAGATTTGCCTCCCCCCCCCCTTATTACCTGCCTTACTAATAAGTTTAAAGGAAAAACATTCAGATTAAACAAGTAGTATACAATTTTATATTAGTAATTCCGGGTTTTGTACCACAAAGGCACCACTTCATGTATGATGTTAGGTAACAGAATTCTGTGTTCCTTATTTTTCCCGGAAATGAACCTAGGTATTCTCGTATATAATACCACGGAAATTATTCCTGATAACGTTTTTTAGTAAGGCAGTCGTTATTACATCAGTATCAAAATGCGGTAGTAACTAGAAGACAAACGCTAGACGCACATAAGGGTCACCGCACACTGGTCAACGATTATACGACCATTGCCGTCACTCGCTACAATAAGGGTTTTTCAAGAAATTTTGGGCAAACACGTTGTCGACACGTCAAAAGACCATTGTTTTCTAAAATACAAAAATACATGGTGCTATGGCATACACTTTTAATAGATCTAACTCTGACGTCCTACTGCCGCCCCCCTTGTGAGTGACTTTTCAGAAAATGCAAATTTAAAATGTATTTAAACTAGTCGTGGTGGCATGTGTGCGACGAGGCTTAGATTCCGGGTAACGACCAATCGTAACGTTGACGAGGTGACATGTCGATCGCCTTTACGTTCATAAATATCAATTTTACAACCTCTAATAGCTGCCGTCATCCTACACTTTTATGGCACAAGGTTATGAAATGCTAGGGTAACATATTAAGACAAAGATATCTCGAACCACAGACCGACAAACGGACCTACATTTAACACTATTGTCATCATTTCAAATGAAATAAAATGATACCACGAATTACCTAATAACGGCTATTTTTTAACATCTTTTGCCCATTTATCTAAATCGAAAACTTTATATTACAAAATTATCCTGATAGTCATTAGATTAGGCAATTTTCAAACTCTACAAAATGTAGCTGCTTATAATAAAGAAAAATTGGAATGAAAATATTACACAAGTAAATTTCTAAAATGTTATATTGCTTTTTACGGAAACGTAATGCTTAAATTATTACATGGTTTCAGAACATTTTGGAAACCGAAGTATTGTTTCATATTTATAATTTTTACACGTTAATATGAGAGTAAAAAGAAAATTACCGAGGCCACCTTTTCCAAGAATACATTCATGTCAGTTTAAAATATCAATAACACGGAATGTAACTGGAATCCGTTATATAGAGAGAGTTATCTACACGATAAATACCAAGAGTATAAAAAATAATATTAATGAGATAATTTGCAACAAAAATAAATGCAATCGAAACGCGACTTAAAAATATTTTGTGACGAAATGAAGGCTGTATTAGACGTACATCATTTATTTATATTATCGTTATTATATTAGAATAAAATATGCATCCGAGAGTGTAAACGACTATTAATTGATAATATTATGATATCGTATTAACATTTTTTTTATAAAAACTATAGCTACACATTTTTCTTTCTCTAATTATTTTTATTCGTATAAAGCTGCACTTAGGATTTCAAACTGGCTATATGCTTAGTTAACACTCTTAAGATATTGCATTGCTCGTGTTGTTCGCGATTTAACGAATCAAAAGAACCGGATCGTTCACCGATGACTGAGAATATAGCAACGTGAGTCTTGGTGATCCGCGATCTGAGTTAGAGAGACGCAATCGTTCGATTGAACGGGTCAAACGAAGCAGATCCTTAGTCAATCGATCACGATTGATTCGGTTGTTTATTGGAACCAAGACACTTAATTTGCATTCGAAGAAGGCAATAACCGGGTAGCGCTACCGAGCGCTATATTTGGTTCAAGTCGATCGTATTTGAGTCAAGATTAATCATCTACGGAATTTCTCTATTACAGTGAACACTATATTATCGTACATGTAAATTTGTATAATATTAAATGCATTAACAAGATTTTTATGTGGACTATTAATAATTAAGTGCTCATAGGAATCTTGGATAAATAAATATTCCTTATATTTTGAAAGCCAGATCTATATGGTGTTGATATAATTGATAAAATACATAACCTTTAGGCAAGTTAATGTGGCATGGAAATATATAACTTATTATATGGCTATTAAACATAATGACCTTTTATACTACACTTATATACATTCCATATATAAATATTCTAAGAACTACTTTATTTATAAACGTATAAATAAAATGTCTAGATATAACTAGAGTTTTGTCTCTTTTTTATACATACGTATGAAATGAGACAAAACATAAGTTGTTCTATATATCGTATGATTTTGGGTAGAGTGTAAGATTTTAATCATTTTAATAAGACTACTTTAAAACAAAAGCGGCTCAGAGTAAAAAACATGGCATAGATAAAAATAATCAAAAAGCTATATATTGATCACTCATCATGAAAGCCATTTAAATATAAATAAAATGTCAACAAAATCACTATATAAAATGTACTACGACGGTCTACTACGAGTCAATTATGTTGTTAAGCAATTTCCTGGGTACTTTACCTGTTCGTAGTGAATATTGTTATCATAAAATGAATGCAAAAAAACCCAGGTTAGCGATAGTTGACATCTGTGTTGTTATTCTTAAAGGTTGTAAACACAGAAACATAACCGCAGGGCAATGAATAATATAATTTACTAATAATATATTTAATCCCTCTTGATATATGCAGTTGAGTTATGTATATTTTCAAAAGAATGTCCTAAAGAATTGTTTTTTTTTAAGAGTTACTTAGCGAAATTTGGTATTCGGCCATCTCACTGAATGACTTTTTCACAGGCTTAATAAGACTTCCTTGTTCGATCGAAAAAGTGAATTGCTTTCTTAAGAATTCGGGCCTCTCGAGCTGAGCATATTTTGGACATTACGATGGTACCAATGGACTTAACCAATGAGCTCCGATGGTGGTGGTGAGTTTTTTGATTAAAACATACCGAACCCCACCAGTACAGCAATGCAAACAGTAATTAATATAATAATTATATATTTCCGTGCCACGTCTCAAAGCAAAAGTCAAAAGGCCACATTTATTACACATTTACTTGGATATATCTAGATTATTCACTAATTTATTAGTAATAAAGATCTGGATGTGGGTTTAATATTCTGAATAATTACGGACAGTATAACTGCTTTTAATCTTTATATAAATGCTCGTTTTGTGAAATCAGTTGAGTAATTGGCTTATTAGAGTCAAAATGTGCAGAGCAGACTCATTGCAGAGTATACAGATAAAAAACTAAACGAAACAAAAAGAGTAAAAAACACAATTCTTAAAATAACTATGCATTCCCTGCATTATAAATTTCATTTCAAGTCTATAGTTAAAAATACCATTCAATATCTTTGGATATGGATAAAAATAATTTAGGCAAACATTGATTTTAGGCCTCCTCTAGTTTGTGACAAATTTAATTCACCAATATAAATGGCCAGACTAGAAACAATTCTATAAAAACCGTCTTACAAAAACGCTAAAAGTCGAAAGATTTATATTATTCTGACAATTACGTTAAGCTCAATATAGCAAGTACATTTATACTAATAATGACAGCATTTGTTAACTCGGAAAAGCTTAACGATTCTGAGAAAACACTTCTAAAAGTCACAACATCCCATTAGAAGTGGGACTTTATAAAACCAACAGCTAAGTTTTCACGGAGGCTATTCTAATTTACGATGACATAAGTCGCAAATTACGTCACTCTTATACGTAACCAGAGACCGAATTCGACGTCTTATATCACTTTTTGAGAATTGCATCCCGGGCTATTTCCATAAACTACCTTTGAGGAACAAAGAAAAGTTTTACTTAAAAATTCTCAACACGAGGAAGTAATCAATCAAAATTATAGTGTTAATTGAGTAAATTTAGTAACATTATTGTTAAAATAATTGAGATTCGTCGGTCACAGAAGATCGTGCACGTGAGATGTATCAAGGTTTGTGATTAGGGTTTTCATAAAGGTCATTTCTTTGCGCGCGTTTTCCAGGATCACCCTCGGATCCTGCGATGTGCATCGGAGGCAGTTCGGTGCGAACACCATTGCTAGATTCGCGGAATCCATTTTGGTTTGACTCACCACTTCAGGCGCCGTGAACTGCTGCAGGAAGCTTATTAAATATGTTAGTACCTGAGAAAAATAGAAAATCTATTTATTATTAAATCTATACTAATGCTGGAGTTTTGCTGTGTGTTTGTTTGAACGCACTGATTTCTGAAACTACTGGGTTGAATTAAAGACGCTGCGAACAATAGGAGCGAAAGAAACAGAAGGAAATGTAAAAAAAAGGGGAAGAGAAATTTTTGAGGGTATCCGTTGCTTACACTGCGAAAACGGTTCGAAATTTCAAAAAAGATGTGGAAAAGAGAAATTCTTAAATATATTATCAACTAACCTTTAACTTACAATAACCGTTTTTATGGGAATCAAAGTCAAGTCATGAGTAGCATTAAAAAAATATCGATAAAATACTGAGTTACTTGATTTTACCTACTGAATATACCTGGTACGCATAATAAAATAAACTATTTAGGTGCAAAGATTTTAAATTTATATTATTATTCAAGTATTTGATTCCTGGAAATCGCACGTCGTATTACGTAATTGACTTACTAGAATTACACTTGACAAAGATCACTGACATATACAACGTAAAAGCAATTATTCACGTCTATCAACATATATTTCCCAGCTTTGTTCGCATATTCTATTTTCCGTTACCGTTTTGTACTAAGCCGTTAAAAGACCAAAAATATATTTTAAAACGACGTCTTTATCTTATATAGCAATTAGTTTCACAACCACAGATTAATAAATTCTCATCAATTAATCAAAGGAGCTTTAACGGGGGTTAAAACAACTCACCAATCTATTTAAGGCCGGCAATCGCTGAAGAGCTCTCGTACAAGCAGAAAAGTCACTCCCAGCGGCGACGCAAGCGCCGTACAGTGCATCAGGGATTAACGGTTCGTATAATTCACGATACCATAGCTTCAAGAGACTGGCTGGCGCATGCGCATCTAAAAAAAAGAACTCAGTATTTCAATAGAGAAAGAAGTTTTCTTCAATTCTTTTTTTAATGATAGACGACAGACATGTAGAAGCATAGCGTTCACTTGATGGGAGGGGAAATATATATATATATATTATTATTGTAGATATATATATATATATATATATATCTACACATGATGCGCTATCGACCTATTTTGACTTTGAATATTCGACAGTCTAAAGAAACCGAACCACGATTAATCTTTTTCACCTTTCACCCATTTAATATCCAGATTTCCAGTTTCAGGAAAATAATAAATTAAAAACAAGAAACATGAATAAAACCCACAATCCATTGATTATTAGCCATACATTGCTATCATTAAGCTACCGAGCCCGTCAAAATATGTTCACAATAGTGCCAAATAAAGAACACTCTGAGAAAGTTTTTAGTAGTGAATCGGAATTTCTAAGTTACTTTACTTACCAGTCAACATAGAAGCATCTGGTAACTCCCAATTGTCAATTTTAGCCTTCAGCGCATTGACTTCGTCCACGTCCGCTGAAACCCTGAATATGCCCTCAGTTTCCTTGCCGTTGAGAGCTAGAACCTGCTGGGAGAGAGCAACTTGTACCCACGGCAACTGTCTGTTCGGAAACTGTTCCTTTTGAAGCGCCATCACTTCTTGTAGCGTGTTTCCGAACATTGATTGGCGGAAGATTTGTATCTAAAGAGATAAAAGTATATAAGTTAATTAAGTATTAGTTTCAAATAAAACACTTTAACGGTTTAAAACACAAAGTTAAAATATATACATAGCAAAATGGCCTTTATTTAGTTGTAATAAAAGCTACGTAAGATGCTGGTTTATTAGAAGAAGTACTACCAGTCTCAATCTTTTATTAATTTTTTTACAAGAAACAAATTTAGAGTAACGTCGTAGATATAAAATTATTATATTAATAATTAAATCTCGTTATTTAATCCTTAAAGAATACGGAAAAAACTATGTATCTAATCTGTACGTAGTATTAAATGTTCACATAAAGATATCTTACTCTAGCTTGGTCAATATCTTCTGTGGTGGGTTTTCTCGGTTGCCTCTTCCCTCCAAAACCGATTCTTTCAAGCCGTTTGCAGGCCACGCTCGCGTAGTGAGACACTTGAACATGTATAGGCCATTTGCCAACCTAATTAAGAACAATAAAGACACGTTTAAAAACAAAGGAGAAATTTTATATGGCCTATATTTCCATGCTATTTCAAGACCCGCACCCCATGACCAAACGGTTCAAACGGTTTTATTTAAAAGTGCGTACTCGCGTAGACTATAGACATTTTTTTCTATATTTTTGTCAATTTAAATGATGCCTGCGATTATAAAATTAAAAATAATTAATATGTTTGTACCTCTGGGAAACAATCGGCAAAGGCTGGATCCCGATGCCTGTTCACGTAGTTGGTGAGTGCCGGTTGAAAAGCGGGAGAGGGTGGTACGAACGCCAGGCATACCGCCAAGAGCTCCCACCCGCGTAGCAGTGAATCCCTTAGTGGATTCTCCGTAGTTTGTCTACACAACTGTACGTATAACTCGTCACGGAGCCTGTTAAGGTAAAAAAAACAACTAAATATCACGTTTTAAGCCGTTAATTGTTTGTTGAAGCCCCATCTATATTACATCGAAACAAGATGTGTTGTCGACTTATTTCGGCTTCGCATATTTGGAAAACCGCAGACTGAAACCGAAACGCGTTAAACTTCACGGTTTATTCATCTACCCATTGAATATTAATATTTCCAGATGAAGTGTACATATTTATAAATTGTTTAGAAAAATGTTGGACCCGATGGGGATCAAACCCACACACTGTTGATTATTAGCCATAAAATGCTACCACACCAACGAGCCCATTGGCTCTAAGCTAAATTATTAACCACATTCGAGCAAATCGAAATTGTTTAAATAAAACACTTTAACTGTTTAAAACGCGATATATTAGTTCAACTTATTTGAAAATGATTTTTAACTTCGGCCCGACGTTTCGGATGCTTTGCAGCAGCCGTGGTCACGGGGAGACGGGCCGAAGTACTTAAATCGAAATTGCTAAATGTTTTACTATTGTAGTACTGCTTTGCTGAAACTCCAGATAAAATGATAGTATAGGTATGTCTTACTTCTCATTAGTGAAGGTGGCGTGCAAAATATCTTGAGCTACCGAGTTAAGCGTCATGCCGGGACGCGCTTTGCGGTCACCCATGTATATTTGTACCAGACGAAACAGGTCTATCGCCGCCTTTTTGTGCCCCTTGTCCCAGTCGGCGCCGACCATTGGTGCACTTATCGATGAGGAGGTCCAAGAGAGCATGTCACGCACTGAGGCCTGAGAATTTATTTTGTTATATACTCTGTGACCATACACAGAAAAAAATGAAAATTTCTACTATAGTAGAAATTCTCATTTTTCTACTGAACTCAGATGGTAGAGCAGGGAAAACTGTGGTCGGTGGGTGCAAGTGCCGCCTTGGTCGCCTTAATTTTTTCTCGATCCTTTTGAATTGCAAAAAAATCTTATTGATGTATACACAGCTACGTTTTTATATTCCGTCCAACTCTTGATTTCAAAAGTAAAAATAAAAAACATAAACCCTACTTGTAATTAAGACACTATAACGTTTTAAAAAGCGATATATATTAGTTAAACTTATGAAAATTATTTTAACTACGGTCCGTTGTTTCGGATTCTTTGCAGCACCTGTGGTCAAGGGTAGTCTCCTGTGACCACGGCTGCTGCTAAGCTACCTAATATAACTAATATATATCGCGTTTTAAACCGTTAAAGTGTCTTATTTAAATGTGTACTACTCGCGTAAACTGCAGACAGTATTAAGTACACCTTAAGTCAAGTAGGGCACTTGACTTCAGGTTTACATAAGTTGGGTATTGTTACCTTCCTCCTAAAGATTCCTTTGCTAAAGTTAAGATTATCCTTAGCAAAGATCTCGATATCCTGTTCTGGTGGTGGCATATGTGGTAAGTGTGGTGGGTGCGCATGCGGCCTAGGAGGGTGTGATCTCACGGGACTGTACAACGCTGGACCCTCAGCGCCATCTGTCACCGCAGTAGCAGTAGCACCAATACTACCGCCACCGACTGATGACGTCTAATAATATTAAAAACTATTAATGAAAATTGGTCCTCGGTGTCCGGCTTTTCAAGGCCGACAAAAATTCTGTATTATTATTATGTTTTGTCCAATAAAGAATATACAAATAAATAAAAATATAAATAAAGTAAAATGAATCTTAAAATAAAATACAAGAACGAAAGGACATGTTTAATATATATGTGAATATATGTTATGTATATTCGGCTTATACCCCACAGGGGGTACATTTCCTTCTACATTTCGCGCATTTTATTTATGAGCAAATAATCGGTTCAGACGTGATCGACTGAAATAATTTATCGTTTATCTAACGTTTAACTTAACCGAATAAATAACGAACAGAACTAGAAATAAACTTTCTCACCCTATGTATTCCCGGAGAGGGCTGCCGGTCCCTTTCGAAGCCAACAAACGTATTATAATAAGATACACCGTGGTTCATATATTCGACATCTAAGGGCCTCTGCGTATGCGTGTACGTATGAGGAAGATACACGCCCGAGCCGTCATCGTCGTCTGGCGTCCTGGCACCACCGTCCGATGATTCGTTATCCGGTTCGTGACCGGATAAAGACCGGGACTCAGATCCGGAACGGGAATGGGAAGAACCGGATTCGTTCTCGGAGTCAGAATGACCGGTGTAGCGACTACGACCTGTATAGAATGTACAGTATAGTGTAGTTATTTATGGATATAACAATCTTTAACATAATTCTTACATAACAGATTAATTTTAAAAATTCATCAGATTTTAGCTACCTGCGAAGGAGTCTGAATAAAATCTATTTTCGAACTCTAAAAATGAAATGTTGAACCGAAATGTTGACCATAAAGAATTTTTACTCACTGGAGAGCTTGGCCTGCTGAATAATATAGTCCTGCAGTGGCAACAGATGCTGCATCCCTCGTAGATCCCAATTGCAGTAAAGTGGTGATCCACCGCCCTCCTCTTCTTCTTCCTCGCCCTCTTGGCCATCTTCCGGTTCAACGGGTCGCTTATGACCTTCATATTAGGAAAACTTAATTAAACTTTCGTGTAATAGAATTTTCAGTTTTCTATTCTAATTATCAGATTGTTGGTTAAACTCTTTATGTTATATATTTTTAGGACCCAATAGTAAATATTTTAAGAGATGATTTGTAACATATTGTTTATTGAAAAGCTTTATATACTTACGCCGCGATTTAGTTCTATCTCTCGTTGTTGTTCTCTCCAATCTCTGATTGTGTTTTTGGACATTTGGCTCAGTTAGGGCCGGTTCCAAATTGACGCACTTCAACTTATAGTTTACTGAAACACAATAAAATAAGTTTAAAACTTTTTGAAGAAGTTAAGCTAATACATAATTATTTATTATATTTATTGTAGACCTTTTACAAAACTGCTTAGTTTTGAACTAAACTTACGTTGAAGTATTACAATAAATGTTGGATTACATAGATACAATACTTTTGTACTGCATGAGAATAGGTTTAATTTTGAGGGTACAATGACAACTTATATGAAAAAGATTCTATATTATTAATTCAACAAATACCCACCAGCAGCTACATTATCTGACTCATTGGCAGATGACAACCTCATAAAGTTGTGATGGGGTTCATGAGGTGGCGTTCTGTGCTTACTGCTACCTGATGATGCAGATGTCTTGCTAGATGTGTACCGCTCTGGTTCAGCTTGTTGCCGCCTGAAAGTACGTTACAAATCCAATTTTATTTGTGCTTTAATATGGATCCATTTTAGTACTTGGGCCAGACACATATCGGTTGTTGATTTTTATTTAATGTAAGACATGGGTCTCTATACCTAAAACGTATGAAGTGTAAAATGTAATAAAGGACTACCTGCTCGTAGTCCTTTATTAAATTTTAACATTAACATCCATTGTGTAAGAAATATATTTATGCTTTCAGGTAATTTTGTGTTTTTAAGAGATAGAGAAGCAAGGTTAGTCTTATCACGTAGGGTTAACCCTACGTGATAAGACTAACCTTGCTTCTCTTAAAAATAATATTATATTATATTAATTGTATTATCACTGGTTCTATTGAAAAAATATTTTTTGTAGGTTATTATCGAACAAGAGGAGCCAAGAAACAATGGGAAATGTAGAAAAACGAGGAAATATATCTTTGAGGGTTTACGTTGCGTGCGCTGCGAAAAACGATTCATGATACCCGAAAAAAATGTATGAAAGAATGATACCTCTTGAAATGATCTAAAAAAGATTCGAGACACTATTGCTCTCTTTGAATTTAAACGACGTAACCACTACTACATTTATAAAGGAGGTTGTGTGGAAAAAGGAAGTTTATAATGCCCAAAATAACTATTCCACGCGGAGGAAGGCGCGAGCACAGCTAGTGTGATATCGCGACAAATACTCACATATTAGACTGATACCTTGTGAACTCTCGTGGCTGGTGCCAGTTGGACGCGTTATGGCGAAGGTCGAGACTGGTCTGACGGAACGGCTTATCCACGCTGTAGACAGCCTGCTTTTCGGGGTAACGCTCAATGCGGTCTAGCTCAGCTAGGCGATCCTTATCTAAGTGCCTGTACGATTATAAATTATTATTGTCTACACATAGGTACGTTATTTTCTTTAGTTGTAGAAGACAAATATGGAAAAAAAGGTTATTTCTTATTCATATACTTTATTATATATTATAAACGATATTACTATGTATATTTTACATATTTAACGCTAGGTAATTAGTATTGTCTTATAGATTACATTTTAAAATTAGGGAATCAACTCTAAAGATATATAACACTCTCATAAATATTTTATAATTTAAAAATAAACCTTTAGACTATTAGGCACTATAAAGTACTTGCTAGAAAATTGAATCCGTACTTTTAATTTTTATCTCAAGTACGGATTCAATTTTCACAGATTGAATAGATATACAATCTCACCTGTCTGAATATCTTTCCCGCGAGTGTCTAGACAAATGATGCGGTCTCTCGAGGCTCAGCATATGCCTGGCTCCACCCGCTTCTGTGGCCAATGATATAGAGGAGACCAGCGACGGACGAGCTGCTGACGTCTGTGCCAAATTAGATTATTCTTTAGTCCAGCCACTTTTATTTTTGATTGGTTTAAGAGTTTAACTAAAACTTTTAGTATCTAAATAAATAATGTAAATTTTTAATACAATAATTACTACAGTACATTATAATATGCTACTTAATTAAGATTAACACCCTGTGATGCAAGCAAGAAATGTTATAGTCTTTGATTATTATTACTTAGCACTTAGCATATCATTGTTTATCGGGCCGTTCGGCCGACGTTAGCGTGAATAAGTCTCGACGTTTCGCCATCACGAGCGGACAGCGTCATCAGGACATGGTGTTAGCTCGTCGATTGCTCGAAGAATTAATGGTTTAATTAATTAAGCCCGAAAAACAATGATATGCTGAACGCACTTGTCAGGCGCAGATGAATAGTATACAGTCCGTTTAACACAAACTATAAAAGATATTGTTTTTCTCAGGCAGTCACACCTTTAAAAAATTGCCACTCTGTACCTGTAGAAACGCCGTTGTTTGCGGTTTCTGTAGCGGACTGCTAGGGCTTTGAGGCGACGCAGACTCACATGATGAGCCACCGGCCGATTGCTGTTTTAACTGAAACATAATAAGAGCAATTAATTTGATGGGCTCATTAATGTTATGGTAGCAATGAGTAGCTAATAATCGACGGGCAGTGCCTTCGATCACAACCGGCTCCAACACTTTTCAAATCAATTTATAATTTTTCTAAAACATGTTGGTTCGTACGGGAATCTGGATGTTAAGGGAATGGTAAGGTGGTCCACAGATCAAAAAGTTTAATTGCGTTTCGGTTTAAGTCTGTGGATTTCTGAATAAGCCAAAGAAATAAATAAAATGCCAAAAGCTAAGATCTATTGCTATATTGCTGCAATAAGAGTACTTCAAGAAACATGCCACATTGATTTTGTCTTTACTATATAGATTCAGATATTTAAATAATTATACTAATTACAAATTCAATGCAGTAAACGATATACCTACCATTATCACTATGAGACAATAGTATGAACTGATTACGCTTTGTATATTGAATTTTAATGCATCATTAACCATAACTCCTATGGGATATATGCACAACATATTTTTTCTGTTGAGACATTTAATGAATGTAAGTTATTTATTACTAGCTATGTCCGCAACTTCGAGCTTTTACCATCTTTTTTGCGAAGTTATCTATAAAGATAAACATTTAATGTCGCGGACTTTTTTTGGGTCACTTTAAGAAGAAAAATCGTTTTCTACACATTTTTTGGTTTCTTAAACTATTTTCGCAGCAACGGAAGTCCTGAATGATGACTAATTTTCGAAAAAAAATCCACAGTTCCCTAACACAAAAACAATTCGAACCAGTAGTCCCCGAGATGAGCGCGTTCAAATAAACAAACTTTTCAGCTTTATAATATGAGTATTGATAAAACTAACATTTTATTTGTTTATTTATTTCTTCACAAAATTAGATTAATAAGACGTTTGACGACGAAGACAAAAGTCAATATGAGTGGTTTCGCGTAAAAAGTTACGAGTATAAGCTCGTCGAACACAAGTCCAATAAATAGATTGATGTGTTGTATACCTTACGTCTGGTTAACGGTGTGCTCTCGACTGATTTGAAATACTTCTCGTGCATCGAGTCATCGGAAGCGTCCTTCCGCGGTGAAATGAAACTTCCGCTACGGTTCAACCCTACAAATATGAAGCGTCACTTTACAAATCTGATTTTTTAAATGAACACTTAAACGGTTAAAAATGCGAAATATATGAGCTTATTTGAAAATATAATTTTAACTATGGCCCGACGTTTCGGATGCTTTGCAGAAGGCGTGGTCTTCGCGTGACTAAGTTAATTTACTACTAACTATATTTCGCGTTTTTAACCGTTAAAGTGTTTTATTTCAATGTGTACTGTTGACGTCAACTACAGACAGATATGTTTTTTCTTTATTGTTTATATCGCTGACTTTTTTACTGAATATAAACTGGTCTGATGCTAGTTCTAGTAGTATACCTGAATGCGGAGACCATTTCTCACTTTCACCATGAGTAGGTGGTGGTTGAACGCTGCTCCTTTTCTTCAGTTGCGGGGTGCAAATAGGGGGGTTGCATGCTGCAGCACTTAATTCCTGGTGAATTAAATAAACTTAAAGATACATATAAATAAAAATAATGTAATGATATAATTTTTTGTTTCCCCGAAAAAAAATTCAAGTGTCGGTGGCTATAATCAGATGTTTAAATAAAACACTAACGGTTAAAACGCGAAATATATTACTAAAGCTTATTTAAAAACCGTTAAAGTGTTTTATTTAAATGTGTACTATTCGCGTACACTACGACACTGTATAATCAGATGTTCAAAGAACGGGTGCCTAAATATTACTAGGACGATTTGAATTAAATTTTGCAAATGTCTTTTACATCAATATTCTTCCGACCCCATCAGTCAGTATCAGTGACTTGCCTGTTTCCGCCTTTGCTGAGCGCTACTGATGCTGCTGTCGGATGAACGACCTGAGTCAGTGTGACGGCACAGAGCTGTGGTTCCATCTTCGCTCAAACGTCCTCGACGACTCTCGCCACTGTTTCTTTAAAGAAAAAGCTTGTGAACTTTTTGGACAAAGTTAATGCCATAGTGGACGGAATTATTATAAGTACTAGGAATATTAACTAATCTGGGATTCGATCCCAGGATCTTTCGTGCTTAACGAAATGCTAGGCAACGCGTTTAACCATTGCGACGGAGATGGTCTTTGATTTGGCATAACAGTAACTAACAATTCACGTTGTGTTCATAGCTTAGGTTAGGTATGTGCTTAGCAACGATATAATTTAAAGCTTACACTGTAATTAAAGTTTTGGGTATTATATAAAGTTCGTATTAATTTAATTGTATCCACATTCCCAAGAGCTGACCCTTGTTTTCAAATGAGACTTCCAAATGAGGTAAGAGGTCACGACACTATGATAATAATAGTGAACAAAGGATTTTGTTAAAATAACCATTACTGGGAATTATTTATGCGTTTTAGTGTAGTGTATATGATAACTGTGTCAAGGCAGCAAATGCTTAAACAAACGTTATAAAAAGTTTTTATGGGATTTTTTACTAATAAGTATTTGAGATTCGCGTCTAAACTAAGGCCAACATAGGTCGAAAAACATTTGTTTCTCAGTCAGAGAAACTACTCACTACCTTTAAAGATGGCTTCAAAAACTTAACAATGTTAAAACATACGAATTTTGTTAATTGCATGGGAATTTAGTTCACACTGTTCTTTCTGGGTACTCTCAAAAGCGTTCCTTCCTTCTGTAGTTGGAAAGTCGTGATCACACGTAAATATTATTCAAATAGTAAAAAAAATGCAATGCAGACACCATCTGGCGTGTGTGCCCGGTCACCTTTATGATTGCACAATCATGTAACAAGATATCCTCACAATAGCTTTTCACATGAATACAACAATTTTATATAAAATGTTACTTGTGTCTATTAACAGTGGCGTATTTGTAAGATATATTAATGTGGAGGGGATTTTGTAGGTAATGAAGAATTTGTCGAATATTACGATTTGATTACACATATATCCGATCATAAAAGTTCAGACTATGTACTGTCGAGAATAAAAGTCAGTATAATTTTCCCATAAAAATTGAATATAAAAAAAAATGGTCCCGCAATAATTGACTAAACAGTGAATATTTGGAGATAGTTGCGAGCGGAATTGTTGAGCAAACTTATTTAGAAATAGTGAAATTCTAACTCCATAAAGTTACTGTTTTCTTGCGTGCCATACTAATCGATAAAGTATGTGTTATTGCCACTTAAGGCAATCATAAATTTCACCAGCAACCATTAACAGTACGGTGACCGTCTTCATGTCTCTATGGTTAAAAGCAATGATGAAAATGTGTTTAAGGCGAAATGTTCTAGGTTCAAATCCCGGGGTAACGATTAGTTTTCTTTTTTGTTTAACTATATGATTACAGTTACCTGTAAATATAACCTATTATAGAAACAAACAAATTTGTTATGTCACTTTGAAGTATACAATCAAGTAACTTACCTGTGATGATAATGAGATCTTCTGGTTCGCACTGGACTTGTTTGTGTAATGGTGACATTTTTCGTATTACTTGGAGATAACTTGCTAACACATGCAGTATTACCATTGCTGTTAAATGGATCTAGTGTTGATGGCACCTGATAGAAATTTTGCATTTAGTAGATATATGTACTTATATAAAATTGGTTCATGTTTATATCGCTAAATTAGAAACAAACGCACAGGTTGCGTGGTTTGAATTTTTGTGAAAAATATTCTAAACTGTTTTGGTTGTAGAATTCTAGCCTAACCATGTTAATAAACGTATTTATCAGTCCAAAACAACCAAAAGCTATTATTTTTCCTATTATTCTGCAATCATTTAAAAACTAATTTGTTAAAAGAAAATCATTTAACATTCTTATAGTATACACAACATTCAAGCGAGATTGTTACACAATGATTTCTGTAACAAATTCTACCAGTTACATGTATACAAAAAATAAACAAACAACTGGGTAACGCAAACTTTTCTTCACATTTGGAAACAATGCAGTCATTCAGTACTTCAACTCCATCCAGCAGTTATTCGTGTTATATAAAAGTTCTGAACAACATCTGGCACTACGCCAAGTTATCAAAGAGTAATAATGTAAAATTCACTTTACAAAAAGAGGTTAACAGGTTAGGTTGAGATTCTCACTATGAGAGAAAAGCCAGTGTTAAGAGTATAACACTTCAAATGACAAAGAGTGACTGTGCGCTTTCTGATACTTTTTAATGGTCAAATCATTTAAAGCTTCAATTCATAAATCTTTTTTTATATAAGATGTGCTACATTTACATCTTTCAAATAAAACACTTTAACGGTTTAAAACGCGATATATTTTAGTTAAACTTGTTTGAAAATTATTTTTGCTGCAAAGCATCGAAAATGTCAGGGGATAGTTAATATTTTCAAACAAGTTTAATTACAATTTATCACATTTTAAACCGTTAAAGTGTTTTATTTAAATGTGTACTACTCGCATACACTACAGACAGTATTTATATTTACATCTTTAAGATGTGACTGTGAAATGTAAAAGTGAATAGGAATTTGTTTTTAAATTACTTAAATAAGTATTTAATGTTACATATATTAACATTCAAAATTAAATATAGATAAAATAAATAATCTTTGACAAATATAATATCAATTATTTTTTACTAAATTCGTTGTATACTCTATAAGAACATTGAAAAACATACCTGTGGTGCAGCTGAATTAGTTTGTGTAGATGTTTCCCTTCTCTTTTGTGGATCAGTGTTTTGTTTCAATGTTTGTAACTTTGCTAGTGGTATAATGTCACAGTCTGTAGGCCTGTGCCAGACAGTAGTCTGAAAATATAAATACAATTAAGACCAGAAAATGTAAAAGTATAATAAAAATAAGAGTTCTTAGTAGTACCTGAGTTGACGCATTATAGTAATAAAATCTATGAGTATTAATATCAAATAGCTCCCACCACTGCGATGAGTCTGTCCTTTTCACTTTTACACCCTGAAAAAACCTTGATAGTAATAAAATTGACATTGCACATATTACTTACTAATTAATAGACCATGATAAAAAGATTGGAGTACAAGAACAAATTATATTAACTAATTACCACAAGGAATCCTTGTGTAACAATTAAATGTAAATAATGTATGAGAATTTTGACTGAGCTAAAGAATTTAACACTTTCAAATGAAATATGTATAATTGAATAATATTTTTTACAAACTGCTTCAAAGAATACGTCAAAAATATGATTAGAAAGGAGGGCCATTTAATTTACCTCTGGTGGATCCCATACACATTCCCCAGTAGTTAGGTTAGCATACATATGTTCCTTTGTCTTCGGTTCTATTATCTCCACCCATTCCACTCTAGAATAAAACATAACCGTAATTTAAATAACACTGCACTACTACCGCAAAGCAACAGCGAAATCCTGGGCGTGACATTAACGATTTCCGCGGATACTTTATTGATTTTGCAACGTTAGAATGATTTGTTTGGTAGTTATTGGTCATCCATTTGAATCAAACATTAATTAATTAAATTACCTCTCCGAAGACATCTTCACTAATAATAACTCACTGTAATATAACTACTTATTCATACTTAACAAAGTAAAAGTAAAAATTATTTATACACTTCAATGAAACCATCCATGTTGAGTGTTTACTTCGCATCACAGTTTAAAAATGTACAGCACAGATGATTGACAATTTACATCTTTGATGATGATTATTGACAATCAAGTGCTACATTAATGCAGGAAACATAGCCTATATTGTGCCGTGTGTCCAGTGAAATATTGTATCTGTGACATCCTCCGTGTATTGCCATAAATCTTAAATTATTTTCACCTTTAGTCGTTACGAAATTAATCAAGTTTTTAATTTAATTTTTAATCTAATTATAATTATTAGATTAAAATACATACAATACCAAGACTAAAAAACTTTCCAGCATTTTGAATTAAAAGTATAATATAAACTATTCAACTCAATACAAAATACATGAGTCGTTAGTATAACCATAGCCCGTAGTTAGTAAAAGTGATTTTGGAATGTTTTAAATGGCAACACTTCGTGTGTGACTCTAATTTTCGTACGTGTATTGACTATTGATAGTATTGATAACATTTTTTTATTAACTCGTTAAGTTTTCTTAAGACTTATAAAAGGGACATTAATTAAATACCGTCAGCAAATTAGTACATAGAATAGATTTAGTAAGTACACCAAATTATAAAATCCATACTTACTAGGGACAATGTTTCGTTCCGTTGTCAACCTTTTGTGCCGGCGTGTTTGTGCTGATTCATTTCTATGTAAACACAGTCGATATTGCACAAAAGCTCCTCAGTTAAACACAACACAGCCCATTAAATCGGTTAATGGTCAGTACAATTATTAATAAACTATTTTTTCGAAACGAATTATTAAAAATATAACGTATAATAGAGCAGTTAGAAATGCTATAGATAATTTCTTATGCGACGGCAGTGTTCGTGATATTTTTATTATTTTTTACAGTAATGGATAAATCATTGTTTTTGCTTCCGAATAATCAGAGGTTTGTCGAGTTAGACAGCTCTCAGGCCTTTGAGAACCTAACAAAGCAGGAAAAACTATATGCACACTATTTAAGCCAGGTAAATTAATTAACAACCACACAAACAGTTGTTTTCTTTAATATTTAAATAACTATTATACATACATTCATAGTCTTAAATGGTTTCGATTTTTTTGAACCATTTATAATTTGAGTTGATTCAGTTATTAGAAGTTTTATTTTTTATTAATAAAAAAACTATAAATTATGTTTGTCTTTCAGTCTGCTTGGAATGGAGGTCTCATTGTTCTTATGCAAACTAGTCCGGAATCTCCTAAAATATTTTCATTGTTACATAGAATCTTTACCGGGGAACCTATAGAAGATCTTAAAGCATCTTCTATTAAATCTGGTGTTACTGAAGATGATTTTCAAGTAAGTTTTGTTTTAATAATAGTGTATTTATCTATCATAAATTTTTATTATTGTAAATAAAAAAATATCTTCATTAAAATAACCAATACTTGTGCATACAGAAAAGGTGTGTTTAAAATTCTTCTCCAATAAAATATTTCCCTTAAAAAGATATATAGGTCTATTTTAATTTTATGTGGGAACCTATCTATTGTAGTAGATATTGTATATACACACTTCATTATCTACATCCTGCAAAATAGATTGCGGTTGTATTTATAAATTATTTAATTTTCATATTACTTATCAATGCTGAATAGAATATTTTTGAATTCTTGAAATACAAATATATGAGAATATATGTGCTCAGTTTGTGGTTTGCCTACTTCTATTTCCTCCTTTTTTATCTTATCATATCTCTTCTAGGCATTTCTAGTATACGCTGGTGGAGTATTTGCTAATAGCGGCAATTACAAAGGTTTTGGAGATACAAAGTTCATTCCAAATTTATCAAAGGATTCCTTTAATTTGATTATTAAGTCATCCAAGGCGTATGATAGTGATCGTAACCATATAACTACACTGTGGGAACAAGTGGAGAAGCCTATATACAGTATTGCATCAAGATTGTCCAGTCTTGGATTAGCCGATAAGGTAAAGACATTTTGAATATAATTCTATGATGTAAAACTACATCTACAAGTCATTGGAGTTTGTTTGTTTGAATGCGCTTAGCTCAGGAACTACTGGTTCAAATTGAATATTTATTTTTGTGTTACTTAGAGCATTTATTGAGGAAGATTATAGGCTATAACATCAGGCTGTGACTAATAGAGGCGACAAACATCGAGAAATTTGGAAAAAAACAACGGGGAAATTATTCATCTTTGTGAGTTTCCAATATGTACAAGCAAAAAGGATTCAAGATACCCAAAAATATATATGAAAGAATGATCTAACAGAATAATCACGATCCTTTATGTCTATCATTTAATATTAACTTGCTTTTGGCGACGGGACAGGACTACATGGGTAACAGCTTAAACATATAAAGATGAAGAAGTTGACAAAAAAAATTGTGCCCAATATAGTACAATATAAATACAATACAATACTCAAATACTCTAGTGATACGCTAATTACCTAACATTTTTTCTAATAAAATGATTAATAACAGGGTGTCACAACATACTTCTCTAGCAACTGCACAGAAGAAGACTCTAATCTGGTGAATGAATGGATGAAGACAAAATTATTTGAAGCATATATCTGCCGGACATTTAAGACTACTTCCGATGATGGATGTAAGACAATTTTTTAAAGAAATTTTTCGGTTTAAAACTAAGGTAAAAGGTTTTTAGTGGTGCAAAGTTATGTGGTCCTCCATCATTGCAACATTGCAACGCTAGCGCCATCTGTTCCGTCGAACTTGGTATTTGGCGAAACTGGCCGGGTCCTTACAGAATCGACTAACGGTGTCTTCCCGTTTGCCGGTATATTTGGTTGATATACCGCGTTTTTAACCGTTAAAGTGTTTTATTTGAACCCTTTTAAACTTAAATTAAATCGTAATAATAGCGGTATAAAGTATTTAAATAATAATAGGTAGTAGTAATAAAATAAATAGTTTTAACAGTTCAAAACACGATTTGTATTAGTTAAACTCATTTACAGTCTCTTCGTGATCACGGCTGCCGCAAAGCATCCGAAATGTCGGTTCGTAATAATTTGTAACTAAGTATATAGTACCTATATTGATTAAATGATCTTTGTTTTAGTGCCTCTGTATACCATCCATCTGGCTAGCGTTGAATCTTCACCAAAAACTGGCTTGACAATGGAAAAAGAGAAGTACAAAAACGCGTACTTCCAAGTAACACGCGGTGACTACTCGCCCTTACTCAGATTGGCTTCTGACAACCTGGCTAAAGCCATTGAATATGGGGCCAATGATAACGAAAAGAATATGTTACGGCACTATGTTAATAGTTTCAACGAAGGCGATTTGAATGAACACAAAGAGGGGAGCCGGTATTGGATTAAAGATAAGGGCCCGATTATTGAAACGTAAGCACACTTTTATTAATAACTAGCTGTGCCAGCGACTTCGTCCGCGAGAATCGATATTTTGAGCATCCAAATTACTTTTTGCAAACCCCGTCATCTTTATAAACTTAAGTTGTTAGCCACGACGCAGCTAACACTAAAGATCGCGTCCCTTCCCGTCGTTCTTGCGAGTTAATCTTAAATGATATACATTAGCGGACTTTTTTAGATCATTTAAAGAGGAATCATTCAGCGTACGCATCTGAAGTCCACAGAGATGAAAATTTTCCTCCGTTTTCTTCATATTACCCGCTATATCTTCGCTTCTATTAGTTACTATGCGTTTTATAGCCTATAACCTTCCTCGATAAATGCGTTAACCAACACAACAAGAAATTTTCAATTCGAACCCGTAGTTCCTGAGATTAGCGCGTGCAAACAAACAAACAAACTCTTCAGCTTTATATATTAGTACAGATAATAGTACTCTTTATTGCACATACATATTTACATCAAAGTAGAACATAGGCACTTAAAATAATATATACAAATAAACATGTTGGTGGTTTATTTTTAATTTTTCTTCCATAAAGGAGAAATGGGTGAAATGGTTTATACCTAATGTGGACAAATAAACTTGTCTTGTGTCCCCATTAGTTAATAATAATTTTGGTTTGCGCGAAAATCCTAGTTTTAACTTTTTTTACTTGGACGATACGTACAATAACGCTTGTATAGATTAGCAACGTTGCTCCAGAGTTCCATGTCTTTTGAATTTGGCTTGAAGTAATTCGACGATGACGTGTAGGTCAATTGGCTAGAGTAGCAGCGCGGAACGTTGTGGACGATGGTTTAAGTTAGATTATTTATATTATATTCAAATTACGAGTGTAAAGTTTAAAAAGAGAGTGGTTTTATTATTTCAGGTACCAAGGCTTTATTGAGACCTACCGTGACCCCAGCGGACAACGCGGAGAGTTTGAAGGATTCGTAGCTATGGTTAATAAGGAGATGTCGAAAAAGTTTGGTGATCTAGTTGATGGTGCTGAAAGATTCATTAAGCTGTTACCATGGGGCCAAGACTTAGAGAAAGACACCTTCCTGAGACCAGATTTTACGAGTCTCGATGTTCTCACCTTTTCGGGCAGCGGTATCCCAGCTGGGATTAATATTCCTAATTGTAAGTAACCGTTTTCTTTAGGGTCAATCTAAAATAAATGTTTTACGGGAGGCAAATTAAAAAAAATATTATGCAATAATTGTAAATATTTCCAAATAGTTTTAGAGGATATCAAAAGTCATGAAGAAGGCATAATATGGTAATTTTGGATTGTATAAGCTTAGTGGAGCATTTAGAGATTGTACTGAGGGGAAAATATTTATTTATTTATTTACACACAAACTTACTGCCATTACAGATATAATCCAATTCGACAGTAATACACAATATATAAAAAATATAAATTTAATGAAAACTGTTCTTGCTTTGATATTCTTTTTCTTCATTCCCAGATGATGAGATCCGTCAGAATGAAGGTTTCAAGAACGTCTCTCTCGGCAACGTTATCCCGGCGGCATACAAGGAGTCCGTAATTCCGTTCCTCAATGACCAAGACAAGCAGCTACTTGAGAAGTACCGCGTTGCAGCATTTGAGGTTAATATACCTTTTTAGGATATACATATTATATGCTATTATGATATCAGATATTGTTGAAGTCCAGAGGTAAAGGTTCTTACATTTTTTTAGCCTATGATATAGTTCAAAGTATTAAATTTTCAACAACTAGCTGTGTGCGCGACTTCGTCCGTAGAATAGTTATTTTGGGCATCAAAATTTATTTTTGGAAACCTGCTCCTCATTTTTATCTATTCTAGTTGTTGACCACGACGTCATCCGCACCCCGTCGTTCTCACAAGTTAATCTTAAAACACATACACATACTGTCGCGGATATGTTGTTAGATAATATAAATAGGTATCATTCTTTCTTACATATTTAGTTATTATTATTTCATATACGAATCTTAAGCCGTTTTTGCGGCGCACGCAACGGAAACCCTCAAAGATAAATAACTTTCCCCGTTTTCCCCTTTTCCATGTTTTCCACTATTTCTTTGTTCCTTTGTGCGATGTTTTATAGCCTGCCTTCCTGGAAAGGTGCTCTACCCAACACAAAATTATTTCTTCAATTCCCACTAGTAGTTTCTGAGATTATAACGTATCAAACAACCGCTTTATATATTAGTATACATAATAATGTTTAAATTTAGGTACAAGTTGGATTACACGAACTGCTCGGACATGGAAGTGGGAAACTCCTGCGCCAGAACGCCGATGGCACTTTCAACTTTGACAAGGATCAAGTGAAAAATCCATTGACAGGTTATTTTTTTTTTATGTTTAATATGATGGAAAATATTGGGACAAACTTTATTGCGTGTTTAAAATTAAATTATTTTAATAGTGACGCATTCTTTTATGTAATAGAAAAGTCTTTAGAAATTCTTTGATAAATAGTAAAAACCCATCCCAGGATATTAATCTTATTATGTATCTCACAGGCAAGAATATTGAGTCATGGTATACAGAAGGCGAGACGTACGACAGCAAGTTCACAACACTGGGTTCCGCATTCGAGGAGTGTCGGGCCGAGGCCGTCGGGCTATACCTTTCATTGGATGCGGAAATCTTAAAGTAAGTTTTAAATACTACTTTTGATTATTCATTAGCTAACTATAGAAATTAAAAATCGATTATAAATTGAAAAAAAAAAATTACGAGGCAGGACTCGAACATCGGCATCCATAGCGTTCCGTTAACGTTACATAATTTACACCCGTTAGTGCACATGATAAGTTATAAAAATGATTTAGAAATAGCAAACGAAACGTGTGTACATTTTATTATCTCAAATAAATTGCTGCTCTCAATCTACTATTAAAAGATAGAAAGAAAGACCAAACAATTTTACTACTTTGAAGTTTGTTTTCATGTTTCATGAATTGTGTATAATTTTAGAGTATTTGGCTACGAAGGTACCGAAGCGGAAGATGTGACGTACGTAAATTGGCTCAGTTTGTTATGGAATGGTGCTGCTAAGGCCACCGAGATGTTCCAGCCCACCACTGACACCTGGCTTCAGGTATGCACGGGTGAAATAATACTATTGTTGTTTTAAAAAGAATAACCTCCCTTAATAAACTACAATTTCTAACAACTTGATTAACGCGACATGTACTTCTCAACTGTAAATCCAATCTTTAGTATGACAAAACGGTTTAAAACGCGAATTGATAATTTTATCTACAAATTATTTTAAATACGGCATTCTCGCCGTGACCACGGCAGCTGCAAAGCATCCGAAACATTGGGTAAATAATTTTAACATAAACCGTTAAAGTGTTTTATTTAAATATTTACTACTCCCGTAAAATTTAGTTGTATTAATGAAATCATCGCAATTTGTACAGGCTCATGCCCGCGCAAGGTTCGTTCTGATGAGGCTGTTGGAGCTTGAGGGCAACGGGCTTCTCACCGTCACGGAAACAGAACCGGGCAAGAACCTACTACTGACGCTGCAAAGAGATCGCATAGCTACCGACGGCAAAAGGATTATAGGTAGATTAACATTATGGATTTATACGTTAAGGCGTTTTAATAGGTATTGTAGAATTTTAACTCGAACTTTTAGTTAAGTAAAAAGATTAACTTTGTTTTAATGACTAACTTGAAGGTGAGAACTAGATTAAAAAAATAATCGTATTGGTTAACAAAATCTATCATCAATTACGTGGCACTTTTATGTCCGCCTCTGTAGCCAAATGGTTAAACGTGGGTTGAATCCCAGGGAAACAAAAAATTGTTTCAGTCGGGCCGGGCACAGAAGTCTGATCAACTACTTCCTTGTTAAAGGACGGATCAGTGAAACGGACACAAAATGTGTTCGCCCTATGCCCCACGAGGGGGAAACGGGATTTCACTTTTACGTCGGAGTACTGTGTCACAAACGGAGTACCTTACCCAGCTTCATACGGCGACTTTGACTGATTCGTAAAAGTGTATGTGCAAATGAATAGAATTGATGTATGGTACATATATTTCTCAAAGCATTTTCAAAAACTTTTATATAAATGAAAAACATCAAAAAATATGTTAATCTTGCTAATTGATTAGTATTATGATATGTTTTTCTTTTAGGCGATTTCCTGGTAAAACTGCAAACGATAAAAGCGACTGGCGATTTTGTGGCCGGCGAGCAGTTATTCCAGAAATACAGCCGCTTAGAGCAGCCCTGGAACAGGTGGCGGGATATTGTGTTACTGCACAAACAGCCCAGGAATATATTCGTGCAACCTAACACATTTGTTAAAGGTATAAAAAATTAATATTGTGTACTTTTAAAACGCGATATATTAGTTAAACTGATTGAAAATGATTTTTAACTTCGACTTTTCGGATGCTCTGCAGCAGCCGTGGTCACGGGGAGACTCTATATTTCAAAAATAACAGAATTGCTAAGTATTGTCTGTAGTTTAAGCGAGTAGAACGCATTCAAATAAAATACATGTAACTGTTTAAAACACGAAATGATGACTATAAATTGGCTAACTATTCAAGAAATAATAATCTATTTATCGCTTGTGTTTTTTGTAAATTTAAATAACTTATTATTTTGGCTATGTTTTTTTTATATTAGTATTGTCAGTGAAGCACATGTGTCCCTCTATTTCTAGGCGATGACGTTGAACTAAAGCGCTACCCACCCACAGCGGAAGGAATGATCTCGTCGTGGGTAGAACGCTTCCCAGACGCGAAAGTCGATACCATTTTGGAAGAACTCGCCGACGCTGACAGCAAATACTTCGGGGACTTACAGAAAATCGCTGCCACAAATTAGACAATTTCTCTTGCGATGTCACTGTACGCTATTGCTCAATTAAATCGTAATATATAAACTGGGTCGTCCAACTTTATCTTGCTCAAGAATCTTATAAATATGGGCAAAATGAGCAATCCCTTTTTCTAGATTAATCGGGCAAAATTAAACACCACAGACAGGTAAAAAATAACTATATGCAGTACATATTTACTTTTTCACAGCATTCACATTGTAGAACTGTGTTCCTATATAATATACAGGTTATAACATTTTAAGTGTATTATTTACTTTCCGATGACCAGATTGTATTTCTACAAATAAAAAGCAATTTCAACTATATAATTTATTCACATTCAATACAAAACGTGTGTGATACGTTATTCAAGAGAACCACAGTTCTGTTGAACTATGACGACGAAAAATATTAATCACCCCACACAAATAAATAGCGCGATACATAAATAATGATTAGACTAAATAAATAAATCAAGTATGAGTATAAAATGATGTCAATAGATGAAACATTTAATTTAAATTATACTAAATCATTTAATCTACAGATCTAACACAATAAAATGGCAACAAGATAGTAACTAAAATAACATAGATTTGCCATAAAATCAAACGGGGGTTACTGTTCTTGTTAAATCTTGCCTTCGTATAATACTATTACTTATTAATTAAGTAAGATTATTTCTAAGAAAACTCTCAACTAAGCACCATTCTATTCGATAACTGTTACATGACTTAGCAAACAATACTATTTGATATAAAGATTTTAAACTTAAAAGTTGACCTCGAGTTCTAGTCGAGCATTAAAACTTAATCAATGATATAACCTAATGAGTTAAATATATTTGTGCAAGCACACAATAAATCGTGTCATTTCACATCTCAATAAAATGGACAAATCCACAAAGTCGCGTAAAGGCACGTAAGATTCAATTCTCGATTTTTAAGCAAACAAAATTTAATAATTAATGTATAATATTAGTTAACTGTATAATATAATACATATAAAATTATTTGGCGTTTGATTAAACCACATTAAAGTTACAATGCATATACAATACGGTATACACTTTGGCGTCTTATGTATATAAAATATCCCGATTCGTTCGTCTATTACATTCAACTGGCTGACCATCGATTGAAAAGGAAAAATACCACCACACGAAATGATCAGTTACGATGAGATTAAATCCTACCAGACATGATTTTAACTCCTAATTTGCCACTAATGAGATTTAACGTGCATTAGTCTAAGTACTAACTATCCAAATGCAAGCAGACTACTCCGTTGGCAAGATATCTATGCTCAGATCATAAATAGGAAACGAGGTCGATAAATGAATTCCGAAGACATTACAATAACTTAGGAAAATGCGTAAGATTTGAGATTAGTGATATTATTGAATTTTATGATTAGAATCGCTTTTCAGTCACCTTTCGAAGAGCATTCTGAACTGTCGCCTTTGCTTTGAGGTGAGCCAGTGGGTCTGAAAAAAGGAGCACCGCTATACAACACCGTACAACTATCACATCCTGCGATATTAATTTGCGAATGATGTGCAATAAAATAAAATATATTTATACTCTTCACCATTCATGTGCCATTGAAAGAATTAAAAAGAATACATCTTTGAAGCCAAGAGAAAGTAACAATTTGTATGACGTGAATATTAAATCTAACTACATGAGATATCTACAAGTATTCAGAGCTATATGACATGGACGGGGAAACATTTGAAATCTAAATCTAAAGCATTAGTGCTATAAACTTTAATACAAAGCATGAAGCGTGCAAGAGTAAAATCTTTTTAACGGGAAGTTATTTTATTATTTACGTTACAAAGAATACAATAATACACACCTTGGAGTCGGTTCCTTGTCGAGATCGGGCTTTCTAGTCACACTGATCGAATATTTCCTTTGTCGAATTTTGTCAAGTATATTCTCGGGGCTCGGTTCTTTTTCGCTCTCTTTCAGTATCAGCGCAGGATTGCGTTGTGTTCTCTTCGGTCGATACGTCGCATAACTCCCAGGTGTATATAGGAAGTTAGCTCTATTATACTTTTGCGGTTCTTTTAATAGACTGAGGCTGAGGTTTTCTGCACCGTCCGAGCTATCTAGCAGTGACTTTGTCCTTGAATATCTGTGTTGTCCGTAAACAGGCTGATCGTAATCGAGATAACTTCGAGTTCCAGAATATTTTCTCAGATCGTTTCTATCGAGAGACCTGTAAGTCTCATTCGCGCCGTCGTACCGTACGCTATTTCTACTTAGCGGTAGATCTGCGAGGAGGGACCGATATCGTTCAGTAGAGGGAGATAAATCCGAGGCAACAGAATAACCCGGCGACAAGTCGTAAGTGCTAGGCGAGGTAGGTGAGACGTCATACTTGGTTTCGGTCGATTGTGAATATATTCGAGCAACAGGGTCATATTCTGTCGCCCCGGGCCCTACTAAGCTACTCTTTCTTCTTTGTTTTTTCTCGTTAAACCTAGAGTAAAAGCTTTTTCTGCGAATCCTGTCTCCTACGTCTTCTTTTTCGGGTGTGGTAGATTCGTGACGTATTGGATAAAGGCTACTCGGAGATAGAGGATTCTTGTCTCTGCTTTCGCCACTGTGATCTGACTTTACATCAGAATTAGAGTATATTGATCTACTTCTAGACCTACTTCTACTTATAGTATCGCTCAACTCTAACTTTGCAGATCCATCAGTTCTAACACCATTTGATTCTTGCTTTTTAAAATCTCTGTCCATAGAGGTATCTATGATTTGAGGCTCTATCACAGGATTTGAAGGAACTATTTTCTTAACTCGCGGAAGTTTTGAAAAATCTAGTCTTAGTGAGTTTCGTGTATTCTTCACTTCGTCTGACTTTAAAGGCTTTTCGTGATTATCTAAGGCGACAGAGACGCTGTCACTGTTGGATTTATTGTATTTGTTTTTCCGGCTGAGGCCGTTCAATAACAAAGATGAAGGCCTCCTAGGTTTTGTTTCTCCTAGGTCGAGATCATTTTCATAATCATAGTTTTGATTTTCCTTGGCATTTTTTTCTAAATTATCGCTCTGCTGTTTATCTGGATTAGATTTAACCGTTTTATCTTTTGGTTCGAATTTTTTAAACAGACCTAAAACTTTTGATACCGTTGTTTTGTTTTGCACGGTCGTTTGATTTTCTAGAGCAGCAACGTCTGTTACAGTAACTGCTCTTTTAATAAGGTTTGACTCAGTTGGAGGATCAACGGGAACAGAATGTTCCCTCTGTGTTCTATTTAACTTAGACGATTGTTTCAATTTCTCATTTCCTAAATGATTGTTTGTTGCTTTTTCCGGTGAACTAGACTTCGATGATGTTAATTTTTCTAACTTCTGACCTATTGACTGTAAAACCGATCTTTTCTTTACAACATTTGCTATTTTACAATCATCTTCAGGAGACTTTTCTTTCGTTTTCTTTGCTACTTTTTTCTTGTCAAGTAAGGATTTTGAATTACTAGCATCTTGACTACTTCCTAAATCAGTCTTTGATTTTGTCGATACTTTTTTGATAACTTTCTTTTTAACTATCTTCTTCTCTTTTTGTTCAGCTTCTCCATTTTTTAGTTTCTTGTCATCTGATTTTATACCATTATTACTAGGAATGTTATTCTTCATATCATTTGTATCACTTTTTCGCAGTACATTATTATCTAAATCATTTTTGCTATGTTGATTGGGTTCTTTCTTTTGTGTAACTTCTTTTTCAGACGAATTTAATACCTTGTATTTCTTCAAAACAAGACTCGATCCAGTAGTTTCTGTAGTCATTTTAGAATCATCAGTATTATGTGTATGATTTCCGTTTTCTTGAACATCTGAATTTGTTAACAGAACAACATTTGGTTTCTTCGGTAACTTGATGTTAAAACTGACTTCGACATCAGTTTTGGTTTCTGGACTCGGTGGAGAATTCATTTCTGATTGTGTGGAAATCTGACATTCGTCTTTGTTAGCACTACGACTCGTGTAAGTCTTGTCTGTAGAATTAGTACTATGAGGGTAACTTTTTGGTCGTAGTAGCTTCGATTCACGCTGAAATTGTTTGTTAGTATCACTTTCTTTGTTTTTTAACTTATCAGATATAACTTCTTTGTTAGAATCTTCATACGTGTTTATATTCTTAGCGGGATAACTTTTTGGTCTAACAATTTTTGATTCTTTAATAGTGAGATTTTCATCTAAAGCTTTTTTTGTGTTTCTATTAGATAGAGAAAATGGAGAATCACTAGTATTTTCTTTAATGTTATCCAAACTAGGAAAGAAAGGTGTAGTAGACCGGCTACGATCTTTTCCAATTAATAAAACGCTTGTCGGTGACAAGCATTTACGTACAGAAGCGTCTTCCTCTAAGTTTGTCTGCCCTTCATTAGTATCACTCGCGTGTTTAGCAGAGATGTCCACAATTCGATTTCTCTTTTCCCGAATCTCTTTCAGTATTTTTTGGGTTTCTAATTCCTTTTCTTTTTTATGTTTAGCATAAATATTTTCATCAGGAGAAGATTCAAAGAAATCTGATCTTAAGAATCTAGAAATACGCTTTTTCGGTTGATCTCCTGATAGTCGTAAAGAATGTCGTCGAAAACCTTGGTTCGATGAACTTCCGTAATTAGGGGAGCCATATGCTGCTATATAGCTTGGCTCTGTAAGTAAACTACCCGCATCTGATGAATACGTCTCATCTAACGATGCCGTTCTATCTGATAAATACTTGCTCAACAACGGCCTTTCAGGAGTGTTGCTAGTGCCGGATCTTGATGTACTCAATTCTCGCGAAGCACTCCCCATTTTCATTGAATCTAAATCTGCCAACGGCGATGAAGGAGAGGTAATATCTCGTGTTGCACTAGACCGTCGCCTTAGACGCGGTAGCGTGCAGAATTGTGATGCAGAAGCTTGCGGGATATCGTTATCGATTTCCGGTTTAGTCTTCTCTATGGTTTCGGAATAAGTTTCTGGTGTAGATTCTTCTCGGACGCTATCTCTTTGGGTCGGTTCTTCTGTGTTTAATTTATTTTCTGTTTCGAGAGCGTCGTTAGCGGATTGGGTGCGATGGCAGACGCGAGCCGCGCTCTGTGGATTCGTGAGTGATAGTGTACGGCGCAAAGTGCGGGCGGCGTGCGGTGGTAGGTGCTCGAGCAGTTGTTGCTGCAGGCGACGCGATAACGCCGGTGTCAGCCCGGACAGCGCACGCATCTCTTGCTCGGAAAACTGTATCGAGCTCAAGTCTAGATCTGACAAGTCGAGCCCGCTCGCCGCATTCGCGTCCTTCGCCTCCTTGCTCTCGGCGGCCCGCTGTTTGCTTTTCTTACTATTACCTGAAATTCAATAGGAAAACACACGATTTCGATCATGCACAACGCTCGCGGGGACGCTATGTATATTTACAGTGTCTTTATTGAAATAAATCTTTGATAACTTTTAAATATACATATAAGTATTAACTATATTCAAATTCTAACATAGATCGTGTTAGGAGTTAATGTAAAACTTTGAGTAAATTAAAAATCAGTAGGTAGTTAGATCAATCTGAAAGCCATCACAAACCAAAAACAAATATAATGCATTAAAATGTTGCTCTCGAATTTTATACAAAAAATGCATTGAAATCATTATGGTGGCGAACAGCGATACTCAAACTTCAAACGCTATCTTCTGTGAGCAGCCGCAACGCGCGATGCGCAACACAAAAACATAAATGAATAAAATAAACATAATTTAGTACCTATTCTTGTGTGTCGTTTGTGGCGGGTTTGTGGTTGGCGCTGGTGCCGCTGTGGTGTGTAGATTTGGTCGGAGCATGCAGTGTAACGCGCAACCCAACTGCAACCACACCAACACAACCTCACTACCGCATCCTGCTGCCCCGTCCCTTACGGACCCCTACGTTGCTTACACTTAACTACGTGTGACCCCGCCCCTTTCAAGTCGAAACATCGTGCTACCACATCCACTAACAATCTACACATTTATATGGCGTGATAAACAATATATGATTTTGGTCGGTCGGTCTGTAAGTTCAATCGGTCCAAACATAATTTATTCATATTAAAATTTCACCAACAATATTCACAGATCTAGTGAACTGTGAAATGTCTTATGCACTTCATGCAAGTTACATCTACAATATTTTCCACCAAAATCTAGAGCAACGCAACATTTTCCTGCTATTGTTAGCGGGTAGAAGAAAAATCAATACCTGCACAAAGAATGCGTATTGGATACATTAAAACACTACAGTGCGAACGAAATCGTTAAATCAAAACGTTAATGTTTTATGTAAAACAACACTAATCGTACAGCGAAACACGACAATGGAATTGTCGGTGTCTCCCTGTGCGGCAAACTGATGTTAATAGAAAAACTAAACGTGGAAAACGCCACTATGATCTTTCTGCGTCGTTTTTTTTCATGAATAAATGATGTCAGTCGTTAATTTATTAAATGAAGCTAGCTATCTGGTGAGTGGTAGCGGTATTGCCACCTAGCCATTTGCAATGCTCTTACTATTCATGTATGATAAAATAGCCAAAATATTAACCAATCAAACAGATAACTTTTTATGTGCTCAACAATATACATTTAAATCACATACTAGTGTCACAGAATATGTGAGAAATTTTGAAGAACAAAAACAGCGTAAGCGCGTGACAATGCGGATGAAGATTATACAATTCGCGGTGCTAAGTGCGCCCGAGTTTAACTAGCTAAGCTGTGGCGATAGTGGCGTTTTCCCGTGTCGTGCGGCAAGCGGTGCACAGGTGTTGAGAGGGGCACTTACCGCGCGGCATCTGCTGGCGCGATTTGTTGAACATCGAGTCGAAGGGCGATTGCATGTCACGGGAACCCCAACCTTCGCGCCTGGAAATAAAGTCGATTATAGTTAGACGTTAACTTGCGTTATTCCTTTGCTACAAACCTGAGTAAAAACCCACTTTAGTTTCTTACTGAAATAGATTTACTCGAAACAATTGTCCTAATATCAATGTCAGAACACAGTACATACAAACAATAAAAAACACTGCCAACCAAAATAGGCCTTGGACATTTAGAGCATTTTTTATTGTTTATTTCTACAACTCAAAAGAGATGTGGTTGTATGCAAAATATTCCCGTGTATAAAATACCCATATTTTCCTTGTATAAAATTGATTTAAGATTTAAAATTGCCTATAAGAATAATAATTTTATGACTTACGTCTCAGATACACTTCGTTTACTTTCTGTATATCTATGAGAGCTGCATGTAAAAGCGTAAAGGATGTAATAATGTAATTATTAAAAATGGAGTTATATCATTTGAATAATAAACAATTTAATACTTACATGAAATGCCTCCGAGGTAAGTGGGGGCTGCATGCGGAAAAAAACTTCATGTATTAGTAGCTTAATCACAAAAATTAATTCTTAATAAGGCAAAAAGTTAATGTTATCTGAAATTCCACAGATATTTGTAATGGAAATTAGTTAACACCAAATCAATGTTATTATTATGAATTATTTAAAATCATAATGTATATTATAGGCTGACAATCGCTTTTAAATCATGCGCCGGCGCAGTAAAAGCAATCGTAGACTCATTACAAAATTATTAATAACTCGATAGCAATGGATTTTTAATTAAATGGCAAAAACGTCATTGAGGGAGTAGCCAATATATACCTGTTGAAGAATGGCGAGTGCAAATTGTTGAAAAGTGAGTGGGGATGTTGTGAGAAACCGGGACCTTCCTCTCCGTTCAGCCGCTGAGTCAACGCCCGAACCTGAAGTATGTATGCAGATATATTTAATGTGTGTATTAAAAAAAATTAAAAACGCATTGAAAAAGACGAACTAAATATTAGTTAAAATGTTAGCAAAAGGATGGATAATTTCTGCCGATTAACATAAAAAAATATATTTCGCCATCCCACTTCTAATTCGCATACTTTTGAGAATCAAATCCACCATACGATATGATATAAAGGGAATCAATATTGGATGAGGTAGCTGAATTATTTAAAGCAGCAGCACGCAACACTGCGGTTCAAGACCTGTATCGTTTAAAAATAAATAAATTCAACAAATATTACCTATTATATAAAGATTAAAGGTCCTAGTTTATTATTTTCTATATACAGTGCATTTATAAGTAACATCGCCTATATACTCAAGAAACATTATAATTTTTACGACTCACCCTATGTAGGAGAGTGGAGAAGAGATTCTCAGCCGTCAGAAGATGGAAACCTTCATCCTCCTCGTCTTCTTCACCGGAACTTACTGATTCAGCCCGGGCCAAGCGACTTGATCTAAAGGAATTAATATAATGTTTTGTCAATGATTTCTTTGTATCATTCCGAAACTTAAATTGTTTTTCATACCTTAATCTGTGCATATGTGAATCATCTTCTTCCTCGGACTCTCCGCCACTGACGAGGCTGCTGAAATTACAAAAAAGGTGTGTTTTTGTTTCAAGGCCTTCTTAAGGCAGTCTAGGCAATTTATCATCTGTAGATCGTAATTTAGTACTTACCTGATGCGTCTGGGTGTTAGTCTAGGTGGATGCGCGTGAGGTCTCGGCGAGGTGTCAGGTTCGAGGCTGCGTTGCCTGGGTGTGACGTATCCTTTGCCTTCCACTGCAATGGGGATTATAAACTCGCGCGCAGACTTCTTGATCGGCTCGCCAGTACTGGGGCTCGGTTCGCTTGTACCGGTCGATTCAGTAGACGCCAGCCGTCTGTAATGTACAGTTGGAATTCCTATTAGTGTAATATGAGGGTGGGCAATATTTTTTTCAAATTTAATTAATTGATTTAAACTTAAAATAATTGATATAACCTTATATCAATTATTTTAAATATAAAATTTGCTTATATGACTTATTGCAACATTTTAATTCATTTTCTTAAGACATTGAATGGAGAAAACATTTTTGTGCGGTAAATACAGCTACTGTAAGACTTCAATTTTAAATTGGTAATAGTAATACTAAACAAATTATTTACATTAAAGAGTCAGAGCAAAGGCGGCCTTAAAGCCCTTATAAAATGAAATAATAGTTGCGTCTGCTGTCTCCATATGGCATATCCTCTATCAACTCAATAAGAAAGACAACCAGATTTTTTTTGTTCGAAATATAAAATACAACTTTAGGTAATACCTGAGAGGCGTATGTGTAGATCGGGGTGCGGGCTTGTGCGAAGTGGGCGTAGTAACGGGCGGCGGTGAAATAGGTGACGTAGGCGAATCTTCTGTCGCCATACTGATCGGTATAATACGTTCAACTGATACGCCTCTGTTAATTAAAATAAAGGTTGTAAATATAATTTTTTGTTATACTTATTGTTTTAAGAGTACTCTCGTAAATAAATTACGGAAACAGAAGAAAAAACCTAGCAAATGTCTGGTAAATGAGTTTGAAGGGATTGCAGTGGCCATGTGTGCGTTCGTCTATCTATCACTCAGATTAAAAAAACCTTGCGGTTACCGATTACGATGATCTTCAACGCGATGATGAGCTTCGGTCTTGAACACCTTAGGAGTGGCGGGAGGCACTGCGGGAGGAGTTGAAGGCGGCGACACCAACGACGCAACGCCCGCTGATGACGACCTTCCATATGGCACTGGGGGTTTGCCTTAAGGAGAAATTTAGGAGGTTACGATACAAACGAGTACAAAAACAATGTATCTATCTTTTAAGATTTGCAAGAACGAGACATGAACGACGTTGTACGTAACACCTAGAATTTATAAAGATAAAAAGGTGATTTGTAAAAATAATTTGTACGCCCAAAATAACTATTCTACGCGTACGAATCCGCTGTCACAGCAAGTTGATAAATAAATACCTACCAGTTCTTATAGCAGATGATATGATGTCTCTAGCGGCACGGCGGCGAGTCTCTTCACCAGCTCTCTCTTCCGCCAACTTTGCCATTGAGCTTTGGAGACTTCTGTAATTTAAATGACTACTTTGATGACATCATAATCTGTAATTTTTAATATTTTGCACATGATTGCACTATATAAATTAAAGAAGGATTACAAATTAAATAATTGAAATTAACAATGCGCGACAGGTACATGTATCAATAGGTTGGAAAAAATCGACGATGACGTGTAGGACGAGGTAGGTCACTTAGTGCAACAGCACGGAACGCTATAGATGCCGCTTCAAGTCCTGCCCGTGGCCCATTGATTGCACTATTTCATTAGTAGTAAATAGTATACCTTCTGGCGTCCTGCAACAATACTGATGGGTCAACGGGGTGGCTGTTATGAGTGGGTTCGCTCTCTGTCTTCTTCACCCCACCACGGTTCATTTGCGTTTGCTGCTCTTTCTCTTCTTGTGGTGCCTATATTAAGCATAAGGTAATTGAAATTTACATTTTATTCAGTAGTCTATAACACATTCTGTCTCTGTCTTCAAATTGTAATGTGACATTAAAATAACAAAGATTGATGAAAATAGATGAATTGAACTGTACTTTTATCACAGAAACATAATTATGAGAAGTTAATGGTGAGAAATAGTAATCAAATATGTATGTTTATATTTTTATTAAATATGTTCGACTACATCTGGAAATCTAGATGTTAAATGGTTTGTATATCGAATTCCACCCGGGTAAAGAACAATTGCCCACAGATGAAAAATCCTTCAAGTTTAATCGCGTTTCGGTTTCAGTCTGTGGATTTCCAAATATCCAAAGCCAAAATAGGTCGAACGCCCATCTTGTTTAGATGTTATATGTCTGGGGTATATCACCTACCATCAAGTGATCCCCATGCTCGTCTTATCCTCTATCATAAAAAGACTTACTGGAGAAGGTTCGATGCCAATCTGTTGCAAACGTACGGTTCCATTGTCGAGTGGTTTGGTCAGTTCACGATCTTCACTTTGCGATTTCGGTTTAGCGATTTTGGACACCACTGAAAACATATATTTTTAATTTTTACCCACACTATTGGAATTTACTAGTATGCTATTTGATGGATTTAAGTCTCGTTGGTAATGCTAGCGTGTATGCGTAATAATCGACGGGTCGTGGGTTAAATCTCTACCAGCTCCAACGTTTTTCGCGAAGAAAAAAGTACTGACCAGGTTTTGAAACGTTGCGTTTTATCTCAGGTGAAGTTGTTAGCGATGCTCGCCTTTCGAATTGCTCTTTGAAACTTCCAACATGGCCACCTAGAAGTATCGGAAAAAATCAGTTTTATTGGAAACGGTAATTTATGGATGGATGGATTCTATGGACATAAAAAAATTTAGAATGAACAGATTTTTATTTTAACGCTTTCAAACTTTGAGAATGAGACAGCAATGGCCGACTCATCCGAAAGTTGGTTTCATTTATATAAATCAAACATTGTTAGCTATATTGAGTGTATACGTAAACGTGAGAGCTACACATTTAAGTAAAGCACTTTAACGGTTTAAAACACGTATAAAATAATTCTAACTAATAATAAATATTAGTTAAACTTATTTGAAAATTATTTCAACTACGGCCCGACGTTTCGGATGTTTTGATGTTAAAATATTTTTTTATAATTTGTTAGCTATGCATAAAAATGTTGTGAAATCGCATCTTCCTTCCTTTTTAGTTCTACTAAACCATATGCCATCTAGAGCTTCAACCAATTTTATGGCGACAGTCCTAATATAACTATACATACCGATAGATAATTTCTTTGGTTTTTGGGGTGTAGTTGCAGTGTTTGAGACAGCGTTTGGCGTTGTAGCCGGCTGCGATATTGTCAGCGAAGTAAGCTTGTCAGTGGTCGCAGCTACAGCCGGTTTGGTTTCTTCCACCTTATATAAATAACATAATATAAATATATTAATCGATGTTGCTACTTCGTCCGCGTTGACTAGTTATTTTTGGGCATCAAAATTTCGTTTTGCAAACCCCCTCATCTTTATAAATTTTAGCTGATACCCACGACAACATCCACGTCCCGATGTTCTTGCGTGTTAATCTTAAAAGATATATATATACCGTCATGGACATTTTTTGATATCATTTAAAGAGGAATCATTCCATATCCAAATAATATGTATGAATTATTTAGTTATCATTAATCGTTTTTTCAGCGCACGCAACCTCTCAAAGATAAATGATTTTTATAGCCTTCTTCGATACATGCTCTAACCAACTAACAAAATAATTTTTCAATGCGAACCAGCAGTTCCTGAGATTAGCGCGTTCAAACAAACAAACACTTCAGCTTTATATATTAGTATAGATACCTTGGACGCTTCTTGTTTTTCAGGCGGTATGCTAATCTTGGAAGGTGCCCTCTTAGTCTGTTTGGGTTCGTCTTCATCTTTCGGGACATCTTTGATATCTGTTGTTGGCACTTTGCTCAGCTCTACGGCAGCAGGCGTCGGCGATATTGTGATCGTCGCGGACGACTTTAGAGGTGGTTGAAGCGACTTCAAGAGAAATAATGATAACTTTTTTAAGAAACATTTTTCATTAAAAATCCTCACCATTATGTCAATTACATTAACGGATATGTCTAATAAAAATAAAAATATTAAAATTATTATTAAAAATATTTTTAAAAAAATTAGTACATTCGTAACGCTACATTTAAAGCTACTTTTCTCAATTTGTTTAGTAAAATATAATTATTCCAATACTTTTATAGAAATAAATCAAAAACATTGAGAGACAGATATGTTCGAATAACAGTATAAAATTTGAATATGAATTCTGAGCAACAGCACGGAACGCTGTGGATTCCGGTTCAAGTCCTGACCGTGTCATATTTTTTTTATTATAATCGATTTTTAACTTATGAATTCTAAAGTAAAAAATATTAGAAAACTCACTCACCTCACAAGCGTTGTATTCCGGTTGTTCGGGTATCGGCTCATCATCCGGTACGCTTGCTTCTTCCGGCAGCGCAGGCGCACCCGCTATACTGGCCGAGCTATTAAAAAGCATAAATGTTATTAACGTTTTTAGTCCATTTATTTGGTTAATTATGTTTTAATTACTGTCTTTGTACCTGGCAACTCTCTCCTTTTTCCTCTGCAAGCCACTAGCTGACATGGCGAGCTCCAGTTTACGTTTGTTGTCACCCGCCGAAACTATGGTGCGGGTCGGAGAGGGCTTTATCGCGTCCTCGCCTCCCTCTAAAATTGTATAACCATGAAATTAGACCCAGTCAAATCTAAAGCCTTGGTATTATAATTGTAATACAATATTGTTGGCTTTTTTTTCAGAAGTATCACATCCAATTATCCGAATATACAAAACCAAAAAATAGGTGGCGAGCCCATCTTATGTAGATCATATAACATCTAGCGCTACCGACCTATCGCTATGCCTATCGTATTTCACCTGACATATAATAACCCCAGGCTTGTATGTCCTTCTTTATAATAAAAAAGGGTATTATATATTATTTGTAATGAATTATTATTAATGATAGCTAAATAGATTTCTTTCTGTACCATTACTTGCAAACAGTCTACGAATAAATACTGTCTATAGTTTACGCGAGTAGTACATATTTAAATAAAACACTTTAACGGTTTAAAACGCGATATATTAGTTAAACTTATTTGAAAATTATTTTTAACTACGGCCCGACTACTCGGATGCTTTGCAGCAGCCGTGGTCACGGGTCTCCCAGTGACGGCTGCTGCAAAGTAATGTAAGTTTAACTAATATATCGCGTTTTAAACCGTTAAAGTGTTTTATTTAAAAGTCTACGAATAGTTAGAAACATCTTTACATTTGTGCCTCTTAAATATATTAGGAGAAAAAAAGATAAGAACAAACAATGATATATATAAGTTGCATACTTATATATATCATTGTATAACTATAGGTATTTCAATAAATTATAACATATGAACCACCTGCGACAAGTTCTAATATCCTTTTCTCAGCAGAGTTGCTGGGTTCGACCGCCATAGACGTAGAGCTTGTGAGGTCTGTACAGCTCTCTTCAGGACCGCCCATTTCTGCTTGCTAAAAGTAAAAATTTATTACAGTAATTTTCCCACAATACCAATTAGCTATAACGTGGCTATGATAGTTATCGAATAATAAAATCCAATAAACTCCGAAACAGTAGTAGCACAGCAAGCCGTTAAAATGAGTGGAACAAACGCTCTTGCTCTTCATAATGATACTACGTTAATTATCTTCACTACCAACGCCATCCCATTTTGTTTGTTGCTTTTAAATTATGAGGTAAAATTCAGTATATGCTGTTGAATTAAGTAAAGAAAATAGAATACCTCGGACGGTACAACGACGCTGTTGGTGTTAGAGGGCGCCGCTGGCGCTAGTGAAAGTAGAAGATCGAGTCGTACAGGAGTCTCGGCAGCGAGTGCCTCAGCCATCTCTAAGCATGACGTCTCACAGCCAGTGTTCACCCAACTGTTATATGAGACAACATTCACAGAAATTCAAATAATTTTATTGTTGGTCCTTCGAGCCGGATGATTGAAATCTCAATAATAAATCTTCAAATTGAAGGTAAGAAGAGAACTTACGGGTGGTCGCAAATGTAGACGATGTCTGCACGTTTAAGAGGGTCCACTGTTAGCATATCACGAATGAGGGGTGATGCAGCTGAAATATAAATAAATATGTAAACGAAACTTGTTCTAAGTTTTAAACCCAACTAAACATTGTTTAGACTTTGGTTTTCGCTCTAGCATAGGACAGAAGCCTAACTAACCACGTAGACTGTATATAACATTGAACAATGCAATAGACAAAGATATATGTATGCGTAAACACACACAGTTTACAGTAGGATAGATAGTAGTTTTGTTCATTTAGAATGTTGTAGTTGATAACCTTATTTCAATACTTTTTGTAATCTAAATCATTATTCATTTACTTACTGGAAGGATTTTTGGGTTCGTAATAATCTCCGTTACTGATTTGCCGAACGAGCCGCTTAAAATTTGAGCCGTCAAAGGGCATAGCACCATACACCAGGGTATACAGTAAAACACCTAGAGACCAACAGTCCACCTGGGAAAAATAAGTGTCTGATTAGAAAAATCAAACTATATTAACAAATATAATAGCTAGTAAAATTTAAAATGCTTTGCGTATGATGAAACAAAAACCAGTGATTATAAACAACATAATGTTCATGTGTAGCATAAGTTTAATTTCACACAACGATTTTCTGGCTTCAAAAAGAAATAAATGTATAGGTACCATTAAAGTAATAATTAACGCTGAAGTAACTTTGATTTTTTTTGATGAGTCTTTAATTTTACTAAATATATAGAATTTTGACGGGGTCGTTGGTCTAATGGCTAATAATCAACGGGTCAACATGTTAGACTTTGTCGGAATATAGAAATTCCCTGCGGGTCACGAACAGAATTGAAAAACACAGATGAAAAAATAGAATATTTGAATATGGAAATTTATAAACCAGTTCCAATCATTGATTACACCAGAGTCATCGTAAATCGAAAATCCTGACTGTCAACCAATCTCTACTAAGTGGATAACGACATGATGACTTACTTCAGGGCCGATGTACGGCGTTCCTTTGACGATTTCCGGCGAGGCGTACAGCGGCGACCCACAGAAGGTCGACAGTAACGATGTCTCTTTGAACACATTTGAGAGACCGAAGTCCGCTATCTGACAAAAACAGAACAGAAATAATACATGATTTTAAATAAATTGTTCCTAACCGTTTTAAATATAGAAATGAATTCGTATCTTGGACTCGGCAGTGATCGCGGCTGCAATGAACAATCCTAAGCATCGGACTGTAATTAAAAATAAATGGACTAGTAGATACTGCGTATTAATCAGTTAAATGTAAAATACATTACATTACATTTCATTTGTTACCCTCGCGTAAACTAGGTACTGATAATTAAGAAAAGTCAAAATTAAGTTATTTATAATTATTAATTGTTAGTACTTATAATATTTTGTTAATTCCCAATCTGTTAACTTATGTGAGATTTATCTTTAGTGTAGTTGTTAGGTTAGTTATAGTAAAAGTAGGTAACCTAGTTACAGTCTTATTTTCTTCTTATTATTAACTCACCTTGGCACTACCAGTATCATCGAGTAAAACATTTTCTAACTTTAAATCCCTATGACAAATTTTATGTATATGGCAATAATACACAGCAGTTGCGACCTGCCTAAATAATCTGAAACAAAAGTCTTACATTATTTACTAATAATTAATACATACAGAACAACATAAGGCTATATATAATTATTAATATTGTAAACCACTTTCTCATTGGTAGAATTGCAAAAGAGACAGACATACCTCCTAGCTTCATCTTCTTCTAATACTTTCTTTTGACTTAGGTAATCATACAGTTCCCCTCCAGAACAGTATTCCATGACTAAAATCATCTTTTCACTATTTTCAAATACTGAAACAAAAAAAAACGTATTAAAGATAATTAAATGTTAATATTTGTTGTTTTAAACCGTTAAAATAGATTAATTGAAAAGTGTTTTTTTAGTAGCAAGTGAGTTTTACGACCACCATGGTTCAATAGTTAAACACGTTGCGTTAAACGCGAGAGTTCCTGAGTTCTAATCCTAGAGAAAAATTATAAAATGTTTTGTTTGGGCAAGGCACACAAAACTTCTTGTATACATACATGGGAAGCAGACACAAAAGTGTATCCAACCCATTGTCCGATTTTTTAAATAAGGAATAAATTAAAAATATTAACATTTTTCACATGATGGCCCTATATAAATCAAAAACCAATTATACATTGAAAAAAATTACGACTCGGGCAGGACTTGAACCGGCATCCTCAGTTCCGTGCTGTTGCTCTAACCAATTGAGCTACTGAGTCCTAGACGTCATCGTCCATTTTTTTCAATCTATTGATACATGCAATAAATAAAAGCAATCAGTTGTTCCATGATTATCCATCATCATTGTCTTGAAAGGAAGGCTACATTCCGTTGTCATCAGAGATAAGATAAGAAAACCAACCTTCGTATATATGTACAATGTTCGGATGTCGGACCGAGGACATTATCTGCACTTCTCGTCTGATGCGTATCAGGTCCGCTTCAGTTTCGATCTTGCATTTCTTTATCGTCTTGATCGCCACTTCTTGCCCGGTCTTCTTGTTAATACCCAGTTGTACCTTTCCATATGTACCTTGGCCTAATTTTCTTACTATATCGAATCTGAAACAAGAGGAGACATTTTATACAAGCAACTTATTCAAAACTTGAAGTTTCGTCTCCAAACGTGGCTCGTCGTCGTTCGACAGTACCTAATAGAGCATATACTCAACTCATCCAGATTATTGTTTCGCATGGCATTCAAAACATAACTTTCTCATTTTTTACAGAGACATACAGACGCTACATATACTTGAATTTCTATGTTATATAAGTAACCCCCTCCGGCTTCGCTCGTGTGCAATACTAATACTAAATACACTACAAAAAAACTCTTGAACTATTCTATCAATTAGAAAAAATCGCTTTAAAATCCATTGCGCAAATTTAAAGATTTAAGCGTACATAGGGACATAACAGCTAGCTTTGTTTAATACTATGTAGTGATTATTACAATCAATAGTGGAAAATAAAAAAAAATTGACGATATGACGATAAAGTATGCACGAGACTAATTTATTGAATGTAATCTAATTAAAAATTAAAATAAAAACTATAAAAAAGAGGTTTATTTTATAAAAATGCGCAATAATGCCTATGCAATATAACTAGATACTGAAGCCGTTAAAATATCAGAAAAATGCCCTCCGATACGAATTACACACTGATTTTCAACGCTGCGCATGATTTCACACGAATAGCTATCTATAAAAACAATAAAGTACGATGACTCCGTTTATAAGCCTTTTTATTTTTCTATTGCAATTGTCAATAAACTTATAAATTCTCTTACAATAAACAGACCGTTCTTGTTAATAAATAATGTGCATCGTTTACAAACAAAAAATGCATTACAATAAACAATGGGTTATGAGTACAATGAACTCGCTGGTAATGAATGTTATACTTTTGGCAAAGTAGACTGGGTAAATAACAGATTTTCCGATATAAAATATGCACTAATGTACATGTGTTTAAAATCGATAAAGTTGATCTAGTTATCCCTTATTAAACAGCTTTATGAGAGGAGGACAGACAAGTATAGGGCTCACTGGATGGCAGGCGAAATATGTCAGCCATATAACATCAAAATAAGATGCGCTATCGACCTATTTTGATTTTGGTTATTCGGAAATCCACAGACTGAGACCAAAACGCAATTAAACGGCATTTTCATTTATGGACGCATGCAAATTCGTTGCGTAGTTTTAAAGATTTAAGCGTACATAGGGACAAAAAAAGCGACTATGTCGTGATAACAAAGAATTCTCATTCCATTGAATACATTCTGATGTTATTGAATGAAAATCAAATGCTCAAGTAATATCAATAAATAGTGACGTCACTAGCAACCTTTACGCCCACCTATAACCGGAGTTCGGAGCGTAGGTGCATTCTGTACCCTAAAATGCGGTCAACAGATGCGATTCAAACCGACACTAATACTAGTTATATTATGTACTATCACACTCAAAATTATCCTTAACTATTTATCATGGACTGCGTTCTATCGTAAATAATCAAATTTGAACACATGTACCAAGTAGGAACAATGTAGGGTTGTCAACACCTTTTCAATGAAATATAGTATTTTAAATAAGCCTATACAATATTTCTTAAAAGAATATTTCTCATAAATATATTGACGACATTAAAAAGTTTACGTTGACGATATTCATAAATTAAATAAATAAGGATTATGATTTGTATGTATTTTAGCATATTCTACTCCTTTAGCAGTACGTAGCCCCGAAATATTGTACTATACTAAGTATATAACATGGTAAAGTTGGCAATTATAGTTCCAAGGTTCGAATCGTCTTCCATATATAACATGAAAAGACAAAAATCATTATGTTAGGTTTTTTCAGTTACAAATGATATGATTAAATTCCAACGTGATAAGTAAGTCGTTACAAAGGCCTATGGAATTTCAATGAAACGCAATGATTATTTAAATGATACTGTCTGTAGTTCAAGTAACTTAAACGGTTTAAAACACGATATGTATTAGTTAAACTTTTTGACAATTATTTTACCTACGGCTCAACGTTTCGGATGCTTTGCAGCAGCCGTGGTCACGGGGAGACTAAAGACTTAACTAATAACAATCGCGTTTTAAACCGTTAAAGTGTTTTATTCAAATGCTTTTTAATTAAGAGTGTGTTGTGCAAGTTCCTAAAGTTATTTTAGAGTTGCGTCTCAAAGATTAGACCATAATTAAATTAAAATGCTTTGTAAACTTAAAACCTTGCTAAGTTAGTTAAGCAATAAATAACTTCATAATAGCTCCCTGATCAAACGGAGGTTAATGGCGAAGCCATTCAGTTACTCTAAGCTATTAAGGCAATGAAACGAGATTATATAATTCAATCAAACCCATATAATTACAGGTTAAGTGCGCATCTTGCCCAGTCAACGTCTTTCATTTTAACTAAGTCACATAACTGGGCCCAGATCTCCATTCCCATGGGAAAGAGTTTAGAATCTAAGACGCACCAGATTAGGGTAGGTGGCCTTTTATTGGTGGGCCAATAGATTCCGGTAGAAGCCACTGCTGCGCTTTAATCCAATTTTACGCAATTTAAAAATGCATTACGCAAAATTTAAAATCGAACACTTCCCATGAAATCAATTTATAAAAGTCAAGTGAATATAATTAGTTTTAGCCCAGGTGAATAATATTTTATTTGTCTAGTGTTCGGTTCAGGAGCTGACCGGTTTCAGGGTCGAATTAGATTGCTTATAAAAACCTTTAAGCAGAGACGCTGACCTTTCGTTTCAGGCTATAGATAGGTACAAGTACAGGGTATGTTACGACAGGTTAACCGTTATGGATGTCAAGAAGAAAAAAACCTTTATCAATAATATTGCACATGTAATATTTACGAACAAAAAAGCAAGGTTTTACACGAACCTGTCTTTTTATTATGATAGAGGACGCCCTACCCCAGCCTATAGCATCTAAGCAAGATGCGCGGCCTACCTATTTTGGCTTTGAATATTCGGAAATCCACAGACTGAAACCGAAACGCGATTAAAGTTGACTTTTTCATTTCACTGGACGGAATTTCGATATTCCTACCACCCATCTAATATCCAGATTTCCAGACGAAGTCCAACGTTTTCCGAATATTCAAAGCCAATATAGTCCGACAGCGCATCCTGTGTAGATGTTAAATGGCTGGGGTGTTTCACATTCCATCAAGTAAATCCTATGTTTGTCTGTTGTCCTCTATCATACAAAAAATACGCAATAGTATAAAGTACCTACAACATAGGGGACCTGCATTTGTTTAGTCGTTGTTAGTAATGTTTGTATACCTCTGCTTCAGTCGTAGTCGATGATCGTGGAGTCTGACGTCACCGGTGTTCCCTATCCCATCTATTATGTTTGCCGTGCGCTTTTCACCCACCACCATTTTGTCTGAAATTAAAAACAAAGTTCAAATATTTAGTACCGAAAAACCAGCATAATAGGAATCGGAAACCACCATTATTGAAAGTTGAAACCACCATCGGAAGGGCCCAATCATAACATTCGCTTTGACCAGCCAAAAATCCTCGCAAAGGAGAGTCGATTTTTTCCAAGATTAGTACGCGAAGCAATTGAAATCATAAAACACCGAAATTTCAATAGGAGTCCTTCCTAGTCCGGCCTCAAATTATCAAACACTGGGATCCCATATTAAAAAGTCTGGATCCCAATAAACAGCATACCGGTAAACGCGAAGACACCGTTAGTCAATTCTGTAAGGACCCGACCAGTTTTGCCAAATACCAACTTCGACGGAACAGATGGCGCTAGCGTAGCAATTTTTTACTTCGATGTCAGAGACATCCTTCATCTATAGTCTTCCCGTGACCACGGCTGCTGCAAAGCATCCGAAACGTCGGGCCGAAGTTAAAAATCATTTTTCAAATAAGTTTAACTAATATATCGCGTTTTAAACCGTTAAAGTGTTTTATCTAAATGTGTACTACTCGCGGAAACTATAGACAGTACTTATAAATTATATTATTATTATATTAAAAAAATATATATTTATTATAGAAATTAATAAACTGTAAATATTTCATGAGATCACTCCACATGTAAATATTCTTAACTATATAATACAATACATTATGACATAAAGTAAATTGTTTTTATTATTCTTCTTTATTCTATATAATTTATTTTTATCACTGATCAACTTTTTTTGCAGCCAAGAAGGTTAAAATTATGTTTCCCCGGAATTGGTATCCAGGATTTCAAACGGTTAACGGGACTCCAGGCATCGCGTTTAACCATCGAGCCATGAGTAAAAATAAAATTAATGACAATTTTTCTGCCATAATAATTACGCCAAATATACTGCTATGACATCTTGAGGCTTAACACAAATTGTGACTGACGAAAATACTCGGCCACGTAAGCTCACTTTGAAACGATTCGCGATTTAGTAAATACCCAGAAATAATGTGATCAACGTCAGTCATTCTGAGGAATTCTCTTACTAATCAAAGATGTCGAAATTTCTCCAACGGTATCTGCCTTATTACAATTCGCTTTTACTGGAATTATTAAAGATAGAATAACCTTGAAATGTATAGACTATTATAGGCGCAACACTTATTATTGTTTTAATTAAGTAAGTGACATAAATAAAAACTCTACAAATTATTCCCCAGGCATAGAGAGGCGGCATATGACACTATCATTACCTACTACAACATTACCAACGCGAACACCATTTTTTATATTAATTTCGTTCCATACAAATTATAATTGTAAGTTCTGTTGATCCAATAAATGAGCTGATGATGATGAGATAACTTACGTTCGTGCGTTCGGGATTTCGATATTCGGTAGACAAAACTTATTCGTGTATTCTCTTACTGTTAGCCGTAAGTTGGTAAAATACAGTATTGGCTAATATCATCGCATTGTATTAGATGTTAAATAGTTGGGATATTTTTACCTTTGACCAAGTGAATAGGAGATCGGAGCGGTCGTGCTAAGATATGTCAATACGCGTTTGCCCAGCTTGGTACATTATGGACTATATCCTAACTTCTTAGAAGGCCTGTGTCCCAACATTGTGAATTATAATTATGAAATTATTATGTAACACCGTGTACAATGATGCGTGACAACATACGTTTATACTATAAATCATAAAGCAGACCTAAAACAAAACATGAAATACGTTTTGCGCACATAAATCTGAATATTTATTAGACACACTCTGACAACAGCTTGAATTACTACGCTCTATTTATCTTCTTCGGCAACTATTCTAAAATCTAATTCTATAATCGAAACAATCGACGTCGTTTGTCTGTTCTCAAATTCTTATCAAATATTCCAATATGGAGCAGGGACGATATAAATATATGTCTAAATATGAAAAACTTAAAGGGATATTAAATTAGACAAGTGTACCTGTGTCTATAATTTTTTTATAATTTAACAGTCGATGAAGACATTTTTTAAATCCAAGCAACTTGGCGTAATAATTATTTACACAAAAAATCCGTCGCGTGTGTTTGGTAAGTACACAATTAAAAAATATTTGTATTTAAAGTTGTTACAAACATATATAAAATAAAATAGCATTAAAAAAAAAATAACTAATACATTTCGCGTTCTAAACAGGTAAAAATGTTTTATTTAACCTACACAATTCAACACCGGTCAATTGCACATAATATTAAATGTTTAAATTTACACGCTCTCCAAATGTAATTCTAGGCAGACGAAGTCGCCAGCACAGCTAGTGAAGAATAAGCGGATATGTGTTTTAATTTAGAGTATCGGTTAGGGGCCTATTGTATGTGTCCGTGTGTAGTTCATATCGTAACTGAAATAGAACATTTCAGAGTTCGAGACAGTCGTTCACTCCCGCCTACACCCGGTCACCGGAGCTCGTGAAAATAGAAGAACTATGAGATACAGTTTGACGAAAAACGTCTGTTACTATTGTTCAAAGCTTCATAATTTTATATTCATCGATTCTTTTGCAACAATATAAGAAGCAAAACGTATAATTGTGTTACGCCCCATGCCCCGCGCGAAGGAACGATTTTTTTATATGACTCTTCTTGAAATAAAACACCTTAACGGTTTAAAACGCGGAGGCGGGGAGATTCCCCGTGACCACGGCTGCTGCAAAGCATCCGAAACGTCGGGCCGTAGTTAAAAATAATTTTCAAACAAGTTTAACTAAAATATATCGCGTTTTAAACCGTTGAAGTGTTTTATTTGAATGTGCACTACTCGTGTAAACTACAGATTTTATTTAATTCATCTGTATTTTCGCCTGAGGTCGTCAATACTAACCGGACGTTTGGGCGACGCTCGCCGTGTTTGCGGCTAGACCAAAGGTGCCCCGATGGGGACATCGGCCTCGGCCTTTATTTGTGGAGGATTTTATTTAATTAAAAGTATAACATTTCTTAACAAACATGGGGACGCGAGCGATTCACGGAAAATTTTGACTGAAGTTCAGCGTGGAATAAGTATACCCTTTATAAAATATTTATTTATTTATTAAACGAATGTACGTTTCAATCCGTCTATATTTTCTGCCTGTAATCGCATTTTCGCATTAAATTAGACGGTTACTGGAATGATTGCACAGAGTCCTAACATAGTCATACGTCATAAATATATAAACACAAACAAGATTATTGTTAGTTAAGAATCAACAGCATGATTTCTACATTTACGTATCAGTTAAGTATAATTAAAGAAAACGGCCCTAAGGATTCAGCGTGTCTGCATCGTAACGTCTGTCAACACATTACCACGCAGGCGTCGCGGACGCTGCGGAAACGGAACGAGCTGGCTTGATACATAATATTTTAGACAAACTTCACAATAGAAAAAAGTAATACTTATCACACATTTGTAGTAATTTAATAGGAATGAATTACTACCGGATTACCATAGGATGAACTAGTTCTAGTCTATTGAGTTATTGCAACAAGTAACAGACAGGGGCAAAACAATCTTTATATACCGTTAAAATAAAACCCTTTAACGGTTTAAAACGCAATATATATTAGTTGAACTTATTTGACAATTATTTTAACACGCGCTGTGACTAATAGAAGCGAAAATACAACGGAATATTTTTTTCATCTCTATTGGTTTCAGATGCCTTCGTTGCGAAAACGGTTCAAGACACCCAGAAAAATATGTATAAAAAAAAAGATTCCTCATTAAATGATTAAAAAAAATGTCTGCAACACTATAATATAGCGTATTAGGTATGTCTTTCTTTTAAGATTAACTTGCAAAAACGACGAGACCCGAACGACGGGTCGCCAGCGCCGGGGCAGCTTAAATTTATATAGATGTAGAGGTTTGCAAAAACCCATTTGGATGCCCAAAATAACTATTCTACGCGGACGAAGTCGCTGACACAGCTAGTATTAAAATATAGGTAATAAACCAGATTAAACATATTCAGACAGAACCAATTTTCAGTTAATCAACTTCCAACATAATTACGATCTTTCGAGATGCTGCGTTACGGGGTATTTTACAGCTGCAATGTAATTACAAACACCCGCTTTTTAAACCGTGTCACGATGCGTCATATTAATATTTTTGTTCAACACGCTTCTATTTCCGCCGCGGTCATATTTTCTTTCCGTTTTCATACAACTATTGGAATAAATAATGCTAAAAAAAATATTAAGGTGTGCCCCGTGACCACGGCTGCTGCAAAGCATCCGAAACGTCGGGCCGAAGTTAAAAATCATTTTCAAATAAGTTTAACTAATATATCGCGTTTTAAACCGTTAAAGTGTTTTATTTAGAAAATATATATTATTCATTTATTAAGTATAGAAGTAATGATTGCAAACTATAATGATTTTAATAAAAATGGTTCTCACTTTTATTTTTTAATCTAAACTCGTAAATTTTGTAACTTTTAATTGGCTTTCTGATATCTAATTCATCGACTATACTATTGTGCTAGCTGTTAGATTTCTATACAGAAATTTCTGTATAGAAATCTAACAGCTAGCACAATAGTATAGTCATATTTATTTATTTATAGTATAGTTATATTATTTATTTTTTATTCATGTATATGAATAGAAAATAAATACTTGACACAGTTGACAAACGTAGGTACATCCAACTTAACTCTTAGAGAAGATTCCTAATCCTTACACGTTGAAATTGTGTTTGTTCATGTAGAAAACCCAAATGATGGATAAAACTCGTATAATTATTAGATACTAAAGAACTTGTTTGTCGTTAAATATTTGAAAGAAATTTACATAGAACACTGTCCAAAACGCAATATATGTCAGTTGTGTCCGTGACCACGGCTGTTGCAAAGCTTCCGAAACGTCGGGCCGTAGTTAAAATAATTTTACAATAAGTCTTCCTAATATATATCGCGTTTTAAACCGTTAA